GAAACCTTCCAAGTTCTTTTTGACCATCTATAAATTGTCCAGCTGTTCTTTTTAAGATTTTTCTACTTCTTTCTGAATCATGTAAGTTAGAGTTTGATCAGGAGTTCAGGATCAGCCCCTCAGGAGTCCAATTATCTAGATAGTCTTCATCAGGGACCCAAATAGTTGTCTCGTCCATTATGGCTCTATATCTACCCAGCTTTTTAACAGATACTTTGGCCGATTTTGGAACTTTTCCAAATCAATGTGGCATTCCCGGCAAAACTGGACGTGTTGGTTACTGGAATCTTCGAAAACTTGCGACTATCTCTTTCCATTTGCACAGCGAAACCTTGTTTGAAAATTAATTTATTATGGATCTAAGAATTTGAATTAAACCACGCGATACAGTTTCTGCCCATCTGATCGTATTCGCGAAATATCCCGTTTCTTTCATTTCTGGGCACGGTGTATGATTGGCTTTCTTATTTTCCACATCAACTCAACAGGACTCTTTTGAGATTTGGGGTTCACCAGTCTTTGTAAATGTTTGATACAACCTTCCATCTTCAGGGAAACCATTAAAATACAGATTGTCGAATTTGATATTTAAACAAGAGGCTGAAGCCTTGCGTTGTTGCTAGCTCGTTTTCTGCCTTGTACAATGTTACGATTTCTTCATGAGGCTTTGAAGTAGCTGGGAGACATTCATTTGTTGTCCGGAAGTGCAAGTTTTGTTTTTAGGCTTCTTAAGACTATTTTGATTTTGTCTAACAACCGCTGGCGCAAAAAGGCTTGAAAGCGTTGATTTCTTTCTAAAGCGTAGATGCGCTACTGTACCCGAAATTCCCCTTTTGCCATTCTTTTCATTTTCTTGCACTCCATGGTGGAAACTTTGTCCGGATTTTATACCATCTCCCGCTAATTTTTCTTCCCCTGCGTAAAGTCTATTATGTTTTGTAGCGCTTTTAAAGTACTTTCCCCTCGTTCGTTCCTCTTTTTTATATATTCTTTGCCCATAGTTTCTTGTTTCAAATTCTAATATGGTTTTTTCGTTTTCTTTTCCCGCTTCTTCCACTACATTATTTTGAATCCATTTTCGCATGCCGTTTAAACTTAGCTTAACCCATTTCGGCTAAATTGAACTTTACGGTCCAAAAGGTCAAAACAAAAAGTAGGATTTTTTGGTTTAAAAATTTTTCCCCTCATTATTTTTGTTTTTTTGTGCATGACTAGGCATAGCAAAGCATAAAAACTGGTATTGAATGTATTTTGGTTCTGGACTGTAAAGTTCAATTTAGCCGAAAATCATTTACTTTGGATGTTTAATGTTCCAAATGATATCTTTCCATTTTCAGGTAGGAGAATGCCGGTTGAGACGCAAGCTCGAAAGCGAGAAGAAGAAGGAATGGTGAAGATTGGCGACTTCCCGTTGGAATTGATTGAGAAGATCGCACAACATCTCGATTCAAAAGATGTGCCAAAGTTGATGATGACTAACTAGAGACTCTGCTTGACTTTTATCAAAGAACCAATCGATCGTTTTAGGAAAGCACGTGAGGGGAAATCTATTCGGACAGTACGTTCACGCGTTCTATAGCATCGAGTTCCACAGCTGGATCAAGAAATTCTCAAACTCATTTTGATTCTCCTGGATTTTAACCATTTTGGCCATCTTCAATTGATCAAACACATTCATTCATTTGAGAAATTTGAGGTACGAACCTCAATCTACACTACAAAATCGAATCGAATCAAATTATCAATGCCGGCCATGAAACGATTTTGAGACAGCTGAAGTCGGTGAATGAATTGGTGTTTCTTGGCACAAACGAGGATTGGAATAAATTCTTCGCAAACGCATCGGTCAAAAAAAGGGCCGAACTGTTTCTCTTGGACTGAAAATTCGAAGGAGAAGAATTGATGAAAGATCTACTTGGAGATTTCTTCGGGACTCAATTAAGTGCGTGTGAGATAGCTAGCCTTTTTTTTCGATTCCGACGATCTTCTCGACGAATTTTTTCGGATTTCATTCGGATCGGCCAATTTAATATTGATTGGATGTTTTCAATTGAATGGATTGTCAAACTATGGAATTCCGAGCCAAAATCCACATGCCGGCTTCTTCGATTATTGCTTCATTTCCGAGATTCCGGCTGAAATTGTTGCTTCTCTCATAAATTGCCCGTGGATGCAAAAACTTCATGGAGATGTTCGTTTGCCACTTTTTGAACAGGCCAAAAGATTGTGCGAGAAGGCTTTGACAACAACGCGAGTCTTGTTTTTCAACGGGTCAGTTCCAACGAGACAGACACAGAGCCAGAGTTTGTGTTTTCGTCGTCGAACCGATTCAACAAAAAACGTCATTTACATGCTTCGATCCACCCTCGGCTTTTACGACTTTTACGTGTCATCTCAATGAAGTGATCACTTTTTAACTATTCTGTTATGTGTTTACTCATTATGTTTTCAAGGTACTTTACGGATGATGGTGCTGCCAATTAGTTCAGCTAAACTTGGGCATTCTCATTACATTCCAGATAATCCTTTGCAATTCCATTATCCATAAAGTACTCATTATTGTAGCACACATAGATTTGATCGTTTTTTGTTACTTTCAGCTGTTTCCTTGGTTATTCTTGCATTTTATCAGAGATAACGTTTGGAATTATATTGAGAACGATAAAAATGTTGCCGTGAATTCGCGGAATTGAAGACTTTGAGCTAGTTAAGAGCGGTAAAATGTGAAATTCTTGAAAACGTTTATCGGATTTTTCTCATTAGGAGTTGTTAATGATGAATTTTGTGAAAATGGCTAGTTCATTTTGAGTTGTTTTGTTACCGAAGTTTCACGAAAAGTCTGATCTTTTTATATTTTAGGTACAAATGGCAGACTCGTCGCCAATTAAAAATGGAAATGAGGAACGAAATGGAGAGGAGAATCAAACGATTAAGGAATCAACTCAGCCTTTTCGATGAAGAAGTTGAATCAAGATGAGAGTGGATCCAGTGAAAATGCGTTTCTTTCGTTTGCGATGCCGAATCTCAAGACGTTCCCTAATGGAGAAATTGTGTTATGATCTGAAGTTGGAGGTTCTTGAACAAATGGACGCAAAGGATGTCGTTGAATTGTTTTGGATGATCACACCAAGAAATTTCCTGAGTCACCACGATTTTACTTGGATTTCGATTGCCACCTTCCTTTGATCGAACGCATCACTTCACGTTACAGAGTGAAGCTTTGGCCTCATAATACGTCAATCATCGAAGTGAAGCATGAAGCATTCCTGAAACAATTGAAGACGGTGAATCAACTGAATGTCGAATTCTTCGAAGAAAACGTTGTCGAGAAATTCTTTTCACATTTCCGTGTATTGGTCAAAGAGAAGACAACTCGGATTATTGAATACGATTCATTCGTAGAATGATCAATCCCTAAAGGACCAATTTGGAAATATGAAAGCACAATTGTTTTGAATGTGAAAAAAATCAAACTGAAGAATTTCTCGGAATATCTCTTCCATGCTTGATATAATGCCTTGGTAAAGACTCGAATTAAAGTTATAAAGATGGATGCGTACGAAATCTTGGAGACCGTTTATTGGATTGTTGAAATCCAAGCAAAAATTCAGAGGCCGATTTTTACTTGGGCTGATTGGTCAAAGGGTGAAATGGGTTCCTTTCTCATGGGATACTCAGGAATGAAACAAGTCGATGGAGAAAATCGTAAGTCTTTGTTGGAACCGGCCAAAAATTTGTGGAAAGGTGCGGGAAGGTGCACCTTTTGACAAGGAGATTTGGTGTTTCCGACGAAGAATTGACTCGGCGTGAGATTGCGTCTACATACTTCAATTTGATGATGAGAACGATGAATCCGATTTTTTCGCCTTCAACATGCCACCTCAATGAAATTATGGCTTTTTAAAAGCTTTATTAACTTCACGATTTTTAGTAATGTTATTACCAATTTCAACGATGTGATTGATTTAAATCTTTTAGTAGTCTGATTTAGTCTGATGATTGCTGTTTTCAATGTCATTTTACTTGTTTTTGTGTGTCTTATGCTGAAATTAAAGAATGCCCATCCATAAATCATTAAAAGCATGTTTTTGATGTGAATGAGTAAAGTTGTATGCTTTTAAAAGTATCTTTGTTGTCCGAGAAGTGCAAGCTTTTGTTTTTAGGCTTCTTGAGACTATTTTATTTTGTCTAACAACCGCTGACGGAAAAAAGGCTTGAAAACGTTGATTTCTTTCTAAAGCGTGGATGCGCTACTGTACCCCGCACAAAAATTTCCCTTTTGCCATTCTTTTCATTTTCTGCATTCCATGATGGAATCGGAAACTTTGTCCGAGTTTTATGCCGTGTCCCGCTAAGTTTTCTCCCCCCTTCGTAAAATCTATTATGTTTTTGTTGCGTTTTTAATTTAATTTTTTTTAATTGCGTTTTTAAAGTACTTTCTCCCCTCGTTCGGTTCCTCCTTTTCACATTGTTTGCCCATAGTTTTTTGTTTCAAATTCTAATATGGTTTTTGCTCGTTTTCTTCTCGGCTCCTTCCACTACATTGTTTTGAATCCATTTCCGCATGCCGTGGAAACTTAACTTAACCAATGCCTTTTAACTAAAACGCAAATCTAAATAAGCTGCGATCTTCTTGTTACTTCGTTTTGGGTTTCGTGTAAAATCATTTTAGAAAAGGGTTGGAAAAGTCTAAAGGTATTAGGTAAGGGAGTTAGTTACTAGCTGCATAACTTTATCAATTTCCTTCAGAAATCCTCCATCCTTTTTTTGACTTTTAGATCTTCCATCCCTTTCCAAAAAGTTCCATTCTATTTGTTGCCCTACCCTTTCCCTTCCTGGCTTACTGTGATCCCTTACGCTTCCTTATCTCTCTTTTTCTCTTCCAAATGTTTTCCTTTCCAAAAACATTTGTCACCATCGGTCAACTGATCATTTTTCTTTAAAAACATTGATTTTTATCCAGTTAGCCAGGTTTCCCATCTTTCAGAATGTTAAGTCAGATGTTAAAAACCCGGCACTTGTTTAAGGTCACTTCATCCATTTTCTCTAGCTTTAAGGTAAATCCGTGAATGCTTTTTAACACTTTAAACCTAAAAACCTTGTTTTATCTAAAAATTTCCCAGAGAACGCTAACGATGTCGGCCGAGCTTCGATCGCTTCACGTTCTCCCAAATGAGACGCCCGTTTGCAGTCTCGATTGCAAGACTGCCTTTGAGAGTTCGTTTAAATCTTTGAAGTTTAATAGTTATTTAAAATCGTATTAGTACCTTAAATTTTAACACTTTGGCCTAACAATCAGATAAAGTTTTACCAAAATATTTCCAGCGTTGACGGAAAAGGAACGCCTTTACGCCCATCACCTCTCCAAAGCTTCTTATGATGGATCGCTTGCCGTCTTTTTGCAGGTTTAGTATAAAAGACTGATTTAAAGATTAAGCGAGCTAAGCAAATTGCTTAACCAAAGCAAATCATTAGGTGTAAGCATAAAAATTTGTAATTTTTCAGGTTTCGCCCGAAGCCGCTGGACTTTTTGTCGTCTTCCATCGACTCTTCGCTACGGAGTCCGTTGAATCGTTGAAGAAAAAGGCTTTGGTAAGTGGTAGAATTTTTAAAATCTAGATTTATAGAAATAGAATAATCGAGTTATTCAATCTTGTGATTCATAGATAAAATTCAGGGAAATGGCTGGACTGAAGAAGAATTCGCGGCTTTTCTCGTTTATGTCGCCGGTTTCTACAATAACAGCGGCAACTACAAAGGATTTGGAGATAGCAAAATTGTGCCTGGAGTTTCAACGGTTGGTTGGGAAAAAAAGCACTGGGAATTTGGAGGTAGCTTCCCCTCTTTTTTGTGTCTTACTACACCGGAGTTTATGAAAATGTAGCACAGTTCGAAACTTTCACTAAAGCCCAACCTGGTTGTTTTGTTTTAAAGCTTTGTTTTAAGCACTTTATGCAGTGTTAATTAGATTATACAAAATTTTGTTCCAGGAAAAGATCACCTCCTTGGTGACAGCATCAGATGCAGTCTCAAAATACCCCGAGCTCCTTTCCACCTATCATGCCATCGAGCAACTCATTTGCAGCCTTCAGCAAAGGGAGCTGCAATTGGGATTTTGCCAATCGGTTTGCTTAAAAGCTTGACTGTTTTAGCATACTTTCCAGGGTATCACCACATATCATTGTGAAAGTGTGACGAAGGAGGACGCTCAGTTCATAGATCGTTTCTGCAAGGAGCACAATATTGAGACGTGGAACACGAGGCTTTTCAAGGTATGAAAAAGGGAAACAGATTAAATACGTAGAAAATAACGGAAACTTACTGAAATCACAAAAAAGCCAAAGCGATAAATTTAGGATACCGAAAAGCGCAATGGCAAGACGGTGTTCCGGATTGTGAATGCTAGCTCGATCACTGGTGGGTTTTGAGAGAAATCTCGATATTTCATATTTCCCTAGACTTAATTATCTAATTTTGTTGACTTTTAAATAACAATTAAATTTAAAAGTCATCTTTTAGAAGGCTGGCGTGAGGAGGAATTCGAGGAAGCGATCGTTGTCGTTGAAAGGGGAGACTACTCACCGTTGATGGCCAGAGCCGCTGAAAGCCTTCGAAAGGTGGAAAATTATTAAAAATTAACAATTTACCTTTAGAAAACCAGGATTTAGCATTTTTTCAGCAATAATCTATCTCATTTCAGGCAAAAGACTTCGCCGCAAACGACAACCAAGTGCAAATGTTGGACAAGTACGTTAACCACTTCACCACCGGGGATTTAAATGATCACAAGGTAAACTAAAAGTTTTAAACCATCAAAACTAAATTTTCAGGATGGATCCCGTTTCTGGATCAAGGATCAAAATCCGGCGGTTGAGAGCTACATCGGATTCATTGAAAACTACAGAGATCCAGCCGGGACTCGGTCAGAGTTTGAGGGATTCGTTGCAGCGGTGAACAAGGAGACTTAAAGAAGTTTAAGGTATACAGAAATTACACAAAATAAGAACTTGGCTTAGATTGCATTATAATACTATTATTGTCACACCCATCATTTTAACAATCATTCTCTTTTAGGTACTTGTCGATCGCGCTGAGGAGCTTCTCGAACGAATGCCGTGGGGAAAAGCTTATGAAAAGGACAGGTAAAGCAACATTTAGATATGTAAACTTATGTGAATTTACAGGACAAACAAGATATGTAAATTTTTTTTCCAACTCTAAACCTTCTTTTAGATTCCTGAAACCCGATTTCACCGCCTTGGATGTGATCAGCTTTGCGGGAAGTGGCATCCCAGCTGGAATCAACATCCCTAATTGTAAGTTGTTCAAAATAAATAAAATTTTGAATTCAGTATTCTAAGATGCAACTTGTATTTGTTTAGATGATGAGATCCGTCAAAACGAGGGCTTCAAGAACGTCTCGTTGAGCAATGTCATCTCGGCAACACCCAAACAAAAGATGAACTTCTTGGATGAGGGAGACGAGGATCTCATGTTCAAATATCACAAGGACTCGTTCGAAGTTCAGGTTTGGAATTTTTTTTAGGTTTTCCTTAAATAATCGTTTTAGGTCGGTCTTCACGAGCTTCTCGGTCATGGAAGTGGAAAACTCTTCCAACGAAACGCTGACGGAACTTTCAACTTCGATCAAGATACGACGAATATTTTGGATGGTGAAAAGGTTGGTGTTATTGACATAAAGCTACGAAAAACAGTTGTAATCCGTGTAAAAACTTTCCATTTTCAGATAACCACCTGGTACGAGCAAGGAGAGACTTGGGGCAGCAAGTTCGGTGCACTCTCTGGTCCCTATGAAGAATGCCGAGCTGAGGCGGTTGGATATGTGCTTTGCTGTGATGAGGATATTCTCAAGTTGGTTTGACACTAACATTACAGGGTGCGTCAAAAGTTCTGTCACCTCACTTACTGGGTTTATAGATTTTAAGGCAAATACCAATCAATTTTGGATTTTTTGAGCTGTTTTATGAATATTTAATAAAAACCTATAAAAAGCGTGAAACAGAATGTTCCCAGAAGATGTCTATCTTTTACTAGTAACAAATTTATAAATAAGGCGTTTGTTCGCGGACGATTTGCCGGAATTTCAAGTATAAAAATTTTTTGCGTCTATCTATGGTCCTTATTTTTAAATAATCTGCACAGCAAATAAATTTATATGTATGAGTTTTCTATGGGGCTAGCATCAAAAAGTATTTTTTAATATTCATTTTTGGTACAGTAAAATTCAAATAGGTACTCAATTTTCTAACTCTCATGATTTTTTTGCAGAAGCGGCCTATGCCATTGAACCTCGCTACCAAATAGTTTAAAAGTTCTACTATTTTCTATGGTATTCTTTATTGAGCTGAAACAAGATTCAGTTTTTGAGCTTTGGCCAACTCTAGAGTGACAAAACTTTTGGTGCACCCTGTATAACCCAATAATAAACAAAGCATGCAAGCCAGGATAAAATCTTTCTTACAGGATCTTTGGCTATGAGGGTGAGCTCGGACAAACGGTGAAATACGTGAACTGGCTGAGCGAGATCCGCGCCGGTTTGATGGCCTTGGAGTTCTACAATGCGGATTTGCAGAAATGGGGACAGGTGAGGTTTAATAAGGGAATACTGTATCAAAATATGCAATTGAAGTGGTATAAATGCAAATTCCAGGCTCACTGCTACGCTCGCTACGTTCTGACTCAAGTGTGCCTGGAAGCCGGCCAAGAATTTGTGACCATTGAGGAAGTGGTGAGTGAAAACTTTAAATTTCAAAGATCAATCTTAATTATAAGTATAAGAATGGCTATTCAACTATAATATTTTATTTATAGACTGGTGAAGATGGAAAACCTGATCTAAAATTCAAGCTTGATCAGAACAAGATCGACTCGGTTGGAAAGCCAGCTGTTCGGGAATTCTTGAAGAAGCTTCAGGTAAAATTTAAGAATTTTATCTATTGAATATTCAGTGCATACTTAACCTGACAACTTCATTTCCAGCACTACAAGACAACCGGTGATGCGGCTGGTGGAACGGCTTTGTTTGAGGGATATGGAAAGGTGAGTGAAGATAAAAATTTTGCAAAAAAAGACTTGATCTTAACATAGCGTAACATGAGATTAAGATTTATGTTTATGTTTATGAAGTTTATGAAAGTTTAACCAAATTTCTTTTCAGGTGACCGAGAAAGAGCTCGTTTGGAGGAATATCTGCATCACTCGCCGCAAGCCTCGCCGTCTCTTCGTCCAAGCAAACACCCGGCTCAATGGAGAGAAAAGTTGGTCTAAATGTTTAAAAAATTTGGCTTCTTTTTTTAAAATTTTTAAACTAAGTATTCATTTTTCCTTTTCCAGATGCCGAACTTGTCACTTATCCAGAGACTTTTGAGGGAATCATCGCTTCTTTCGTTGAGAGGTTGGTAACCTGATAAATATTAGGTTGGCCGATATGTATTTGGGCATTTCATTTGAAAAGCTGTTTAGAAATAACCAATTCATCGATTGACTTCGGGTTGCTCCATTAGAAAAATCCACTATTTTTCAACAAAATAGCGTTCAAATTTTATGAAAATCTTTTGTCTCTGATTTTTTTTATGGGGGCGCGAAGTCGGGTGGTCAAAAAAGGCGACAACCCGAAGGCCCAATTTAGGGGCTTTGGTCCACAGAAACGTGTGTAGATAAAATAAAAGATAGATAATAGTTTTTAGTTTTTGCACTCGAATGTGCTGGGAAATGAACCTAAATTATCTTGAATAGATAGAAAAATGAATAAGAAACATTTGTATTTAGAACCAATTGTAGGTCAATTGGTGAATTTGTTATTTGTAAACGCTAGTAGAAAAAAAGTGTCCAAGGACCTATCGGCCAACCTAATAGATTAGACGTTTTGACTCTTCTTTAGTAATTGACAAAGTAAAAAATTGCCTGAATAATCTAAGCAAAACAATGTTGTCTAAAACGAAAAGCAAAGCCGATTATTTTCTGTGCAATACGCTTGTACCAAGAACTACAACCTAAAATGAATAAGCTTTTGAAATAAAAATTACTAACTTCTAACTAACTCAGTTAGTGAACTCTTAGACTCTCAGTTAAAAGCCAAACGTGTTAAAACAATTATGATCTCAAAATTTGAGGTACGACTCGGCTGCCATCGACGATCTCGAGCTCTGCTGGAAGGAGCAAAAGAAATGGTGGCCCACCGCTTTTGGAAAACACTAAAAGCCATTTGATTTATTGATTAATTTATTCATTCTGATAATTTATAGGTTATTTCATCTTGTGATTAAATTTGGTGATTGTTAAGTTTTTAAAGAATAAACGAGTCTGTATGCAATGAAAAACAAACGGTCAACAAATCAATAACAAACATTTAACAAGAATTGGAGAAGAAATGCCAAATTTGGTCCTGATATTTAAAGAATATAATTAATATTCTTTGACTAACAATCAGTCTCCTCCAAGTTTCACATGTTTGAATAATAAAACAGCAAAAACGTATTTCTTTTGAAATCAGTGTTATTCCTACAAAACTAATGCATCTTTGGCTTGGTTCTAACAATTGAAATTCTTAAATCGTTCGAAAAACATCAAAAAAAGGCAAATTGTAGAATAATTCTGCCTCATTTCACCCTTTTCCGTTCATTTTCCCCAGCTCTTATCTTTTGAATGGAATAAAATTTCGAAAGAAATCGAATTTGGAAAACAGAGACATTATTGATTCTGAAATCCGCCCTTGAACAACCATCCGGCCTAATTTCCATTTCAACTTTTTACCCTCAATTCTTCAGAATTCGATCTATGAACACTTATCGATCGAAGATTCGTTAAAATTTCTCCAAATCTTCAAAATCCCCCGACAACGAATCTTGTACAATGGCCCGTTTTCGAAAAATATCGACCGAATCGAGCTCACAACTTGGTATGAGAAAAGTTGATAATAAAAATCCTTCACACAGCCGATAAAAAACAAAAGACAATAAAATTCGTCTCGAAATCAATTTTGTGCTTTTGGGAAACATGTGAGCTCAGAATTTATTTAAATCCTCGATTCGCCTCATTCCTCCAACGAATAAAATTCTCGAAATCCCTGCAAATCTACATTTTCGATGCCCATTCGTCGAAAAATCACCAAAACTTAATCCCCTTTTTCAATTTTCTACCGAAAATCAAATATCTGAAAGATATTGATCTTTCTATTGATAGATTTTCAACTTTTCAGAAACTTTATTCAAATTTTACTTCTAAAGTCTCCGGAGACTTCTCAATCACGATAAATCAACCGAATTTTTTGGATGAATAGAGAAAAGAAGGGATTTTTCGATTCTATTCGAAAAAAGAGCTTTCTAACTGCTCTACGTTTACCGTAGCCCCAATTGAAACATTTTACGAGCCAACCTCTGAAATCAATCCAAAAATGATCATTGCCCATTTCGCAACGTTCACTAGAACGTTAAATTTTTGCTTTTAAAATCGATTCAATGAAAATTATGACACAATTTATGTGCTTTCCGGTGAAATTCGCTCAAATGCGAAAACGTTACGGCAAACGCTGACAAAGAGATTTCCACTTGGAGAAATCAGTGGACGCACGAAACAAGGACAAAAATATCTGCTAGAGTAAAAATTGCACTCTCTCGAAGAAATGTGAAAGAAATCTCTCGAGGATGGACGATAAATGATCTTACGACGAAATTTTTCTATAGAGATAGCCGTCTTCTTTACATGTTCTCTCGTTTTCCCAAAAATCGCCACATTTTGTTGGTTGCTCCATTGAGACTCTTTGCTTGAGTGCTATGCTGAGTGCTATGTCTAAGTGCTATGCTATTTGATTTCAAAAAATCACGATTTCCTTGGAATACTAACAAATTCGTAATCTGTCTTTTAACGTTTTAAATTATATTTTTGCTGTGAATTCTCAAATATCGTAGATTTTTATTTGAATAACACAAAATGATAGACGTTTCAAGGAATGACAAAGAAATTGAGTCAATTTTACGTTCTGCTAACGAATGGAACAGAGCCAGAGCTCGAACTTGAAAGATTGAATTTTTCTCTTTTCATACATTTTAAGGTTTTCTTTTGTTGATAGACTTTTAGTTGTTGTTGTTGTTGTTGTTGTTGGTTGTTGTACTAAGAAGTGTTTGTTGTTGTTGTACTAAGAAGTGTTTGTTGTTGTTGTACTAAGAAGTGTTTGTTGTTGTTGTACTAAGAAGTGTTTGTTGTTGTTGTACTAACAAGATAGACTTGTTGATAGACTTTTAAGTTAAGAACAATAAAAATCACAGTAACAAAAAGATTAAAGCTATAGATTGAGGTCATAAAAACTGGGTGATATCGAGAGAAAATGATCAATTAATAGAACGATAAAAATGAAATCACATTTGAAAACCTGCTCCATTGTGACGATTTTTGAACGTGTTGATGATCGATCGATGAAAAAAACCCCAGAAATATGACTTTCACCGAAGCGACAACTAAAATTTTCAAACTTGTTCTTGAAAAAATTATTTTGAATCGATTTTTCTATGCCACGTGCTTTTAAAACGAAATCTCATAGTGATTTGAAGTGAAATTATTTTAAATGTAAAAAGATCCTGTTCCTGTTGGCTATGGGTTGAATTTTCAAGAGATTTAGTAGATTTTTCTGGAACTGACCGGGTTTTTTTTGCGGTGAGATTGGGAATGTATTGAGAATAAAGGAAATTGAAAAATATGAATCACTCATCGGAATCTGTACTCTCAGGAAGATCAACGACTTTTTTGGTGGCATGAGCATGGGGAAGAGCAGTCACTGTCTTGGTGGCTGTCTGAGGCTTCTTTGGAGCATTGTTGGCTTTCTTTGCTCCTTTCTTTGGAGCGGATTTCTTTGGCTCTTCCGGCTCATCATCTGAATACTCAGAAACATTGGATTGTTCGGATTCGGACTCATCCGGCATAGCAACAATGCTCTTCAAAGCCGTTTGACGTCGAGCGTTTCCCCTTTTTGGTAATGGTCCAGTGCTTTTGCAAGCGGTTTGTCTCTTTGGAGCACGAGATTTCTTCGACTCTTCTTCGAAATCAGAATCCGAGCTGTCTGGGAGTGGAACGGATGCTTTGGTGGGAAGATCTTCCGTGTTACGACCAGTTCGACTTCTTGGTGCCATCACGATAGAAATTGGAGAAAATGCGTTTTGAATAACAAATGAAGGGCAATTTAAAAAGATGATTACGCGCGGATTTGTGGTTTTGAGTGGAAAAGAGAAATGGGGGAAGGAGTACGGTGAAAAGAGTGTGATTTCAAGAAACTTTCCCTCGAAAAGCCCAATATTCGATACTTTATGACAAGCTAAATGTGTAAATTTAACAGGCTTTTCTATTCCTTTTTGTAAAGAAAGGCTTTTTGTATTGGTTCGGGTAATGCGAGGAATTCATGTAAGAGAAATGAAAAGAAATGAAATGAGATGAGGTGACAAATGAGGGTTCTTTGTATTCTTGAAAAAATGATTCCGAAACGAAATTTTAACTTGAATAAAATGAAGAAGTTGTCTCGTTTCTTACTTTTATCTGTCATTTTCATTCTCGTAAGCCAATGAGAAAGTCGAAAATCGCAAGCAAATTTTCTTTTCTTTTACATCTTTCGAAATTAGGAAAAAGTAAAGGATTGCGAAAAACTGGATAGCTTTTCGAAACAATTACACAATTACGCTAACATCGATGAGCTGAGATATTTGTGAGCTTTGTAAATATGGATAAAACTTGATTCTTGATGGGTTTCTTCTACATTTTCCGGCAAAACAATTTGTAAACTTGAACGGAATCATTAAAATTGTCAAAATCTGTTTATTGCAAAGCTACCACACAAAGTTTTAACTTTTATCTACCTCTTTGAGCTTACCAAAACCCTTTAAATCTAGCAGTGACTTGGGGTATATCTCGAGGATTCCGGCTATGTTCAGAGGCTAATTAAGGTGAGGTTTAAGCATAAAAGTTAACCAAAATAGCAAATTACTTTGATTTGTTTAAATGGGAATAGTTTTTCAGATATATAAATGACGCACGTCCTCGGCGGAGACAACTCTTACGAACTGAATAGAACATTGTGCTGTCACTGGTTTTTAAAACCGTTTTTTTTGGTGATTTCCAGTGCCAAGACGCTCTGATAGCTTTGCAATAAACAGATTTTGACAATTTTAAATGATTCCGTTCAAGTTTACAAATTGTTTTGCCGGAAAATGTAGAAGAAACCCATCAAGAATCAAGTTTTATCCATATTTACAAAGCTCACAAATATCTCAGCTCATCGACGTTAGCGTTTAAAGCAATTCTTGGTGAGAGTACCGTGAATTAAACCTTATCAATGCAGAATCAACTACGAAGTACTACCATTGCCCATTGCATTCAATTGTTGAAATGCCATGAGCAAAAACTCAACCAGTTCATTTCATTTTACGCTTTTTTTACACCTCTTGGCCCATTCATTCAATTCTTTTTTTAAAAATCACTAAAATAATGCTTTTCAAATTCTCCCTTCCATCTTTACCCACTGAACTTCGCAAAGAAGTCTACAATCACCTAGAATTCAGACCACCACTGACCAAAGCCAACAAAGAAATTCGCCAATGGATCCACAAAAGTAATTTTTTACCGAAACGAGCCCAAATAATGCATTTTTCCATTAACAGAGTTTTCACGAAAGAATTTTGCGAAGGCGACCCAGAATCGTACATCAATTACGAAGTGAATCTGAAATTCCATCCATCTTCCAATTCAATGCACTTTATCTCGACGAATTTCACCTCCTTTGTTGGTTCAATTCAAATTCTGTTTCGAATTTTAGAATCAAGAATGGAATGTCGTGTCTTGACATGGAAATGCTCAAAGGACTCGATTTATTATTTCTCGAATTTTATCTCGAAAATCCCCAATTCGATTGAACTCGTTTTCATCAGTGATAATAAAGCAATTGATTGGGCTTCGGATTTTCGTCGTTTTGTCAACATTTCCACTCAAAATGAAACAACTTTCATTTACAAATCTGATCGAGTTTTCGAGTGGAAAGTCGATACTGAAAGATTTTACAAAAAGATGATTGAAATTATAGCTGAAATTGTGGGGATCGAGCAAATTCCATCTGACTCACTTGCTGCCAAAAAGCTCAATGATTCGCTCGGTCAACAACGAGAATTCCCGACTTTTATGAGAGAAATAGATCGCTTTTTTGGCAGAAATAATGAACGTTTTCTTATTTCGAATCAAATGTATTTTGTGCATCAATTCTCAGAAAATCACTATCGAATTCTGAATCCAATTTCCTTTTGGGCTGACTCGATCGATCGAATTGATGCAGCTTGCATACTCAAGATATTCAAAAACTGACTGTAGTGAGTATAAAGTGCTTTACGTTTCCAATATTGCTTTTTTTTTGTTGCCTTCTTTCTCAAACTTGATCCTCTAAACGATTTTCATTTCCATTCTCTCAGTTTCAAAATTTTTTAGATGTTGAGAATAAATATTGGGTTGGTGAGAATGAAATGGAACTTTAAAGACACTTTTTGCACGGATAAAGCCTTCTTTAAATACACGTTTTATTTTATCAAAAGGGTCCACCATTTCTCTACAAAATGACTTTTGAGATATTCGACAAAGCTTTGCTTTCGTCGAGTTTATGGACTCCCAAACGCAGCTAGTCAAAATGGCAAAGAGTTCGACTCATCTTTTGAACGGTTTCTTCTACATAACCCTCCTTGGGTGTCTACAGCAAAAAGATAGAGCACACTCAATTACATAAGTTGCCAAATTTTCAGGAAGATCCCTCCAACCGTTTTTTCTAGATGACAGTTTATAGATTTTGTGAAAAAAAAATGCCTTTTTTTGAGCTGAGGCCCTGTTTGAGTTCCCTTTTAAATATCATTTTGTAGAGAATTAGTTAACCTTTTCACTGATTTCAAACGTGTATCATTTGACAAAGTCCGCTAGAAGTTTTAGAAGTTTCTTTGATTTTCGGTGCCATTTCATTCTCCTCAACCCCATATATTCTTACTCAAAAGCTTCCCAAAGCTCACATTGTCACTAACAAAGACGACAACAAAAAGAGCTTGTAGAGATAAGCTTGAAAAACTTTATCAAGTTTAATGTTTCGACAACTTGATGAAGGAACTACTGATGAATTGTGGCGCCAAGATTTTATTACCTCCCATCTTTAGAACAAAAGAGTTTGCGCGACGCTCGCCTTTCTTGCATTCTTGCCCTTTCTACCGTAATCTCCCGCCACTTTTGGAACACCCGGGCCTCTTTTCCTTTTAAAGATCAACTCTTACAAAACTATTATTTTACTGAATTTGATCTATTTTTGCACAATGCCTTCAAAATTCGCAATCTCAACTCTTCCAAAAACGCTGAAAAATGAAATATTCAAATACACTCACCCGGAAAATTCATTATTGAGGGTAAACCGAGAAATCCGAGCATTTTACCTACAAAATCGTCTTTTCCCTGGCAGAACTCAAGAAATCGAATTCTGGATTAAAGAGAGCTTTTCCCCGGATCTTCTCACCCTAAACATCAGAATTTGGCCATTTTCCTTTGTGCTCACTTTAACGGATGAAATCGTGCAGTTTGGAAAAGCTTTGAAACGAGACTGGACTCGAGTCTCATCTCGCGTTCTGAATGCTCAAAAACGCGCAACTTCTTCTACTATCTATAGAAAGCTTTACAGATATTCGAAAAAATGTGCAACCTATTGGAATCTTTCATTTCAATCGATCGTCAAAGCTCTATCGAGAGTCGAAACTCGAACGATCACTATTGGATCTCATTTAAATAATAGTCAAGTGAATATCAATGAAATGAACAAAACATTGAGGAAAATTGAGGAAATTTGCGAAAAGATTCAGCCAGAGAAGATTTTCCTTGAATTCGTTAGCCCTTTCCATATTCAACCGATATTTCCATTATTTACAAAATCTTTTCCAAAACTTGAGCTAAAATTGGATACTGTTGATCCAGATGAAGAAACCAGGAAATTTATTCAAAATGTTTTCAAAAATCTGAATTCCAAACTTAAAATGATCACTTGCCGAGCACCAATTGAGTCAATTCTTGAATCGATTTCAGAAATCCCATCAAATATCGATTTGGTATTCATTTCAGCTTACGATAGACCAATAACTCAGCTCTTTTTTCAACAACTTATCGAATCAACTCTTGAAAAAGATTCACTGTTCATTTACACTTCAAATCATTTTTTTGGTGACACTGTAAGTATTCAAAAAGTAAACAAAAAGCTTTTAGAAGAAATCAATAAAATAAAACCCATCCAGAAAGTTAAAGGAAACTCAAAATTGGTGAAATCAGCGGAGAGATATTTGGAAGAACGGAGAAAAGACAGAAATTTTGGAAAAGAACTAGAACAAGTTCTATCTTCTGAACTGATTTTGGAAAAGAAATGGTTTCTCTTGAAATTTTCCCCAAATCGATCACGAATTTTGGTGACGAATCTTGTCCGGATTTCCCTTGGAACCCCATTTGTTTCCATCGTTTGTGTGATGAAAACGTTTCATAATTTTCAGCTGAATTTTTAAAGAAAAATCTCATCTTTGGATTATTCAGGTTAATTTATCTAAAATTTATTGCCTTTAATTCCTCAAGTTATTTATTTCATTGCTTTATTATTTATTTCAGTTATTTAGTTATTTATTTCATTACGCTTTAATTTGCTACTCAATGAGTTTCTTCGCTCCGCACTAGCGCCAACAATTTAAGGTAGATAACTAAACTTAAAGATAATGCGCCATAAGCTTTTACTTTGATAAATAGTTTCGAAGTTCAATATTTGCTTAACTAAACTTTTTACTAATATTTCTGCTCTGAATGATGAAAAAGCCAATTATCTGTTTGTCAATTACTTTAATAAATTATACCAAACTTGTACATTTTCGAATACACATTTATTCAAAATCACACATTCAAAGATATAAATACCATATGTTTTTGTAGTGCTAAAAGGCTTAAATTTTCTCGACAAAATTGGGCAAGAGTCGTTCAAAAGGTAAACCCGGGGAGTGAGTGAGCAATGCTTCTTTTAACTGTGAAGATCATCTGCGCAGATGCACAGTTCAATCGAAAAATAGATCCGAAAATATCCACCGCCAACCGCTGCACATGAAGAGCATTCACAATCAGCTGGCGATCATTTATTGGGCAGAGTTGAAAGGGTGATCCTAGTAGAACAAGGAAAATGATAAGAACAATGATCAAGAAAAAACAACCATTACAACAATTTTTGTCCCATTAACAGTGCTGCTTGATTGACCAATCCGAGTCTTTCTGGCATTCGAACTTAGCACAAAATTAGCAAAATAGGATGCAAAAACAATTTAAGCAACAGTACTTTGAACTAAAAACTAGATCTAAAGCAAACCCTGATGTTAGTTTTCGGTGCATAATGGCCGGGGCAGGGATCGGTGTCCGTGCAGAGATTCGGCAAGAGTGGTTTACAAAGCTGAACTCCCAGACAATCGGCATCGCTGTCACAAAGGCTCATCGTCGCCTACAAAGTGTGTATTGACATAGCACAAGCTACTAGATTCTTGCACATTGTCCTGTCTTGAGTGCACCAAGTGCATGTAAGCTTCGGCTTCTTATTTGACTAGGTTCTTCAACCAGATCTGGTGCTACTAGCTTTTGCTTATTTGACTTCATTCCCTCTATTTCTCGTTGGATTTGATTGGCAACCTTTGAAACATTGAGCATTGTATTAGCCAAACTTTCAACTTTTACTGGAATCGCATCGAACTTGTTATTGATGTGTTCTCTTACATCTCCGAGCCGTTTTCGCGCCAGTCCTTCTAAACCGCACGTAAATAGGGTTCTAACTATGTTTCAGAGAGTGGAAAGGGTGGAAATGGGGAATAACTTTACTCGACTACGGTAGCCGGGGCGCGCAATAGGATATGTGCGCTAAATGAGTACTGGTCAGCACAAGAAAGAAGAAAATGAAAAGATTTCATGGTTTTTATGGTTTTACAATGAAAGATCCTTCATATTTAGCTATTTTAAAGACTAATTCCAAGTATAATTACTTTTCTAGTGAAATTTCACTTTTGAAAGAGAAAAAGACTCATTTTTAAACGTTTTCTTATCAATAGATTGTTCATCCAAAAAAACCCGACGAATCACTTCCAAAAATTTTTTCTCTGTGACCATTTATTGACTTTTCCCGATTCTGATCACTTCTGTTACATTTTTTCTTAAAATTTTGAAATTTTCTTGACATTTGATGTTATCCTTTTTCGAACAACCAACTGAGCCGATATTTTGGGGAACAGTAAGTGGAAAGTTAAGATATCACACAATTCTTTTAGGTTATTGCTAGCGGTTTACTTTTTCTCATAGTTTTACCGATTTCCATTTTTTTTTCTTGCTTGGAGATGGAAACCAGTGAAATCGTTCATTTTACAAAAATCGGATAAAACTTCGTCAAGGTTCGTTGGAGGAAAATTTTGGTTTTGATTTGGAATATTTATGATATCCTACTTCTAGCTAAAGTTAACAAAGCTGCTTTTTCTTAATCTTGATCCAAGATTCTCACCCTCATTTAGCCCGTTTTTTGAAAACTCTTCTGATATGACCACTCTTGGAAGCTATGTGCCAGAAAGTGTCACTACGAGTCTACTCAGTCAGAGTGTAGACCTAAAATGTGAGATTTTAAAGGTTTAGGAACAGTACAAGCTGATGAATTTTAGATGATTATCGAACTAAACAATTAATGAACGAAGCTCAACCAAATTCCTCAGAAGAAGTGCAGGTTGAGCAAGTTGTTGACGAACTAGAAGATAAGCCTTTGGAAAGAGTTTGCAAGATTAATCATGAAGGTATACAAAAGCTTTAGTTGAGCTATAACGATATTGCTGAAATCGATCCATCTCGACTCCAGATAGATGAGTCACAAGTCGTATGAGTCAACCAAAATTTGTTTAAGTTAAAAGATTCAGATTGGTGGTGGATGCTTTGGTCTTGTGATTAAGGGTTTTTTGGATGGAGAGGCTGTGGCTGTAAAGGTTTGCATTACAAGAAAGAAGCTCTTTTTTAATCCCTTTCAAATTATGATTCAAGTTTATGATTTGTTTTGGTCAGCTTCGAGATTTGCATTGGAAATCAAAGCCTTCATTAAATGGATTTTTAATATTTTTTTCAATTCTAAAGATCCAGACGTGTCTCCTTTCTCTGATTATCAGGCTTTTACTTCAACCAACTTATCCTAGGTGGCCAGCAAAGGCAGGAATGGAAGCGCTTGGTACAGAATGACTCGAGAATTGCTGTATCAAGAGATTTGTCTTCTTTCTCTCATGTTTCAACACGAGAATATTCTAAATTTTAAGGGTGCGATTACTGAGAACTGGGAGAAAGGGTAAACAAATGTTTAATGATTTCTACCAAAAATTCAGTAAATCATTGCTAATGATTATGGAGCTATGTGATGACAATTTATACGAAATCGTCACTAAAACTAAAGAAGATGACCTTTTTGTTGATGAACTTGTTTTGGGGGTTTGTTTGATAAGGATTCCTTTTCAAACGATTCAGGACGCACAACTTGATGCAAGAGGCTATCAAGTGGATAACAAAACGAGCTACAAGGTATTGAAGATTTAAAGCTTAAAGCCAATTCTTACTAAAACCGGCAGGTAGATGGAGTAAAGGTTCGTTAAAGGGAACTTGTAAATGAATTTATCTATTAGGTTTAAATTAATTAAATCTGGACTGAATTAGGACCGGTTCTTGAGGGCTCCGATCAATTGATTTAATAAAATGAATAGCTCCATTCGATTCCCCGGCCCCGAAAACCCCTGCTTACAAATTTACAGCTCCATGGCTTCTCTTTTGTACCATCTACAAAGCAAAAGAAAAATCACGGTGTTAAATGACTGGCGAGGTGTTCTTTGCGCGGCCGCGTAAACGCTCGAGGTCTGGTAAACAGTTTTAGTATAAGGCGCTTCCCTTTCGGGTCAGAGAAGACCCGGTCTGGTCGCTTTGGACGCCACTACACCCAATCTGGTAATCTGAGGGTGCCAGATCTGGACTATACGACGGATGCGGGAGACATTTCCAACCCAATTCCTCGAGTTTTTCCTGCGTCTTCTTTGCGGTGTGTGGGCGCGCGTTATCTTGCAGATATCTCACAGTCGATGTGTTTACACCTTGATTCTTGACAGCCTGGTCTACTCGTTCCAGCTATTGCACATATAGATCTGAGGTGACTGTTGGACGAGAAGGTAGCACCTTAAAGTGTATAAGACCACGGGAATTCCACCAAACAGATAACATAGCCTTCCTTCCATGCGGATCACGTTGTGGAGTCGTTTTTGGCTGTACTCCTGGACTTAACCACTGCCGTTTTCGCGATGGGTTATCGTAGTAAATCCATTTTTCATCGTCACAATAGTGTCCCAAAAACCTTGATTTTTTGATTGACGAAGAAGAATACCGGCCATAGTCACTCGAGTAACTTTATTAGCGTCACTAAGTTGACGGGGTACCCATTTTCCGACGAGATTCGCTTTACCCAAACGATGTAAATGGTCCGCAATTGTTGTGTGACCTACAGCAAACATTGTTGCAAGTTCCCGAGTCGACAAGGTTGGATCATCTTCTATGGTTTCTCGAAAGTCGTCATCGTTGAGCGTTGGAGGGGGGGTGACCACGTTCTCGATCCTCTAGAATTTCGTCTCCCTCTCTAAATCGTTGAAACCATTTTTTACAAGCTTCTTCTGAATAAGCAACTTCTCCAAAAACTTTAAAGATTGAACTATGGCTCTCCCGGACACTTTTTCCTTGTTTGAAGTGTTTGAAGAAGCAAGCACACCCGAATTCGGTACTTCTGATCTCCCATTCTAAAAAAAAGCCAAAATTATAAGGCAGTAAATTTTTATAAACATAGAATTAGAAAAGATATATGACTTTAAAACAAAACAAAAATTAGACGCGACGCTGTTCGCTACACCGAAAAAAATTTCAATCGAAGTTGAGGGTATTTTCATTCCGGACACCCTAATATATTAACGTCGACAATTTGGTTCCACTTAGTGTGAATCGGTCACAATTTACCCCGGCCCCCTCAACGATCAAAAATCAAGTCTTCAGTTTGAAATTGATGGCTCAATAACAATCACGAAAGACCCCCAACTCTCCACCTCGGATTTGCTTTCTTTTGCCTATCAAACGGCAAAAGGCATGCAATTTCTTAGCTCAAAACAGGTCTGTTTTACTTTTCTTTCCATTTTCCCAAATTTTCAGTATGTCCATCGTGATTTGGCCACAAGAAACTTATTAGTAAAGAAATGCGAAAGCGAGTGGATTGTGAAAATTTGCGACTTTGGTTTGGCGAAGGAGATTAGGGAAGCGAAAAGCCACTATTCACGGTGAGTTTTCGGAAAATGGAGAATTGAATGCATGATTTTGAACGTGATAAATCCAAAAAGTTAACAGTCATTTTGTTTTCAGAAACGGTTTCGCCCAGCCACTCAATTGGATGAGCCCCGAGGCATATGCGCATAAAAAAGTACACCTCTGCAGTGAGTGTTTTGAGATGAAATAACAAAAAAGGAAGGTTGTACTGGATCAAGGAAAGCTCAGGTAAGGCTGGAGTCGGGCCTGGCTTGGCTTGGCTGCAGTTCTAGCCTAGAAAAATCTCCTGGACTCGCAAAACGGCCTGGACATGATCCTGACCTCAGGCCGGACTCTAGACTTGCCCATGTTACAAAAATAGACTCGAATCTAGATCTTACTATCGATAAAACTTGAAGTCACCATTTTCCTTAGCCATTTCTAGGCTGACGTCTGGTCTTTTGGCATCGGTTTATATGAGCTTTTCTCACTCGGTGGAACACCTTACGGAAACAAAACCGAGCAAGAAATCCAGAAAGAATTATCGACAGAAAAGGAGAAATTGACGACAAAAAGGCCACCATATTGTCATCAAGAATTGTGAGTTCTTTGAAATCTTTCAAGTATCTCGTTTCAGATTCAACTTCATCGAATGCTTTTGGTACTATGATGCAAGCAGACGGCCAAGTTTTGAGGTAACTAGGTAGAGCTTCTGAAGAATTACAGAAAATGTTTAGAATTGTGTTAATGAACTGAAAAGCCATCTACAAAGAGCCAATCCACAGGTAAGGATAAGGAAAGATTGAGAACAATGGATAAAATTACATTTAGAAGTTGAAACGACTTGATGGGATCAATGATTGATCAAAATTCTCGAAGAATATTTATTGCATCAATATTTGCAAATTCCTTGGCTTTGACAGACTAAAATTTGGATTTGAACATCAATATCAAAAATAAATAAACATTGCGTATAGCATCGTTTAATTTCTTTCCCAAGTTGCGACTCTTTTTGATTGGGAAAACAGTTTTCTCCCGGCTGACAATCGACCTAGCATTTCTGTAATGTTAATATTGCAAAATTTTCACAGTTTTCTGATTTCTCAAGGATTTTCTTATCAGTACATCCGAATGAATAAAAACGAAAACTTGGCATGATGCAAATATAATATCCATAAAATGATTGCTCTTGACAGTGCTCCTCTAGTCGGCGCGATTGATGAAAGCATTGCTGAAAACAGGCCCGTAACAGGGAGGAAGGGCAAAACTTATCATTTTCAAAAAGTTTGTTCCCTCAAAGCTAGAATTTCTTTTTTCTTCTAATACAAAAATAAGCTATTTTTCTTCAAGAATTTGAATTTTTGTCAAAAATCTGCGCCAAATTTCGAAAAAAGTTTAAAATTTCTATTCAATACTAAAAAATTGGGCTCTTTCCCTTAATCGTGTTCTTTTGAAAAAGTCTTCTAAAAGTGTTTTAAGGTATTTTATTCCACATCCACATTTAATAAAAATTTAAAAAACAATCGTAAGAACAACAATTTTAGACTAATAATCAGACATATAGAAAGTCGGGCAAAATAACAGATGTCAAGGAATTTAAGGTTACAGATAAGCGATTCATCCATGTAGCCAAGGATTTTTCCCATCTTTTTTTCCCTGCAACTTTTCGCTCCTTCATTTTCTCTAAATAAAGGAGGTCAGCTCCCTTGGCCATTCAATTGTTTCCATGAATTTCTCCATACTCGGCTTCTCGTTATTCAGCATTTGATATGCTCTTTCAAAAGCATAAAGTGTCTTCTTGAAAACATGATCATCTTTCAATCCACTAAAGTATTGACTTTATCATTTTTTTCAATGTATAACCTGGCCAAGTTTGGAGATCCATAAGGGTCCTTGACAAAAATGTTATCCTGGTTTTTCGTGCCCCTTAATTTTGAATCGTTTTCAAAGCTACATTTGGAAGTTTTCACCTTTTCACAACCAAATCCTCATCCATTGTGATCTTTTCGGTTCTCCAAGAGAAATTGCTATAATATTTGAAAAAACCGATCAACAAATCGACAACAGACGACTCATTTTTTGAACCTGAAAGGAATTGTGTAAAAGAAATTTAAAAGCAGTACGGTTTTGTAAAATTCGGGATGTCAATTGATCCTCCTTTCTGTTCCCAAACTTGATCTCTTCCAAATCGCGTCCGAGACGAAACTGAATCTCTATTGGTCATGAACTTAGAATTTCACAACCTCATCGGGATACAGCTTTTGGAAGTTTGGCAATACTGGTGGACTCGCTCCCTTTTGGAGGTAGTGAACCAACATCACCAAGTAGGAAATGCTGAAGAAGTTTAATCGCGATTTAAAGCTTGATTAGATGCAAGGTGGGTACTACAAGTTTCCAAGGTCTTTAAAAACCTAACCCATTCATTCCTCCATTATCGCTTCCATATATTTTGTTCTTCTCCGCCCAGCTCTTAATCAGCAATCCAAGTTGGGCAAAACGAGAATCGATTCTAGGACTTAAATTGCAGATGAAATTGCTGAGCAAACTTTGCATATTGGCGAAAAAGATATGACGCAATAATGCCATTGTTGGATGTTCCATTTAGATCAACTTCGAGATTGTGATACTTATCGCCAAAGATTATGTTAATGATTGGAACCTGAAAATAAAATAGTGTTTGTAGATTTGCAAGGAATACCGCTGCATTTCTGAGCTCCAACTTCTTGAAATCACTCCCGAATTCCGTTGTCAGTTGGGTTTTCATAAGCGCGAGAAAACTAAAGAAATCTTTATCCAATTTTATATGATATGGTGTTCTTAAATTGGTTTAGATATTGCTAAAGCAAAGTTCAAATCACAAATTAACCCGAGAATTCCATTTAGGAAGTGTTTCCGTTGTATCTCTGTGGTGGCTTTCAGGTAAATATCGATGTCCGAATCCTTTGCCCCGCAGCAATTCGTCGTTGAGCCGTATGGATACAACCGAAGTTTCACATTCGGCACTGCCTGAAGTATTTACCTATTTTCATCAATGCCATTTTTATTTTTACTTCAGTTAATTTCTTTAAACCAAACCCCGATGATTTGAAAAAATGATTTTCCGCATAACTTACCCTTCCAATGATTTTCTCAATTCGATTCATCACCTCCATTTTAATGTCAAGTTCTTGTTGTGACTAAAATTCTTGATTCTTTTAGACAAAGCTACTTGAAAACCTGTTTGTTTCTGTCGAAGAACAGCTCAATCTGTTGGTTCAATTCTTTCCTCCATTTTGCTTCAATTTGCTCCATAACTTGTCAAAATCTGAACGATTTTTTATTTTAAAATATCTAGTTTCTTAAATGACAAAGTAAAGTCAATTTTGATTACGTTTTGGTTCAAGTTTTTGCTGCGAAGGGGCTCATTACCAAAAGGCATCGCTGAGAGAGAGCCTAGATATTTTATATTTTTGTGTAGAAAAGGTGAAAAAAGAGAAGAAAAAGCAAAAGTTAGAAAAGAAAAGCATTACAAGTAGAAATTGATGTAAGGAAATGCAAAAGAAATAGTTTCTTGAGTGGAAAATTGATTTTTATAAGGGTCGGTTGGCTTACGAGAGTTTTATTTTTTTGTGTAAGAAGTAGGCGAGGAAAGAGCACAAAGAGAGTTCCAAAAAGGGGAAAGGAACGTTTCCAGAAGCCCTTTCCCCCCTCTATTTCTCCATCTTTTTTCACTCTCTCAGCTGTTCTTTTAAAGAGCTCGAGAATGTCAGAAAGCTCATGGTTTAACTCAATCATCTTCATATCAAAAATCCAAGAAATTTTTCGAGATTATTTCGACCCAAAGTTCTGACCGAATTGGTTTAAGTCTTTGGATTTACAAAATTTTGGTTTCCCACCAGTTTCTCTTACTCGCTTCAAGCCAAATTTCTCGATTTCTCGATTTCTCGACAAAATCTCGTTTTATTTTAGAATTCTGACCAATTCTAAAATGCTCAACGAGTTTTATTTCTGTTTTTTTTCTCATATTTTAAACTCTATTCTCGTTTTGTTAATCTTCCACGAGAAAAAAAGAATATTTTGTTTGAATTGACAATGAATCAAACTTTATACAAACAATCACCATAAACGAAACGTTCGAACGTTAGTTTTCTCGATTTTACTTTAAGAAAAAAGCTTTTCTGACCAATTTTTTTGCAACTGATCACAAAAAGCGCAAGAGCAAAAGTTTTTCTCTAAAACCTCAATCTCCCACCACCTCTTTTCCCTCTTTTGGAAGCTTCGGGAACTCGAGAAAAAATAAAACTCTCGTAAGCCAACCGACCCTTATAAAAATCAGTTTTCCACTCAAGAAACTATTTATTTAGCATTTCTCACATCAATTTCTATTTGTAATGCTTTCAAAACCTCAAATTTTAATCCATAATTGGCTTCGTGACTAACTCGTTGTTAAATTTCATCTGATATTTAAAATGGACATATTCCAAATTGAAATTTTTGTCAGAATGTTTTGAAATTTAAAATTTCAATTCAAACCTTTTCTAGACAAAAATATCAAATATCTAGGCTCTCTCTCAACGATGACTTTTGGTAACGAGCCCCTTCGCAGCAAAAACTTGAACCAAAACGTAATCAAACTTTGTCATTTAAGAAACCAGATATTTTTAAATAAAAAATCGTTCAGATTTTGGCAAGTTATGGAGCAAATGAACAAGAATGGAAGAAAGAATTCAGCCAACAGATTGAGCTGTTCTTCAACGAAAACAAACAGGTCTTCAAGTAGCTTTGTCTAAAATAATCAAGAATTTTAGTCTCAAGAAGAACTTGACAATAAAATGGAGGTGATGAATCGAATTGAGAAAATCATTGGAAGGGTAAGTTATGCGGAAAATCATTTTTTCAAGTCATGGGGGTTTGATTTAAAGAAATTAACTGAAGTAAAAATAAAAATGGCATTGATGAAAATAGGTAAATACTTCAGGCAGTGCCGAATGTGAAACTTCGGTTGTATCCATACGGCTCAACGACGAATTGTTGCGGGGCAAAGGATTCGGACATCGATATTTACATGAAAGCCACCAAAAAGGGACAGCGGAAACACTTCCTAAATGGAATTCTCGGGTCCATTTGTGATTTGAACTTTGCTTTAGCAATATCTAAACCAATTTAAGAACACCATCTCATATAAAATTGGATAAAGATTTCTTTAGTTTTCTCGGGCTTATGGAAACCCAACTGAAAAAGAAATTCGAGAGTGATTTCAAGGAGTTGGAGCTCAGAAATGCAGCGGTATTCCTTGCAAATCTACAAACACTATTGTATTTTCAGGTTCCAATCATTAACATAATATTTGGCGATAAGTATAACAGGCTCGAAGTTGATCTAAATGGAACATCCAACAATGGCATTATTGCGTCATATCTTTTTCGCCAATATGCAAAGTTTGCTCAGCAATTTCATCTGCAATTTAAGTTCTAGAATCGATTCTCGTTTTGCCCAACTTGGATTGCTGATTAAGAGCTGGGCGGAGAAGAACAAAATATATGGAAGCGATAATGGAGGAATGAATGGGTTAGATTTTTAAAGACCTTGGAAACTTGTAGTACCCACCTTGCATCGAATCAAGCTTTAAATCGCGATTAAACTTCTTTAGCTATTCTTACTTGGTGATGCTGGTTCACTACCTCCAAAAAGGAGCGAGTCCACCCGTATTGCCAAATCTTCAAAAGCTGTATCCCGATGAGGTTGTGAAATTCTAAGTTCGTTACCAATTGAGATTCAGTTTCGTATCGGACGCGATTTGGAGGAGATCAAGTTTGGGAACGAAGAGGAGGATCAATTGACACAAAACAGTACTGCTTTTAAATTTCTTTCACACAATTCTATTCAGCTTCAAAAAATGAGTCGTCTGTTGTCGATTTGTTGATCGGTTTTTTCAAATATTATAACAATTTCTCTTGGAGAACCGAAAAGATCACAATGGATGAGGATTTGGTTGTGAAAAGGTGAAAATTCCAAATATAGCTTTGAAAACGATTCAAAATTAAGGGGCCAGCGTAACAGGGGCCAGCGTAACAGGGATTACATTTTTGTCAAGGACCCTTATGGAACTCCAAACTTGGCCAGGTTATACATTTAAAAAAATGATAAAGTCAATACTTTAGTGGATTGAAAGATGATCATGTTTTCAAAAAGACACTTTATGCTTTTGAAAGAGCGTATCAAATGCTGAGTAACGAGAAGCCGAGTATGGAGGAATTCATGGAAACAATTGAATGGCCAGAGCATCTTGACCGGCTTTACTTAGAAAAACTGAAGAAGCAAAAAGTTCCACGGAAAAAAAGACGGGAAAAATCCTTGGCTACATGGATGAATCGCTTATCTGTAACCTTAAATTCCTTGACATCTGTTATTTTGCCCGACTTTCTAGATGTCTGATTATTAGTGAGAATAAACTTGGCACTTGATTTGTGATTGGTTTATTTTTACAATCTTTTTTATCCGGACTGCTTGATTAAATTCATTTTGCGATCAATTTGGCCAAGATGAAAACGAAATTTTGTAATAGATATTTGGTCGTTGCATATGAAATTTCAGTGACTTTACCTTGCCTCAACTTTCTCATTTTACCATGGATTTCTTTCATTTTTTGCAATTATATAATAGACACATGAGAGATATTATGAGAGACACTTGATAAAGCTTTGTACTGGTATCGTGGTGCAAAAAAACATGATATGCCTTATTGATCAGTGTTCTCTTGGAAAAAAAGGAGACTTCTTTAAAAAAAAGGCGAATCCTTTATCTACAACAGATTATCATATAATGTAGATGAATAAAGTTTTTGGCTAAAAATCTTAGTTTATTTATTAACTCTAATATGACACCACGATGTCAATACAAAGTTTTGATTTGATGGCAAAAGTCTTATGGTGGCAAAACACGACCGAGAAAAGAAGCCGTACAGACAGACTAACAAACAGACAAACAGATGCTACTTTTTTAGATCTTGGTGGCATGGCATGGCATGGTGGCACTCACAATCTCACGTACAGGGTGTCAGTGCCACCATGGCTCTTACTGCCACCATAAGACTTTTGCCATAAAAGTAAAATAAAAGTCATGGTGGCGGGAGCCATGGTGGCATTGACTGAGCCAAGCCTGAGCCTGATTGCAGATTTTTAGGGTTCTTTTCGAAAATATCGTATTTATTTCTAATAACCGCCGCACTAAACTGACGAAGCTCCGCCCACTTATCAGAAAGACAAAACGTTGCGCCAAATTGCGGATTTTTAACTTTAAATTTCTGAAACTTTGCCAGAACTTGCACTTTCTATAGGCGCATCTATAGAAATAAAAGAAATTTTGCTTTATTCATTGCTGAGAAAACTCAGAAACTTTGAAAAACAATGATGCGTAAATGTTTAAGTTTTCTCAGAAATGTTTAAAGCAAATTCAATTGCTTTTTGCTTTTTTCTATAGATGCCTCTATAGAATTTGGATATTTTGACAAAGTTTCAGAAATTGTAAGTTAAGAAACCCGCAATTTGATGTAACGTTTTGTCTCTCAGGTGAGTGGGCGGGGCTTCATCAGTTTAGTTAGAGTTATTTTAGTAGAACTAGTTATTAGAATTAGTTATTATTATTAGAATTATTAGAATTATTAGATTATTAGGTTATTAGGTTATTATGTGAAAATAAATGAAAATTTGCCTAAAAGCGAACCTGCTCAAAAACGCTGGCATCTTTGAAACCACGGCCCAAGCAGGTCACTGTCGTTCGCTCACAACTTCAAAAAAGCATATCGTATTTTGTCTAATAAACGCCCGTCCAAACCCGGAGACAAACAGACAGACAAACAGACAGACAAACAGACAGACAGACAGGCAGACGTCTCTTTTGTTTTATAAATAGTAGATACTGTATTTCCTCTAATAAACGCTCCTTCCTTGACCAACTTTGAACGCTGCTTTCTCAGCCCCATTTTGAGATGTCTTTATGCTTAATATACCAAAAAAATAGAAAACCTTAAGGGCTATTTTTTGGTATATTAAACATAAAAATATCTCAAAAGGGGGCTGAGAAAGGCGCCTCCAAAGTTGATCGAGAAGGGGCGCTTATTAGAGAAAATAAATCTACTACAGTCGAACCTCTCTACAACGTAACTCACGGGACCGGCTATAGTTTACGTTATATAGAGGTTTACGTTATATCGAGGTTTTGTTATATAGAATCAAAAACGCAGGGTTTATTGCAACCATTACGTTATGTAGAGGTATTGGAACATATTTATTGCAAAAACTCAACAAAAAAGGTAAAAAAATTATCAAAAAGCATCAAAGTTTAACAAAAAAGTTAGTCAAACGGGATTGTTTAGGAGAAAAAAAAGCCTGATCAAAGAAAAAATTATCAAAAGTTGCTAAAGCCTTAACAATTTCGGAATTAGGGTTATTCCTCACAAATATCTTGAGCTTTTGAAGATGTAGATATGCCTCGGATCGTGTCACTATCGGCTCTTCCACGTCTTCAACGATTGGCTCATCATCCTCGCTATCAGAAGAAATCGACTGTAGTTGCGAACCTAAGGAAACATAATTGATCTTTTCCTTAAATCAGCATTACTTTAAACGATATAATCTGTACCTTTAGCAGCTAGTGCAATTTCCTCTAGCGATCTTAACCCTGTAGTCACAACATTTTCGTCGGCGCAAGCAAATTCCAAAGGATTGATTGATCGATCAACGTCTTCACTATCAATAAGTTGATTCCAGATAGCCTGCAATGATTGTAGCGAGTTATCGTCGTCGTTATTGTTTTCGATAAATGGCGGCTCATCTTGCATACATCTCTTGAATCCGGCCTTACGAAAACAATTTGAAAGCGTCTCCACTTTAACGTCATTCCAGGATTCTTCGAGTAAGTATAGTGCATCCAAAAGATTAAATTCGAATTTGGCCTTTGCATCGACAGCTGCAATTCTTTGTTTCAACAATCCTGTTCGGTATCTGACCTTCAGATTTTTAATTATTCCCATATCCATTGGTTGGATTGCCGCAGTTGCATTCGGCAAAAAGAATTTAATCTGAATGTTTGATAAATTGAGCTTCGGATGTGCTGGACAGTTATCAATAAACAACAAAATTTCCCGATTAAATTTGATCAAATTTGAATTCCATTTCTTGAGATAGCTCTCAAATAATTCGCTGGTCATCCACGCTCTTGAATTTGCTTCGGACAAAACAGGAAGTTTTTTGACATCCTTAAAGCAACGCGGATGCTTCGATTTACCAATCACGAATAAAGGGCATCTTTCGCTTCCATCCATATTTGATCCGACGAGAACAGTGACTCTATCCTTGCTCTTCTTTCCACTTGTGCATCTATCGCCTTTGAAAGACAACGTTTTAAAAAAAAAGAGCTTGTAAGAGCTTGTAAAAAAGAGCTGTTTCATCCAAGTTAAAAACATTCTTTGGCTCAAATTCTTTCAAGAGTCCCTTCAATACTTCATCTTTCCACTGCTCAACATTGTTCAGGTCGATTTCGGCTGCTTCTCCTTGTAGGGAACGAAAAACAATGTCATGCCTATGCTTCAGCTTTTCTAGCCATCCATTGCTAGCTCGGAAATCGGTAATACCCATCAACTTTGCAAGCTCCAGAGCTTTTGTTCGAAGCAAATTTCCGTCCACACATTCATTGTTGCTTCGAATCTCTTTCAACCAAGAAATAACCGCACCTTCCAGGTCCTCGTGTTTGCTATTCTTCACTCGTGCTCGCTTGCCCTGAGAACCGTCATTGATCGCATTAGAAATCGTTTGCTTTTGGCCCAAAATCGAAGAAATGGTCTAAATTGGCCGCTTGAATTCCCTTGCTAAATCCGTTACTCCTTTCGAAGTTGAAGCATCAAGAATTCGCTTTTTTTCAGCTAGATCGATCCTTTTCCGGGTCGCCTTCTTTCGCTCCATCGCCTGAAAAATGATAAATATCATTTAATACAGAAAATAAGCACGTAAAAAGAATAAGTGAACGATATATGAACGCAAAAAAACTTATTAAGAATCCATGTAAGTGATTTTTTTCTTCTTTTAAATTGTGGCAAAAAGGCCACAGATTAGAATAGTCCATCCAAAGAGCATGGTAGTTGGAAGAAATATCCACGTTTTAGCATAAAATCCGTTATATGGAACAAAAAATTGCATATTTTCAGGCAAAATTTTCCGTTGTATAGAGGTTTACGTTATACAGAGTTACGTTATATCGAGGTTTTTTTATAGACATTTTGTATTACATTTGGCCGGGACCGGTCACGCCTTACGTTATAGAGAGGTTTACGTTATATCGAGGTTCGTTATAGAGAGGTCCGACTGTATGTATAAAACAAAAGAGACATCTGTCTGTCGGTCTGTCTGTCTGTCAGTCTGTTTGTGTGTCTGATTGTCTGTTTGTTTGTCTGTCTGTCTGCCTGTTTATTTGCTTGTGTGCCTGTTGGTTTGTCTGTCTGTTTGTCTTTCTGTTTGTCTGTTTGTTTGTCTGTCTGTCTTTTCGCGTGTCTGTCTGTCTCTCTGTTTGTTTGTCTTTCTGTTTGTCTGTCTGTCGTCTGTCTATCTGTCTGTCTTCTGTTTGTCTGTTTGTCTGTCTGTCTGTCTGTATACCTGTCTGTCTGTCTGTCTGTCTGTCTGTCTGTCTGTCTGTCTGTCTATCTGTCGGTCTTTCTGCCTGTCTTTCTGCCTGTCTATCTGTCTGTCTGCCCCTCTGCTGTGTCAAAATGATATCTAATGTCCTTTTTTTTCGTCGAAAATTTAACGCTGAGCTCACCATTTCTTTTGCTTCCAAGACAGCGAATAGAAAGAGCGAAAAAAACAGGCAGGTCTTGTACCGCATAATAAGAAAATGAATGGAAAATAGTGTACAAATATAGATAGATGAGTTGATTATCCAATTAGAGATCCGGAGAAGGTTTATCTAAAGATCTAATATACAAAGATATCTAGAGATCTAAAAGAGTAGCGTCTGTCTGTCTGTCTGTTTGTTTGTCTGTCTGTCTGTCTGTCTGTCTGTCTGTCTGTCTGTCTGTCTGCCCGTTTGTCTGTCTGTTTGTTTGTCTGTTTGTCTGTTGCTTGTCTGTTGCTTGTCTGTCTGTTTATCTGTCTGTACGGCTTTTTTTCTCGGCCGTGTTTTGACCAATAAAGTTAAAGCTTCTCTAGAAAACCTTGGAATATATTGTAGTTGTGCCATTTTGAATAAAATGGCAAAAAAAAGTCAAAATTGGCATTACGGTGATTCGAACCCTATCCTGCTAGTTACAGATCTCAAGAGCTTAAATATTTTTTGATTTACGTAGCTTCAATTTCAAGTTTCAGTTTGCTAACAATAAGTCAAAAAGCGAGAAAATTGGTTAGGCGAAGAAACTTCATAAGTTCGGCAGAGTAGCACCCTAACCGCTAGACTAAAGAAGCCGCTGAGCTAAAGAAACTCTCCTTGCGGCCGCCAGATAAAGCGAATTGTGCGAAATTGAGCAAATTGAGCAAATTTGAGAGAATTGCAGTAAGAGAACCGCCTAAGTGCAGCCCCAACGATGCGCCATTACGGCTAAATGTCTCACAAAGCCAAATGTAGACACACAAACTTGCATATAAAGCCCAAGTTTGCATACGAAATCGCCAAAAACCATTGGTTTTGCATCCTTTCGGGGTCAAAAAAGTTCATTTTTTTAAAGCAAATCTATGTTGAAAATGCAAAATTCGTGATTAGCGTCGTCGATTACCCCGGCAAAAGAGAAATCGAAGATATAGGTGGCCCCCCAACCACCAAAGTACCCTTCTTTCTTCTAATTAATTGCTCAATTTTCAGGTCGATGAACGCTCGCAATCAGTTTAACTTCCTGGATGAAGAGGACCAATATTGGAATGAGAACGGATCGACGAACTCTTCGTTTTTCGATGATCGACGACCGAACGAGCTGCTCGCGAAGCATGAATTGACGAGAATGGCCATGGATAATTTATTCGAAGATGTGAGGACACCATGTGAGGCGTTGACCAGCAAACAACCACCACCACCCCCTCAATCAGCCCAAACTACTCCTACTTGGAAAAACAATGTTGCGTTTAGTGCTGGACCGATCAGATCAGCTACCACGACACCACTGAAAATGGAGGCGCCAAGGCTTCCACCGAAAGCTCCATTTCCCGATATTGGATTGAAACCAGCGGCCTCGGTTGTGTCAATTGCTCCATCGGAATGCAGCGTTTCGTCGTTTCCTTCTGACGCACAACAACAGGAAATCGATTACAATAGGTTGAAAAACGAACACCGCAAATTGCAGCGACACTTTGAGATGATACGCGCTGAGCGGTATAAAGCGCTCGATGTGCGTGAGACGACGCGAAGATTGTTCATGAATGAGCCGGTGGCTTTGGATTTGTACAAGTCAAAGGCGGAGAAACTTGCTCTACTCGACTATTGAAATGATTGATGGGAATGTGATCCTAGCCGTTGTGTTTTTCATTCAACGAACTGTTTCCGAGTCAATCTTTCGAGAGATTTTACTGCAAAAACCGAAAGCCGCTGAGCAGTACATTCAGTATTTGAAAGATGCAAAGAATGTTGACGAGTTAATGACAACGATGTGTGCATTGGTGCATTGGACAACCACTGAAGCGGCTATGATTGAGTTCAACGTTGCTATGGAGGCAAAAACAGTCACTCAGAAAGTTTTCCTCCTGAAGAAAGCCTTGGGGTCAACGTTTTTGGATCCAAATCTTCAAATGGAAAGAGAACAAGTGAGGAAGTATTTGGATTTGGTCGAAAGACAAACACAAATCGAGGCCGCTGACTCACAAGACAAGTCGAAGTTGTTCACCGATTACCCGAAAAACGCGTCTCTGATTGGACAACCGGCAATCCACACTTTGTATTACTCTTGTCTGTATCATCACGATGATCCAACCACTTCACAGGCATCACCGCAAGCAATCAAAGATCTTTGTCATTTGAATGATAAACAATTGACATGGATGTCGATTCAAACGCTAGTGAAACAAAATCGATGGCTTGACATTGAAAAGGCGCTGTGCCCCCGCAGTTTGCTTCCAAATCTTGGCAAAACAAGCGGGTATTTAAAGGCGAATGTTGTGCCGATGATTCATCTCTTGAGGCTTCTACATCTTGACAATGCTCAACCGCCAAAAGATCTCGTTTGTCGTTTGTGCGAACTCTTCCCAATGTGAATGACAAGCTACGACTCGCGGAAAAGTATATAGCCGGAAACGTATAAGTCGTCATTGAGTGCACACAGCAGCAAAAGGATCGCGTTTAGAGGCGTATCTGAAGAAGTTGACGCCTCATTCTTCGGATCATTATAAAACACTGGCTGCTCTTAATAACTCCAATGCTAAATGGAAATAATTTTTTTGTTGTGCTATCTACTCTACGGTTTCTTTTCTGCATGATTCGGATTTAATTTATTCTCTTTTTCTTTGCTTGTTAAGTCTTTCTTTCGATAAGTGAACTGTGATACTTTTTTCTACTCATTCACTTCAGTTTCCCGTGCTTTTCACTTTCAAACTGTATCTCTATTGTTTGGATGAAAAAATCTCGATCTTTAGGATGTCGTCGACAGTGTCGACATCAGAAACCTCGACGGCAATTGGTGGACCACCGCCACCGGCTCCTGGACGGGTAAAAACTTTATTCATTTAGCTTTGTTGGTGAATTTAATACAAAAAATATACCAAAGAAATCAAGATTTTAATAGACAAGAATCAAGCTCAACGTTGAGGTGATTCTCTAAATTTAGAAACTAGCTAAATGTGCCCCAAAGCTCAGCAAGACCTAATTTTCTGATCTTATTTTTAAGAGCCAATTAAATTTCGATTTTTAGGTATCGTTTCGTGATCTGTGTTGCCTCTTTTGTTGCCCACCTCTTCCATCGAGTATCGTCAGCAAGCTAGCTTTTATGCCACCTGAACCGTGTTATTCGATCACCGATGATTCAAGGTTGGGCAAGTGTTTTCTTTGAACAATGCAGGTTTTTTAGGTTAAATTTGATCGAAGGACGAGCCGAGTGCCCACATGAGGTCAGGCCACACAGAAGAACTTCGTTTGATTGAGGTACTTGTTTTGTTTGTTGATTGCTGATTTAGTTGTATTTTTATGTTTAATTTTTAATTAATTTTTAGATGTTTACGACCCGGACAAGACGGAGAAACAAAGTCGCTTGCCTCTACGTGCGGCCATGCGGTGATGCGGCACGGTACACTCTCCTTTTCTCGCACGGAAATGCTGTCGATCTCGGACAAATGAGTAGTTTCTACTATGGACTTGGATACCGCTTGGGATGCAATGTGTTTAGCTACGATTATTCAGGTTTGGTTTTATCCTAAATTTGCTAATAGATAGGACTTGACATTTAAAGATTATAAAAAGTTTTTGACTAATAAACAAGAAAGTCTTTATTAAGTTAATGAACTTTTTAAATTTCCAGGTTATGGTTGCTCGACTGGTAAAGCTAGCGAGAAGAACCTCTACGCCGATATTCAAGCAGCTTTTGAGGCTCTCCAAACAAGGTTCAAACAAACTTCTTACTTTGCAAAATCTTTTGAATAATAATTTTATGTTTACATTTGGCTTATTTTAAAGTTTAGATATGACATTCCTGCTGAGCGGGTGATTCTCTACGGGCAAAGCATCGGAACGGTGCCTTCAGTGGATTTGGCTTCGAAACACCCCGATGTAGCTGCTTTGGTGATTCTTTTTGCACATTTCTTCATTTATAAGCTTTCAGATATTACATTCTCCTTTGATGTCCGGAATGCGAGTTGCTTTTCCGGCCGGAGACACAACGGACTTGGTGTTGCGATGTTTTTCCTTCAATAGGTTTCACTTCATTTCTTATAGAGTCTACTTTGTATTTTAGAAAAAGTACCTCGGGTCACTTGTCCTACTCTTGTTATACATGGTACTGATGACGAGGTAAACTGGGTTTATAGTTTTAGTACTAAAGTTTCAATTAGGTTATCGAATTTTCACATGGAGTCTCGATTTATGAGCGATGCCCAGCTTCAGTGGAGCCGTTATGGGTGTGTTTTCTGAAAATACTTGATCGATTTTGACGAAGAGAATATCTATTGTTTTAAGTTGTTTGATTCTTTATCTAAAGCTTGTTTTAAGGTTGCCGGCGCTGGGCACAGCGATGTGGGGTTGCACGCGGCTTACTTGGAACGACTACGACTCTTCATCGAAAATGAGGCCGGCAAGAAACCAGCCACCACCCAAGCTTATCAACCAAATGGGTTTGTTTTTGTTTCAATCAGGTAAAAAAAAATCAGAATACACCGCAAAACTTCATTTTCTGAAAATATTGCCGTTTTAGAGCCATCAAAAGTACGCGTAACAACGACTCGGCTCGAACTGCATAAATGCGAATCTAATTTTTCTTCTAATCCTTCCTCGCTTAATACATGTACGAGCTTTGTTGGCAATATGGCAATATTCTTTGTTTGTTATAACTAAATATATTTGCTAAATATAAATAAATATTATAACTAAATATAAATATACTAAATAAATATAGCACAACTATTCGACAAATAAGAGGCAAACCGCTGTTGTTTTCTCCCAAGACCTCGAGTAAAAATTCAAATTGAAAAACCGTAAATAACTTATAGCCTAAACACTTTTGGAAACTTGATCATTCTTAAACCATACTTGAGCGTGATCAATTTGACGTCCACAGTGCTTCAAGATCTTTGCGACAGCAGAAATAGCGTTCTCGGTAGCACTGGTGCCTCAAAATAAAGTTACTTCTGTATTTGCTGCCAGTTACAAACCTTCCTCAGCTGCACGAGCATCAGGTTGGTTCATTTCAGCCAAAAGTAGAAGCACTGCACGCAGATATCGGTGAACAGTGTGCCCCGAAGAGCCATAACTTCTAAAGTAAAAAATAAAGTTAGCACGGCAGTTTTTCCTTGACAAATCCATACGCCGTAGCCTGTCGCACTTCAGGGTGCTGATCTTTTAAGCACTCCACCAGACGAGGAGCAAAAGCTTGCTGGATGAGTTGTGCTTCCTAAATAAGTGATTTTATAAACAACGCGTCCACCACGCTAGCATTTTACTTTTGGTGCAAACTCGATCAAATCGTCTACCATGCAAACAGCCCATTGACCATCAGTGTAATCGCGACTTTGATCAATCATCACAATAATACCAGGAATAATCGATTGAACCGTTGGATAAAAAGTTGGACCGAACGACTAAAATTAACCATTTAAACTTTGGAATTGATCTAAAAGTCAACCTTAAAGCAAGCATGAAAGAGATTCGACACGCATCCAAGCAAGTTAGCATCACTTTCTTGATCTTCATCAGCCTTATTGTGTGCGTCTTCTGGATCAGCATCTTCATACACCAACAAACAAAAAGACTTCGCTAGTTTAGACTTGATAGCCAACCTCTTTAGCTTCTCGTTGATTACGGCGTTCCTCGAACTTCGTCAACTGACAGCAATGTGACAGTTCCAAGCAATGTGACAGCTTCGGCGATGGAATTCATTTGTTCCGCAAGGACATCTAGATCGTTCTCGGAATCCAATGTGCTCCATAGTCGCATAGTAGGTCTAAACAAGTATTTAGTCAAAATGCATTCTCAGAAAAAAAGCTCCACCTGCCCGAGTGGATACATTACTTCAGGTCCTTGTTCCTTGAAACACTCCAAAAACGCTGGCAACATTTCAGCCGATGACTCCCTGACTCCGAAGTTCATTCGTAAATATTAATTCATGTGTTAACAAACCTTCATGGGACACGAACTTCAAATTCTTGAGGACATGTGGCAGCACTTGCCAGGCTTAAGGACCAAACAGTTCTAAAAGTGCATAGAATTCGAATCAATAGTCCCAAGCTTGCATACCTTTCAACTCTCTAGCCTAGCAGACGAGCATTTCGCAAGTCTTTTCCTCAATTCCAGCCGTTCTGATTCCGAACGGGCGATTGTCATCAACAGTCGTGAACGACCATGCATGATCATTTTCATGATCATTGGCTTCCGAGTCTACAATCTATGCTCTTCGAACATTTGATAACAGCGACATACCGTCAACAACAGTCATTTCGGGAGCATACCCGATGTAGACAATGGTCCAAGAACCTAAAACCCTCCGGTAAATTACCTTGCAAATGCGGGTCCATGAGCTGATCCTGTAAGTGGTTTGTGGATTATCAGGTGGAAGATTGGCCTAAAGAAACTTCACTAAGGACAACAGCATTCATAAACCAACATCGTATCAGCAAGCATGTTCATAATTTCCTGCCCGTCATTTGCAAACTTCTCCCGCCCAACAGGACGCCCAATTTGTGACACACATTCGATCGTCTTGCCTCGAAGTAGCTAAACGGACTTAAAGAAGAAATTATATATTTTGGATTAAGCAAAGATGGGATTCAGTCTTACACAATAGTTACTTCGGGACAACGTTCCCTAACACGAGAGAGTAAATCATTCAAATATTCTTCCATATCACGAAGCCGAGAATCCTAGAGAATATTCCACTTATTGATAATTCATTCGAACCTTTACGCGAGCTTCCTTTTTCAGTTTATCGATTTTTGCAAGTGGATCTTGTCGATGCGCCGCATCATGCATATCACATAGGAAACAGTCTAAATAGTCCGATATATTATAAACCGTCGCCGCTAAATGTTTCACGCTTTTACAATAAAAAAAATAAGGTCATTCAAACCTGGTTTCTGTGATTAGGGCTGATTCCCGAGCTAGCAATAGACGGTGGACGAGCCGGATGTGGTGGTGATTGAAAGCTTTCCGCGGTCGATAATGTTGAAATCTCCGCACCCTAAAAATACTACATAATTTAGGTGTTTAAGTCATTAACCTATTTTAACTTATTAGTCTTTATTAAACGCGCAAAGAGCAAAATGCTCACCGTGGTGGGGCTTGTCGGCTCATAATAAATCTCATTGTGCAAGTAATCAAGGGATTCGTCGCGTTTAATGATCGACGATATCGGCTGCGAGCTCTCTCAAGACGATCGTTCTCTAAAGATCACAAGAAAATGATAATACGATTTTCAACTGTACAAAACATTACTAAATCATTGATAATACAAAATAAAGAAAGAAAGAAATGGGAGAAATTGATATATCGAGCGGAATTGAACCCTCGACCTTCCGCTTACCAGTCAAATGATCTACCGACTGAGCTATCGACACCCTCGTTGCTAGAGAAGAAATAAGAACCACAAGAAGAAAGAAAGGAATGGCAAAAAAACCGAGGGGGGGACTGAACCCCGGACATTCCGCTTACCGGGCCGACGCTCTACCGACCGAGCTATCGACGTCTTCGTTGCCAGAGAAGAAATAGGAAATCTAAGGAAGAAAGGAATAGCAAACAAACCGAGCGCGAGATCGAACCCTTGATCTTTCGTTTATCAGGCCGACGCTCTACCCACTGAGCTATTGACGCCTTGTTTTCCAGAGAAGAAATACGAATATAAGAAAGAAGGAAAGGAAAAAAGGGGAATTGAACCCTCGACCTTCCGCTTTCCTGGCCGACGCTCTACCGACTGAGCCTTCTTTATGTTCTTAAACTTGCCTTCAATCAGATCAATGAGTGAGCGCTCGTTTCCAGCTGGTGAAGGCTTTGGGATTCTTGGGATTCGATCTGAAACACCAAAAAATATGACTCTAGATGATTTTTTTGGCCAATTAAGCTAAGCCTAGCCTAAAACAGAAGTCTTTTCAAGCTTCAGAAAGGTTTCCGTTTTTTTTTGGATTAAGAAATGATTAAGAAATTTTACTTCTTTGCAAAAGGGTTTTTCGAAAATCGTCCTCTCTTATGAAAATCAGTTTGACCGGTTTTGACTGATTTTAACCGGTTTTCACCGGTTTTCACCGGTTTTGATCAGTTTTTATGTAGCTTTGAAAACGATTCAAAATTAAGGGGCAAGAAAAACCAGGATACATTTTTGTCAAGGACCCTTATGGATCTCCAAGCTTGGCCAGGTTATACATTGAAAAAAAATGATAAAGTCAATACTTTAGTGGATTGAAAGATGATCGGGTTTTCAAGAGGACACTTTATGCTTTTGAAAGAGCATATCAAGTGCTGAGTAACGAGAAGCCGAGTATGGAGAAATTCATGGAAACAATTGAATGGCCAAGGGAGCTGACCTGCTTTACTTAGAGAAAATGAAGAAGCAAAAAGTTCCACAGAAAGTAAAACGGCAAAAATCCATGGCTAGAAGAATGAATCGCTTATATCTGTAACCTTAAATTCCTTGACATCTGTTATTTTGCCCGACTTTCTAGATGTCTGATTATTAGTCTAAAATTGTTGTTCTTACGATTGTTTTTTAAATTTTTATTAAATGTGCATGTGGAACTTACCCTAAAGTCGCGAGTATAAGTTCATCCGAGTATAAGTTCCGTAATTTACATTTAAAGGGCATTTAAAGGGATGGAAAATTTTCTTCTTTCTTTAATTTTTATTGTTTTTTGTTTTTTTTTTTATTTTTTATTGTTTTTTGTTTTTTATTTTTTTTTATTTTACTAACGTTTTTTCATTTTAGATACGATGAGGAGAAAGTCGTACACCGCCGAAACGAAGCTCGAAGCGGTCAAATTTGCGAGGAAATTTGGAACGAACGCGGCTGCGATCGAATTTGAAGTCGCCGAACAGATGATTAACCGCTGGAAACAAGCTGAGCCGGCACTGATGACTTCACCAAAAAATAAGCGAGCTTTCCGAGGATTGAGGGCAAAATGGCCGGATGTGGAGAAAGATCGATATTGTTCAATATTTGTTGAAATATCACCCTTTCCTTTTACTTCGACTGTTCAGTCGAAGTAAAAGGAAAGGGTGATATTTCAATTGCTTCAACGGGAATGAGAAGACGAATTTCACAGTTGTGCTCGGAATTCTAGCCGATGGATCGAAACTCCCACCGATGCTCATTTTCAAGCGCAAGACTCTTCCTAAAGGAATTTTTCCCGGTGTGATCATCAGTTTCGAAGCTAAGCACAGAATTCTTTTTTTATGTCGCTTTAATTGCTTTGAATTTCTTTTTGTTGGGTTTTTATAAATTTTTATTGTTATATAAACTTTTATTATTGTTCTTGGAGCGCGGGATACTACAGGGTGACAGCCTATCACCATTGCTATTTGTTATGTGCATGGATACATCCAGAGGATAGTGTTGAAGAAGACGCTGGAAAGCATCTCTTTCGACCGTCGACGTGGACTTTGGCCGGATGAAGAGGCCAGGGAGGGATCCATAAGACTGAGCACCGGAGAGGAGCAGGGCGGACGCGCTGAGCCACGCCCGGAGCAACAAATAACAGCATAAAATTTGCTATAACCCTCAATAAATTTACTTCTATTGTTCTTAAAAAGCAAAAAAGTCATGCTGCAGCCGGGTTCGAACCCTCGACACACCGTCAATTTGCATGACAGCCGTCAATTTGCATGCGAAAACCAAACAGAACTTATACTCGCGACTTTAGGGTAATAAAATACCTTAAAACACTTTTAAAAGACTTTTTCGTAAAAAAAAAACAAAAAATTGCAAAAGTCCACGAAACGGACTTTTTTTTTGACAAAGACCACGAAACTTTCAAAAGAACATTCATTAACGGAAAGAGCCCAATTTTTTAGTATTGAATGCAAATTTTAAGCTTTTTTTCTAACTTTGGCGCAGATTTTTGACAAAAATTCAAATTCTTGAAGAAAAATCGCTTATTTTTTTATTAGAAGAAGAAAGAAATACCAGCTTTGGGGAACAAACTTTTTGAAAATGATAAGTTTTGCCCTTCCTCCCTGTTACGGGCCTGTTTTCAGCAATGCTCTCATCAATCGTGCCGATTAGAGGAGTACTGTAAAGAGCATTTTATATCTGCATAATGCCAAGTTTTCGTTATTCATTCGAATGTACTGATAAGAAAATGCTTGAGAAATCAGAAAACTGTGAAAATTTTGCAATATTAACATTACAGAAATGCTAGGTCGATTGTCAGCCGGGTGAAAACTATTTTCCCAATCAAAAAGAATCGCAACTTGGGAAAGAAATTAAACGATGCTATACGCAATGTTTATTTACTTTTGCGATTGATGTTCAAATCAAAATTTTAGTATTTCAACGCCAAGGAATTTGCAAATATTGATGCAATAAATATTTTACGAGAATTTTGATCAATCATTGATCCCATCAAGTCGTTTCAACTTCTAAATGTAAATTCGTCCATTGTTCTCAATTTTTCCTTATCTTCTCAATTTTTCCTTACCTGTGGATTGGCTCTTTGTAGATGGCTTTTCAGTTCATTAACACAATTCTAAACATTTTCTGTAAAACTTCAGAGATACTTGAAAAATTCCAAAGAACTCACAATTCTTGATGACAATATGGCGGCCTTTTTGTCGTCAATTTCTCCTTTTTTGTCGATAATTCTTTCTGGATTTCTTGCTCGGTTTTGTTTCCGTAAGGTGTTCCATCGAGTGAGAAAAGCTCATATAAAACGATGCCATAAGACCAGACGTCAGCCTAGAAATGGCAAAGGAAAATGGTGACTTCAAGTTTTGTCTATAGTAAGATCTAGATTCGAGTCTATTTTTGTAACATGGGCGAGTCCAGAGTCCGGCCTGAGGTCAGGATCAGGTCCAGGCCGATTTGTGAGTCCTGAAGACTAGTGAGTCTAGGAGATTTTTCTAGGCTAGAACTGCAGCCAAGCCAAGCCAGGCCCGACTCCAGCCTTACCTGAGCTTTACTTGATTCAGTACAACCTTCCTTTTTTTATTTCATCTCAAAACACTCACTGCACATTTTCACATTCAGTATGTCCATCACAGTCTACAGGGTGCGCCATAATTGTCGCAACAAGATAAAGTTCTGATTTTAAGGCAGACGAGAGCAAAAAAGACAAATTTTTAACTGGATAATATTTATTGTAAATTAACAATTATAAATGAGCTATCAAATTCGAATCGGCCACCATTAGCATTTGAGCAGGGTCGCAGGCGTTTCGGGAAGGCGTCAACGGTGGCCGTCAAAGAGACTGGATGGAGCTCTGCCCACGCTTTCAACAGTGATTTCTTCAAGTTTTCGATGTTTTTTGGGGCTTTGAACAAGCTTTGGCTTCTAGAACCGACCACACTGAAAAATCCATTGGGTTGAGGCCTGGAAAGCTAGGTGGGCACTCAGAAAAAGAAATGAAGTCCGGGAAGTTGTTTTGACAGAACTCTTGGACTTTCTTGGATCTTGGACTCGTGGGTCGGTGCGCCATATTGCTGATAGGTTCAAATGCGATTTCCAAAATGTTTACGAGCCCCGGGGCAAGGGTTCATCCTAGAGAAGAGCCAGGTAGTTATCGGAATTGATGCGCGTGATACCTTGTTGCGAAAATTATGGCACAGCCTGTATTTCAGAACAGCCACCTGGTGGCTATTTTTCTCTCGATTAAGCATTTTGTTGTTATAGTTTTTTTGGTATTTTTGATCGCGTTACCTAACGTAGCATAATTTGAGCGATAAAATAACTTTGATTCGTAAAAAACAAGGGAAAACCCACGTAGCCCCAACTTTTTCTCTGGTTTGATGGGGACAAACTAAAAAAAGTACCAGAGGTGAAAAGAACAATATAAAGGATATCGAACGACCAGACTACCCGTGGAAAAGAATAAAAATGATTTCTGTTTATGAGATATTTTTAAATGCAAATTTATGTTTATTTCAAATTGATTGAACTGATCAAAATTTACGGAACTTGTCGTATTTCTGGGTATTTTAAAAGTTTTCAGGTTTCTGAATGAGACGTTGTGTTTTGAAGGCCGATAACTTTATCCAGAAATAATATTAAGGCTAACTTTTTATATTATTGTATAGAGAACATTTCAGGCTTTCGAATGACACTAAATACAGTTTGATTGGATAATCCAATCGAGGATAATCAAAGCCAACTCTGAGTAAACGAGGCCGATCCAACTCGGGTGCCGTGTCACCTGGTTTACATGGAACTGAAAAATCCAATAAAATTGGTCTCATTCGAAAGGCTGAAATGCCCTCTATAAAATAATATAAAAAGCTAGCCATAATATTATCTTTGGATAAAGTTATAGGTCTGCAAAGCGCGACTCATTGAAAATTCCCGGAAACCCGACAGGAGCCAAATTTGCATATGATTTTGGTGGGGTGGGAAAGATTGAAAAGTATCGAAAACTTTCTTTCGTTATTTTTCGAATTGGGCTCGACAAGATTTTCTCAAATCGTTATCACTAAACGAAAAGTTTTTTCAAGATTAACGACACGCGATGATTCACTGATCTCTTTTTTGGTTTAGAGGCCAGAATTCTTATCGTTCTTCGCTTTCGTGAATCATTCATTTTTCAAGAGTACACTGTATCTCAAAGATATCATAATAAAATTGGCTTTAAAATGCGTTTTATGCATTTTATTGACCACAAAGCAATTCAAGTAAAATTTGCAAGCTATTAGGGTGATAAGAATGAAAGAAACGATCACAGATCTTTCTAAAAATAAAAAGATTGCAAGCCTTAGCCAATAACTGCTGTATACTATTAGAAAGCCCTGCATCTCCTCTACAAAATAGTGCAAAAAGATTTTGAATTGAATTGATTATTGGGGACTTGGGTGTTAAAAAGAAACCACAGGTCGAGTCTCAATCTGGGTACCTGCGCCTGCTGGCAACTATCGCTTCCACGGATCTTTTCGCTTTGAAATTTTTCCAGTATATTAAGGATATACATTACTCAATAGTTATACCAAAACTCAAACGATCAGCATAGATTCTATATGAAAATCCAAAGTTGAAAGTAGCCGTTTTTGGCCTAAAATTGGGCTTTTTCGAAAAACAAAGATTTAGCTCTAGAAGACGACCAAACAAAAGGAGTTCTTCCTTTCTTTTATGTTATTTTGAAATAACTTTAATTGGCGGTATTTTCTAACGGAAAACCCGGGCATAGTTATTAACAAAAACACATTTTCCAGAAAATGGTCATTTTTGACCTTTCAACTGAAAAGTCACTCAAGTCTTCAATAATCAATCCAATTCAAAATCTTTTTGCCCTATTTTACAGAGGAGATTCAGGGCTTTCGAACAGTATACAACACTTATTCTGAGTGTTGAGGCTAAGGCTTGCAATCTTTTTGTCTGCTTTTGGAAGGATATGTGCGCACTGGTTTCATTCCCATCACCCTAAGAAAACAGTTCTTGTGTCACTGTAAAACAGTATTGTAACCGAAACTGGTTTACCCAATGATTAGTGGAGTACTGTTTTTTAACTATTGGATAACTTTTTGGAGATAGCTGTATATTAGAAGATCTGGGCTTGAGTCTAAAGCCGCTATTTGAGGAAAAGAGGACAAAGAGAGTAAGTTCCAAAAAGGGGGAAAGGAACGTTTCCAGAAGCCCCCTTTTCCCCCTCTATTGCTCCATCTTTTTTTCACTCTCTCAGTTGTTGGACCTCCAAAAAGGGGGGAAAGGAACGTTTCCAGAAGCCCCCCTTTTCCCCTTTCCCCCCTCAGCTGTTCTTTTAAAGAGCTCGAGAATGTCAAAAAGCTCATTGTTTAACTCAATCATCTTCATATCAAAAATCCAAGAAATTTTTCGAGATTATTTCGACCCAAAGTTCTGACCGAATTGGTTTAAGTCTTTGGATTTACAAAATTTGGGTTTCCCACCAGTTTCTCTTACTCGCTTCAAGCCAAATTTCTCGATTTCTCGATTTCTCGACAAAATCTCGATTTTATTTTAGAATTCTGACCAATTCTAAAATGCTGAACGAGTTTTATTTGTGTTTTTTTTTCTCATATTTTAAACTCTATTCTCGTTTTGTTAATCTTCCACGAGAAAAAAGAATATTTTGTTTGAATTGACAATGAATCAAACTTTATACAAACAACCACCATAAAAGAAACGTTCGAACGCTAGTTTTCTCGATTTTATTTTAAGAAAAAAGCTTTTTTGATCATTTTTTTTGCAACTGCTCACACAAAACGCAAGAGCAAAAGTTTTTCTCTAAAACCTCAATCTCCCACCACCTCTTTTCCCTCTTTTGGAAGCTTCGGGAACTCGAGAAAAAATAAAACTCTCGTAAGCCAACCGACCCTTATAAAAATCAATTTTCCACTCAAGAAACTATTTCTTTAGCATCTCTCACATCAACTTCTATTTGTAATGCTTTCAAAACCTCAAATTTAATCCATGATTGGCTTCGTGACTAACTCGTTGTTAAATTTCACCTGATATTTAAATATTTAAAATGGACATATCTCTCAATTAAAATTTTTTCAAAATGTTTTGACATTTAAAATTTCAATTTAGGGAATCACCTTTTCTACACAAAAATATCAAATATCTAGGCTCTCTCTCAGCGATGACTTTTGGTAACGAGCCCCTTCGCAGCAAAAACTTGAACCAAAACGTAATCAAACTTGACTTTAATTTGTCATTTAAGAAACCAGATATTTTTAAATAAAAAATCGTCCAGATTTTGACAAGTTATGGAGCAAATGAACAAGAATGGAAGAAAGAATTCAGCCAACAGATTGAGCTGTTCTTCAACGAAAACAAACAGGTCTTCAAGTAGCTTTGTCTAAAATAATCAAGAATTTTAGTCTCAAGAAGAACTTGACAATAAAATGGAGGTGATGAATCGAATTGAGAAAATCATTGGAAGGGTAAGTTATGCGGAAAATCATTTTTTCAAGTCATGGGGGTTTGGCTTAAAGAAATTAACTGAAGTAAAAATAAAAATGGTATCAATTCAGGCAGTGCCGAATGTGAAACTTCGGTTGTATCCATACGGCTCAACGACGAATTGTTGCGGGGCAAAGGATTCGGACATCGATATTTACATGAAGGCCACCACAAAGAGACAACGGAAACACTTCCTAAAAGGAATTCTCGGGTCCATCTGTGATTTGAACTTTGCTTTAGCAATATCTAAACCAATTTAGGCACACCATATTATATAAAATTAGATAAAGATTTTTTTAGTTTTCTCGCGCTTATGAAAACCCAACTGACAACGGAATTCGGGAGTGATTTCAAGAAGTTGGAGCTCAAAAATGCAGTGGTATTCCTTGCAAATCTACAAATACTATTGTATTTTCAGGTTCCAATCATTAACATAATCTTTGGCGATAAGTATAACAATCTCGAAGTTGATCTAAATGGAACATCCAACAATGGCATTATTGCGTCATATCTTTATCGCCAATATGCAAAGTTTGCTCAGCAATTTCATCTGCAATTTAATTTCTAGAATCGATTCTCGTTTTCCCCAACTTGGATTGCTGATTAAGAGCTGGGCGGAGAAGAACAAAATATATGGAAGCGATAATGGAGGAATGAATGGGTTAGATTTTTAAAGGCCTTGAAAACTTGTAGTAGCCACCTTGCATCTAATCGCGATTAAACTTCTTCAGCATTTCCTACTTGGTGATGCTGGTTCACTACCTCCAAAAAGGAGCGAGTCCACCCGTATTGCCAAACCTTCAAAAGTTGTATCCCGATGAGGTTGTGAAATTCCAAGTTCATGACCAATCGAGATTCAGTTTCGTCTTGGACGCGATTTGGAAGAGATCAAGTTTGGGAACGAAAAGGAGGATCAATTGACATCCCGAATTTTGCAAAACCGTACTGCTTTTAAATTTCTTTCACTCAATTCCTTTCAGGTTCAAAAAATGAAACTTCTGTTGTCGATTTGTTGATCGGCTTTTTCAAATATTATAACAATTTCTCTTGGAGAACCGAAAAGATCACAATGGATAAGGATTTTGTTGTAGCGAGGTGAAAACTTCCAAATGTAGCTTTGAAAACAATTCAAAATTAAGGGGCAAGCATAACAAGCATAACATTTTTGTCAAGGACCCTTATGGATCTCCAAACCTGGCCAGGTTATACATTGAAAAAAAATGGTAAATTAAATACTTTAGAGGATTGGAAGATGATCATGTTTTTAAGAAGACACTTTATGCTTTTGAAAGAGCATATCAAATACTGAGTGACGAGAAACCGAGTATGGAAGAATTCATGGAAACAATTGAATGGCCAGAGCATCTTGACCGGCTTTACTTAGAAAAACTGAAGAAGCAAAAAGTTTCACGGAAAGAAAGACGGCAAAAATCCATGGCTAGAAGAATGAATGGCTTATATCTGCAAATTCCTTGACATCTGTTATTTTGCCTGACTTTCTATATGTCTGATTATTAGTGAGAATAAACTTGGCACTTGATTTTTGATTGGTTCATTTTTACAATTCACTCATTCAAATTCATTTTGCGATCAATTTGGCCAAAATGAAAACAAAATTTTGTAATAGATATTAGGTCGCTGCATATGAGATTTCAGTGACTTTACCTTGCCTCAACTTTCTCATTTTGCCATGGATTTCTTTCATTTTTTGCACTTATATAATAGACACATGAGAAATATAAACATTAAAATATGAGCCCTTTCTGTGGTGAATCGGCTAAGAACGACCAGCTGGAATAGTAACGACATTTGTACGCCCGTGAAATCCGTGTTTCGCCATGAAGATATCTGCTGTTTACATTATTAGATACTATTTTATTAGCCTTTACTTACAGTCGGCAAAAAAAGTCTTGCACCATTTGTCTCTCAGAGACTTAAAACAAAAAATTTTCCGTAAAAATAATCGTTTCAGAGAAAACTTTTCCACAACTAATTCTACTATTTTTGTCTAGTTTCCGGACATATTAGCCGATTTTATTACAAGCGACTCCTTTTTACGTAAAACAAAGTTTTTTACAGAGACAGCCGGTTTAGAAAACAAAAAAGTCTTGCACCATTGTTGTATTCTGTTGTTTACTATGGTATAGACGACATTTAATGCCTTCTCCGTTTGTACTTTTAGTACAAACCTTAAAGTTAGCTTTTTCTCTTTAAAGAGGTCTAGTTCAAAATAAAAATGCAGTCGACTCTCTCTCTATAATGGAACTCTATATAGCAGAAAGCTCTATATCACGGAATGGAATTTTGGTCCCGGCCGACGCTAAGCTATTTTAAATATAAAAAAACTCTATATAGCGGAATTTATATAATTATACATAACGGAAACTCTCCATAAAGGATGAAAAATTTGGAACCGCTTATATAACGGAATAGTTAAGATATTTAGTCATCAAATTGATTAATTTACTGCTAAGCTTTTCAATCTTACGTCATATTTTTATTTACATAGTTTTTAAGTATACATATGTATCTAAAAGTTTACGTTTGTTTATTATTGGCCTCTCTTACTTATTTTTCTTTTAATCCTTTTTTACCTTAATACTGTCTTATTTTAGGGATAGCGATGAACAAACGAATAATTCTCTCTCTCGCGCAGAAGGCTCAACTTATCGAGGCTGAACGAGGAGGAAAATATACGAATGATGAAATTCAAACCCATAGTACGCTTTGAAACAAATTTGCGCAGATGTTCGTATTTTTCTCTAAACTCTTCAAATGAACCAATAATAAAAATAATTGAATAGATCAAGCAAAAAATTTGGCTATATGCTTAACTTTTCATGCTCTTTTTCTTCTATTGACACCGAAATAGGTTTCGCAAACGCAAAACGAAAACGCAAACGAAATGAGCGTTTTCCGTTGGTTTCTAAAAATAAAAATGAATAAGTGTTATCAAGAATTAGTACTCAACCTAATAGTTAAAGAAGAAAATGTGCATTTCTTTGCCGCATTTACGCTTTAGAATTGCAGATCAGCACACTCTAGTTATGATAGTTGCAAAGTCAGTTTTGCTAAAGGAAAACTTAAAGCAAAAGGCCGGGTTTCTCCAAACTTGAAGCTCGCTAAAAGCCTTGTTATGTACCGTACTCCTGCTGCACTTTGATATAACAAGGCAATGGTTTCAGCTCGAAGTTTAGAGTCGAATTGAGCCAGAGGATTGCCATTTCTCTTGTTGCTGCATCAGGGATGCTCAAAACGTAAATTTGCCAAGCCTAACCAGAGCCCGTATGCTTCATTCTGGCGGGAATTCGTTGGCAGAGTATTCCCGCGGAGCTCTAGAAAAGCTTGCTAATGCCGGAAGATTTCTAGGAAAATTTCCGGATTACGCCGGAAAAGAAGGTTCCGCGGGAATACTCTGCCAGCTAGTTTCCCCGCGGGGATTTTGCGGGAACGGAGCATACGGGCTCTGGGCTTTTACTTATCTTTTCAATTTTTGACTCCAAAATAAAAATTGATCAAACAATAAACCAAACAGTTGCTTTAAGTAACTTATTAGTCTACCTAGCAAGGCTAGTCCGGGGTTTTTACCCTAGTCTGGCTGGGCTTTCTGATTTTTCGATTATTTTTCCGAAACCGTTTGAAAGTAAATGGTGCTATTTAAAATGAGGCCTACTTTGTTTTTATCAAAGAAATATCAAAGAAAATGTCAGAATTTCAGAAATTTATTGGAAAGTCTACGAGCGACACTTTTTTACTGATTAAAATCTTCTTTATGGAGCTGGTCCCCAAGACGCGTATCGCTCATATTTTGCCCCACCATTGCAATCCTCACACATATTCGAATAAGCTCCAGTATTTCTAACTTGCCATTCAGTAACACCGTGATTTGGATGGATTCGAGCGGGGGCTCCTTCACAACCGTGACTAAATCAAGAGTGATTGTCAAAATTTCTTCAAACACTCACTCTGCATATCCCCAAACATTCTGATGAATGTACCAATTGCCGGTTTTCCTTGCGTGATGTCCATTATTATTCCAATAGCACCAAAAGCATGTTGTGCTTTCCCAATTCATCGCGAACCCCCAAGCCAATGCCTGCAATGTCCTTTAGTAGTTGTGAATTTCATTCAAAATTCTATATTTTTATTCAAGATCCAAGATTCGGTGTAATTCGGTGTATTCGGTGTTAAATCTACTGTATCCGCAGAACACATTACTGCACCAAAATCAAAATTTAAGTATTGGTATGCAATTTTCTTATAGAAATTCTCTAATTTTAAAACTAAAATTGGGAATAAGATCAACAAATCCCGTCTCAACCTTTTCCCATTTACCTCCCCACTCTTCAGCGTCCACCAATCATCTTTATTCGATCCTTTTCCATCAATTGCATCATCGGCTGAGGCACATTTCAGATAAATCGAATTCGAACAGTTATTCACAACCATCACTTTATATTCTTGATTCATTTTATGCACAATTTCTTTGATAGCTCCAGCTATATCCAATATTCCACCACCTTTACAATCGATAAATGGAATGATTGAAAAGATTAGAAAATTCAGAAAGGAAATCATATTTCAATTGAATACTTAAAGCTTGCTGGAACTTCGAAAGGGAGACAGCTTTTATATGAAAATTTAAATGATCATTGATGATACTTTTTGTTATTTTGATAGAAAGTTCAGCTCTGGGGCATTATTATCTCTGTCTACATTGGCCTCTTTCCATTTCACCATTTGCTTTTTCCTGTTTATATCCAATTTTGGATATAAAGCTCTTGCTTTCATTGAAAAAGTTTGTGAAAAGATTTGTTGGCTAAAAAGTACACCATTAACAAGCGAATTCAGAAAAAACACTTCAGTTTCACAATTTGATTATGGACATTTAGGCTCAAGAATTCCCCAGTTCACTCTTTCATTCTCCAGCTCATTCCTAGACAAGTTTGTAAAGTTTGGCTGTCAGGGAAATGGAATTCTATCAGAAAAATGCATGAACTAGCTTCAATTCAATTCAAAAAGGACACATCAACATGATTTAAATCAAAGAATTTGCTTTGTTAACTTTAATCCTTGATTCATATGTTTGGCATGATTATGAAAGTGAGCAGAAAAAACGTTTAAAAACAAATGAGCAATAACTTCTTTATTAGTGAAACTTTATTTTTTTGGCTTATGTTGAGTAATAGTAGTCAAATTGATTGAATCAAATTTGCAGTCGCTCTGAATTTTAATTGTTTAGTTTGATTGAAATTTGGTTGATTACGGCAACTTTTAAAAAACGCAATAACATAAGCTACTGGTTATCTTTTGCTTTTTTGTTTTTACGGCAAAATTTGAATGTGTTCATCGTGATGTCTCAATTAAAGAGAGTCGATAAAACTGAAAAAGAAACGAGAAACGATATGCCCCTTTTCCTCATTACAGTGTAATGTCCATTACAATAACTTGATTCAAAACTTTATTCAAACAAAGAGGAATTCGAGAATGCAATAAAATACGAAGAATTTGAAAGCTCATACACCAAATAAACTAAATTACAGCCATCCCCAATCCGTTTTTTGAAAAATTTATTATCCACAAGATTTCTTATTGGCAATCGCCCGAAATGATCATCTTTCTCCCCGGTCTCGCATTTTTCCATCAAATATTTCACCGCTTCATCCGATTCATAAGAGTTCTCCAAAAGTTCCACGTTTCTCGTTTTCATAAAAATTTTCTTGATTTGTTTCAAATTCGGTGCGTAGCCGAAATCTTTCGGCTTTTCTCCATATAAAGCTACTGTCATTTTGTTGGGTTGCTTAAAATTGTCCAAGAAATATCTTAAAATATTCCTGAATGAATCCCATTTTCCACAATCGATAAACAAAAGCTCCAGCAAGTTCATTTTTGAAAATTGAGCCAAATTCTCAACATTTGGTTCTACGAGAAATATTCTTCTACCAGCACTCAATTCGGAAACGCTCAAAAAAGGGAAAATTTCTTTTCCCATTGAAATATTGTTCGCCAAAGATAGCGATTCTGCATTTTTTAGATTCTTGAAAGATTTACTAATCTCATTTGTCCCTAAAATCCCATTAATTTTGTAGAAAACTTTGCGACAAGAGCGAATCTTTTCGAATCCTTCACAAGAAAATTGCTCTGGAATCAAAATCGTATTTGGATATCCCTCGAAAATCGTTTCTTTACACCAATTTTTGTCTTTAGTGGTGAACAGGAAATTAGTTTCAGAATCAACGATAAACACCCAAAATTGCTCATCAATTCCTTCCTCACCCTCGAAAAATTCAACCTGACATGCAATTCTTGCAATTTCCCACCGAATAAACCAATTTCGAGAAATTTCGAGCGAAATTCTCTTGAGACTTGTAACATTTGTATTGATTGTTTGATTGTGAAACAATTGAAAATTGAATCTTTCAAAGATGAAGGTAATGTTGAGAATGGGAAAGAATCCATAATGAAAATGAATGAATGTTGAAGAAATTCTCAAGAAATTCCCTTTTTCCGACTCTTATCAAAGTTTTTTCCTCGTTTTTGCACATCTTTTTGAATTCTCCTTTCCTCTCTGAACTTATCTTTCTTTTTTGTTCATTTTCTCTTTGAACTCTAGGAGAAAAAGTGATTTTGACGTGATCTGCGAGTATCGATTTGAGGCAAAAGTCGATCAATTGCAGCAAGAAAAATGAAATTGTTAACAACCAAAAGCAACAAAAAAACGAGACAATAAGAATATGTTTCTTTACCATTTTTGGCCGACTTAACCATACCAATGTTATTCGCTGATCAAAACAAGTAAAGAGCAAACAAGCAATTTATTTCACAAAAGTTTTCGTCCTCTTTTCCCAACCGTTGAAAATCACACACAATCTACGGTTGCAGTCATCCCTTAAAAATGAACAATCTATATCATCAGCCGTGAAATTGCTCGAATCTTAAAAGTTATCGAAAATAAAAGAGGCCGGACTCTGATGCGAAAGTGGGCCACGATCAAATGACAGGTATTCAGGGCATTCGTAAATCTATAAAAACGATGAAAAGTTGCTACGGATTCCGTGAAAGTTTGGAGCTTACTGTGTTCGTTTGGAATTATGGTGGCTCTTTCCCCAATGCGCCTTTTTAGAAAACAATTTACCATGAGCAAAAATCTTCAGCCTTATGTAGGTGCTAGTTGTGCTCAAGTCGCTGAAACAGATTTCAGAATTGATCGGGCCGAGGAAATTAAAGATGCAGCTTTATCCGACCTTAGGGTTTGAAAGAATGATGAACTAGATTTTTGCAAATAAACTCATTTTCGGTGATTATAATACAAACAGAACAATATTTTTATACAAATCCGAGATGGTTATAATAAAACTTGCCAGCTAGCTCTTATGCACTTTTTGTCTACAATAGCATCGCGTCTTCCAGCTGAAGCAAACCAATAAGCTGAAACCAAACACTGGATCGGCACCTCCAGCAAAAAGCTTTTTGGTGTCGGAATCTGGAAAAGCAACATCGTTAAGATTTTTATATTATAATCACCCTCAGGGTATCCGCTTCCAAAGCCGTCATTTGATACTAAAATATTGTTTTCCCGCAATTGCCAACCCCGTAAACGATGACCACGTGTTACCTAAATGATTTAGTTAATTGACGTTCTCTTAATACTCTACACAATCGTTATATGTTATTTCACGGAAATATTTTATTTAACTGTTATTATTTCCTTGTTTATAAATTTCCCGTACACTTCAACACTGCAAAATTCATTTAACTGTACCTAAAGCATAGCTGCATACTATAACAAATACCTTTGCCGCAATTGATGCCGCTGAAACAATAACAAACTTTGACGGAAACAACGATCGATACTCCAGGAAAAATTCGCTTAAGTTTGGTTTAATAGGAAGCTTTGGGACCGAGCGTATCAACAAAAATCTGAAATACTTTTAAGGTTCCAAATAAATTTTTAAAAACCTCAACGATATTAATTTTTGCCGCCAGAGCATCATGTATCAGTTGAATCGCTGCATTATGTGAGAGCTTGTTCAGGGATATCTAAAAAAATCGATACGAGTTGAAAGTCGAAATAATCTAGCTAGGTACCTTGTTTCTCCGAAGCATTGAAACACTGATGTATTGTGCTGACAAACTTCTGGCTGCCAAAGCAACGACCTTGATAATAAAAAGCTAGATCAGCCAAGTAAATGCGTACTTTCTTCTTCGTTTTGGTTCATGTCATCAAAAAGCTCTTCACGTCTCCCTTCGGTCAAAACTTTCGAATCGGCAAAACCTGAAAACGTCTTGCGTAAAAATAAGTCAACAGAACCGCACCCAAATTTTCTAACTCGATTCAAAGGCGATACCGCGCACCCATAAACCATTGGTCCAAGAACGGCGCCTCGTCGATTCCTAAACATGTAAAATTTTAACATTAAGAGAACCAAACCAAATTTACGTCAACGGCCTTCTCCAAAATTGTCAAGTTTCGTTCACCTCAGTTTTGCAAAGGATACCTTGAAAAAGGATTTATTGCAAAACAATCGAAGCAATTCATCCAAGAAATCTTTAGAATTCTATGAGAATTCATAATTATCAATTTTCTTATGCATAATCTTTATATATCATTTATACAATCCGTTTAACATAACAAATTCATGACAACAAACAATAAATAATGATTTCTAAATACCCAAAAACAATTTGAAAAAATATGTATGTAGAGACCCACAAGAAAATGACTATCTTTTACTAGATTTTATACTTTAAGTTGGTTTGCCAGGTTGAGTTAAAGGCAATCCTTCGGTGATTGTCTAAACGAATTTCATTCGAGAACCAAAGACTTATTTACCTTCACCAAAGCTTCAAGTTCTTCCTCGGTTCTTATTCGTTCTTCGCATTCTTCAACTACCAATTGAACCTCAACAGCGGTGGACGGTCGTAAATTCAATATTTGTACTGTTTCAGCTATTGTCAACTGAAACGAATTAATGAGGACTTTTAAAATTAAGAACCTTGTACGGTTGCAACTCTTGATTAAGCTTAATGACGTGTTCATCTTTTTGAGCCGATGCGGGAGTATCCTTGAAATATGCCGCTGTCTAGACATAAGAAATTTACAAAATAAATTCCGAAGACCTACTTCGTGGAGCAACGTGTTCAAGTTTTCGCTTTCTTCATCCGCTGGACGTTTGCCTCTCAATGCCTTGGTTTCCTCTACTACCTAAAAAATTATTGCAAAAATCAAACTCAAACAACCAACCTTCAATACTTGCATATTTGGCAATATTGTTACCATCTTGTTGATCACTTCCATTCTTGAAAAAAATTGCGGCCTGAATAAAAGTTACAATCATAAAAGCAACTTTGGTAAGAATCAGAAAACGCAAAAACTTTCTATAAAACTCAGACAATTCAGAAATTCAGAAAACGCAAAAATATAGAGTACTTTACTACATACCGATAAAGTTTAAGAGCGAAAACATCTGAACTATACACAAAGTGACCAAACCAAAAACCAATTTAAACAAAGATTCAGCACACAATATTGCAGTAGACTATATACTTTTGAAGTGCCGCCCCAAGTGTCCCCATATAAGGGCACTTTTTGATATTGAAATGCTTCGTTTTCTTTTTTTAAAATTCTGTGATAGAGAAAATTTAATCTGAAGAGTTTAAAAAATTTCGTCCATCACAGAATTTCAGAAAAGCTCGAGAGAAAAAGAAAACGCAGCATTTCAATATCAAAAAGTGTCCTTATATGGGGACACTTGGATGCGGCACTTCAAAAGTATAACAGACAGTATTGACCAGCATATAAAATTTCAATGGCAGATTTGAATTTAGAAATGGAAGTTAATTCATGTACATGCTTAGGTGATGAATTCTAACTTTCTTTCACTCGATTTGAAAGGAAACCAGGGTACTATGGGCTTTGGGGAGGGCCACTTTTTTTTCACCAAAAATTATTTTTTCTAGGGTAATTGATGACGCTCATCACGAAAAAGTTATTTTTTACGGTAAGTTAGTAATGAAAAAAAATGTCCGTTTTTAAAACTCAAGGTGCTATAGTAGTTGGGGGAGGAGGCAAAGTTTTTTTTTTGCCAAATGTGTGATTTTTTGCACCCAGAGGTTTTCGGCTATAATATTATAGGCGCCTATATTTTTCTAGGCTTTGGCTCCGCACCTTAGAGGCACGTGGGTCTCAGGCTATCGCCTGATTCTTTTACAGCTGAGGTGAGTTTCGTTTCAGCTAGAAGCCATGTGCTTCCGGTACGAAACTCACCTCAGCTGTAAGAGAATCAGGCGATAGCCTGGGACCCACGTGCCTCTAAGGTGCGGAGCCAAAGCCTAGGTAAATATTGGAGTCTTGAATGTTGTTAAAAGTTACGAAATGTTGTGTGAAACCATCACCAATCGATTCAGCATATTCAAAAACCCCTGGGTGCAAAGATTAATTTGCAAATTTGCATCTTTTATTTCAATTCACAAAAATATTTGCAGATTTTTTGACGATAGTTATCATCAGCTAATTGTAAGCTACTATGAAATTTTGCATTAAATTCAGATCCGGATTTTAGAATTATTATAACCGTAAAGTGAGCACAAACATGTTAGCCTCAGCATCCGAATCGCGACAAGATATTGGTCAAAAAGTGGAAAAGAAGAGAGATTTTGGCATCCATTCGTCTCTTATCAAGATTAGCTAAAAGATGATAAATGGTTTGTTTTCATTAAATTTTTGAAAAAAACAAAGCTGATCAAACAAAAACAAATTTCTTTACAAATTCGTCAGCTTGAAAAGCTCAGCTTGACGTTCGGTCTTGAAAAGTCAAACAAACATTTGGCAGTATAAAAATCAGTAATGTACATGCGCAACAAAAATGCGATCTTTATTCATTTGTCTTCTGGCTTTCAATGTTTTTGAGCTATGCAACGCTCAATTCGATTTCGGCTTACCGATGAAACTCTTTGCTGCCTCAAAAACGAAAATTGGTAAGTTGCAAAATATAAAATACTATTTTATGAAACTTTATGTTGATCAAGTAGACTGAACATTTCCCAACTAAACTAAAAAAAACTAAAACTATCTAAGCTATACATCATTTCCCAACTACGCTTCTTAATTGTATTCTAAAGTGACAAAAGTTTGTAATTTTAAAATTTCCAGCTCGTAAACATTCAGCTATACGTTTTTATAATCAGTTATTAAAAAGTAGCCAAAATTCAGACCCGGCTCGTCTCCGAGAGTGCGAAACAGCATACAATGCAAGCGGAGCCTGGATGGACAAAACGTTCGATCCAGAGACTAACGTGAATCTGGTAAGCTGAGTTGGAAATCCATTGAAAACTTTTTTCAGGATGATTCCGATTTCTATCTTCACACAATGTTCATCGGTTCGGTGAAGTCGGCTTTTGTGCAAAAATCGGCAAAAACCTTCTATGCGTGTGTGTCTCCAAATGAGCCGATGCCCGTCGATTTGGCCGCTAAATTCACTGATTCATTTGTGAGCAAGTTAATAAAACAAAAATTATGAAAACATTGTGGGCATTCAAGAGTTTCTACGATAGTGAATTTATGTTTTGACTTTTTAACTTTTCGGTAGAACTCTACTTTGTTCATTCTTATCTTAATAAACAAAAACTTTTTTATATTATAAACTTAAAAATTAAAACCCCACTATCATTATTGTTATTCATTTAAAATATTTAGGGCAACAACACCAAAAATACTTTATGTGATCCAACCTCTCGTCAACTTCAATGTCCAGCTGGATCCGAGTGCTACAGCAATGGAATCAATCCGTTCACCAAAGTGGCCACAATTCCTTCGAGTCTTCGGTCTTTCAATCGACTCAGCTACTGTCGTCCAATCGAAATCAAAGAGGGACTTGATGATAATTGTTTTGAGGCTAATTTGCCATACATCGAGAAAGTCGTGCCAATTCCACCAAATGAGGACGCCGAGAATGTTGATACTCGATTGATCGAATCCACTGGAGACCTTCGACCTCTACAAACGGCTTTTCAGGCACAAGTACGTGTTTAAGTATATCTAAATTTTAAAATAAACCCAATTTGTAAGCTTTGGTAATTGAATTTTTTAAGTTGACTAGATTAGAAAACTAGAAATAGTGGGTAATCAGAATGAGAAAAATCCTGGTTTTGTTAGCGCTTTAGAATAAAACTGAGAAGGTCCATACGTGTTTGTGAGTCCTTAAAAACTAGAATCAAACACTTCTTTATTGTCTTGGTTAAGCCATGTAAGCTGTTTGTTCTTCTAAATTAAAAGTCAAAAGGTTTATGAGTAATCAATAATAAATGTCATCAATACATCAAAATTTAGTCTCGCTGTTTAAAAGATGGAAAAATCGTCAAACCAAGAGATGCTTTGACAAGAAAGAAGAGAGGATTTGGAAGATGGTTCAAAAAATTCATTCGAAAAGTCGTCAAGGTTGTCGCTGTTGTGATCCAAGTCGGATGCATTGTTCTGGAAATTTTGGGGCAACCAATTTGTCGATTCTCTAACGGGAGATAAGCATGAATGGTGTGAATAAAACATTTTTTATGTATTCTTTTTCAATTTCATTTTATTATTTGCTAGTGAGAAGACATCTTTTCTTCATTGTCGACATTCTGGATACCAATCCTCGCATTTGGTTATCCATTCCTCGGATGCGGTGTCCTTATCGATCTGATAGTAGCGCTCTCTCACAAGAACTTTAGCCATCGTCGTGCATTGATAACACTATAATTTTAACATAAATCTTACATACAATGGAATTGGATTTATATTTGCTTTTATTCATACGTGTAACTCCGTGTAACAACTTCTTTACAAAACTGGATGATCGGTGGAAAAGTTTTCAACTTTGAGGTCTATAACTTTTACTGATCTTTTACTGACATGTTCAAAGTGTCAAAATTTGTTAGTGTCAAAATTTGTTTTGTCGTAGAGGTCATAGAGATTTAAGCTGATTTTTTGATTTTATGATCGCTATCCGCCCGACATCCACCCAAAAATAAAAAAATTCGGCTTTATACATATCTATTAGTCGGTGGAGAGTTGGCTATACAAACAAAGTGATCGGTTGTTGTATGGGGAGTCATGAAAATCGAAACCCTCACAACAAAAGTACTTTTGACATCACGATGAAACATGAAAACTCAATCAGTACAAAGTTATGAACACTCGAAGTTAACAAAATTTCCTTAATAATTTTTTAAAAGTTTGAATCTTTACAGAAAAAAACTGTTCTCATTATCCATTTGATGTTGTTACTGATTTCTGTTGCTCGTAGTGCAGAGTTAATCTAAAAATAAATGTTATTTGATAAAGAATTAAGTTAAAAGAAAAGAAGCAGCAAAAAAATCAAAGAAGCATCAATTCCAGGGGGCACCGTTGCTTGTATCAATATATTCTCTCTAATAGTACTGCGCACTACTATTTTTTCAACCCCCTCCTAGACCGCAATACTATTAGAGAGTGCACTACTATTAAAGAGTTTTATCATTTACCAAAGTAAGACAGATATAAGATTTGTTCCAAAAATTCTTGCAAAAAAAACAAATTTCTAAAAATTTATTGGCTTCTGATAATAAAAAGGTCAACTAGACAAAAATATACAATAGAATCATCATTTGAATCATCATCCTTATCCAGTTCAATATTTTTGAGTTGATCCTTTACTCCGTTGAGACGAGATTTTTCGAGACGAGCATTGGTGTGAAGTGTTGCGGGATCGGCCCTTTTTTTGAAGCAATGAATGAAATAGTTAACATTTAAAATTTGCGACGGAAATTCAAATTTGACATGAAAGCGTCTCGAAATCATTCTCTAAGAATAATTCTTTCCTATTTCTCAAAAAAACCAAATTGTTTATCTGAGAAAAGATTGTGCTCTTCAAAATGTGAAACGATCTTATTTTTAGAATGATCTCGAAGAACTTGGAAAGGGGAGAGGTCAAAGAAATCGGACGGTAATTAGAAACAAGATTTTTGAAGTTATATTTTAGGACTCGGATAATTACAGATTGTTTTCAAACATAGAGGAAAACAAATTGGATCAGGAGTTTATTAGAAAGTTTGCAAATGTGGTGGGCAATTACCCAATATAGTTTCTTTACAAAAAATACAAAAAATATGTAAGTAAAATGAAAAGCTTTTACTTTTACTCTAATTGAATTATACTCTGATTGATCAACATTTGAAAAAGCCAAGTTTATTTTCAAAAGCGCTATGTTAACCATCGAGCAACAAATCAAGTCATCATTTAACCAAGAATCGTTTACAATGAGAACTCTGTTTTGGTTTTGGGTGCAACTCTTGACCAGTCTCCTGACTGCCATTCATGTGACGTGGGCGGTTTGTGAAAAGAATTTATGGCAAAATATTAGAAATAGAGATGGAACTGTATGCTATAATATAAATAGAGGTTTGAATCCTGAATTTTATTAACGCTTTATTAACGCTTTATTTGCTTTACCCATTTAAATGCCTTACTGCAATAAATTTGTAATTTATGATTTTCTTTTTTTTGATTTCAGATGAGGGGCTTATATATTACATGTAATCAATTTCCAATCAACTTTATCCATAAGGGTTCTTCGTGAAACGTCCAGTGTCCATGTCACGGTATCGAGTGAAGACATTTCCTCGAGAACTCGTGTACGTTTCGGGTTGAATGTTTGGCGGGCTACTGTAGCTACGGTAGGACTGGGAAGGAGATGGATAGAAAGCAGGACTGGTAAAGAATGCTCGTGATGCCATCTCCCGTTGTCGTTCAGCAGCTTCAGCGGCTTGTTGAGCTCTCCGAAGATCGGCTTCGATTCGTTCACGTTCTTGACGAAGCCGCTCGTTTTCGCGCTGAAAAGAGTTGTTTCTTTTGAGTGAGTTCTGAACCTGTAATTTTGAGTAAAATGCCCAGAAAACTAAAGTCTTTTCAGTCATTGGAACTAGCAATCATTGTGCTAGAGTTTTGGCTGTTAAAGGAGTCGAATGCTAAATCGGTTGGAAAGAAACTGGAAATGTTGATGAATATAAACTTTGAACCCTATCAAATACATCACAACTTCTTTTTGTGAATTCGAAACTCTATGAGCATTCATTTTACCTGTTGTTCGAGTTGCTGCTGTCGAAGTCTTTCCTCTTCAGCTCTCCGTTTCCTTTCATTTTCCTCTCGTTCCTTTCTCAAAGCTTCTTCCTGTTCAGCTTTCAGTCGAGCCAAGCGATCTTCCTCATCTTTGATCTTTTTCTTCGCGATTCTTTCCTCTTCCTCAAGACGAGCTTTCTCTGCTTCGAGGCGTTCATTTTCTTCAGCCACTTTGAGATTTTGCTCCACCACTCGTTTGTGCTCAACCAGCCGTTCCTAAAGCGATGATTAAAACAAAATAAAAATCGAAAAATTACCTCAAAATACGTCTGAAGCTTTTGCTGAATTGTTGCCACTGGTAAGTCACCAGAGATCTTTGGGCGACTAGCAAACACTTTCCGAGCTGCATCAACACTGGCTGAATGGAATCCATTCAAGACGTCGATTTTGGTTAAATTTATAGTGTTGCTCATTTTCTGAAAAAGATTTCTATTAATTTCTAAAACATTGTTCTTTAACCTCTTTCATTTGAGTGTCGTACTCCTGCTTGGCTTTTGTTTCGGCCACTGAAAGCATCACTTCAGCGGTCGCCTCCAGAATTGTTTTCACTTTTGGCAGCTTATCACTATTGAAGATTTTCATGTAGGCCTATAAATGGGAATTAGGCAAGTTTAAGTTATGAATATTTTTTATTTTTTCTTACCCCAAACAAGTTTATCAATCCACGACATGTCAACGTTTCTCCATGCATCGTTTTTGGTTCCACAAAATTCTCCTTGAAATGCGAAGTCACGAACTGCTCGAGGTACTCCTTGAAATCAGCTTCCACCTCTGTAAGAAAATATGCTTTTGTACTTTTGAAGTAGTTTATTTAAACTTGTGAATTATTTTCTATTTCCTTTTTAATTCTAACTATTAGAGTTCAACTATGAAATTAGCTATTAAAGCTATTGTTCAGCTATTAAAGCTGCTGTTCACTCACTTCCGAGAACCTTATCCGAGTTGTTGCTTGCCACGCGCAAACCGGGATGTGGCATCAGAAAAGCGTCAATCCTCTCGAAACTGTTCTTCAAGCTTGTGCGCAATTTCTGCAACTCTTTTTTCTGTTTTGGTTTAATTGCAAGCAGTTTCTCCAAATATTCCGCTCCTCCCTCAAAACCGTAGCCATATTCGTCCGAGTTTGGCCAATCACGAATGAGGAAACGAAGCTTTTGAAAGGCGGTTGTTTTCTTTTGGTTTTCATCTTGAGCCATTTGAGCAACTTCAGTGAAAAGACGCAGATTGTTGAAATCGTCTTCTTGAATTTGCTGGCTCACGTTGAAGATTTGAACCGACGAAATGAGAGTGCTCAATGCGAAGATTGTGGCACAGTCATTGATTGTCGTCTTGTGATCGAATGTCCCTTGAGTGTCCATCAGGAGGACGACTATCTGCAATCGGATCAATAGATTTTCAAGTTGAGTGCCAATTTCAAGTGTCAGTTTTCAGTTTTCAAGTGTTTATGAGTGCCAATTTAGAAAATTAGTTGAAAAACTCGTGTTGTCGGTTAAATGGTGAACAGTTTAAATTGGAAATCATTATTTTTCAAAACAAAATATATTTACAAGGTTTTCTTCCAATATTCTAATGTCATCCCTTAAAAATGATCAGCTTTTAATTACGCAGAAATATCTCCAGCTTGGCTGATATGTATTCGAAAAAGCTCACACCTCTTCACCATCTTTATCTTCCAACAGATATGGTCGACTCCATAGATAGATTCCATTTGTATCCCTCTTCGAGCCACCTCTCCAGTGAAATTTATCCAAAGGTGTCTCCTCATTCAACCACTCTCCTCGTCCACCATTACTCAGAAACTCCAAATAGTTGACGAAAAAGTTCAACAGGAATGATTTTCCTTTTCGAAACGCTCCAGCAATCGAAATCACAGCAACCTGAACGGCGTTTGAGTGTGGTTTCTCAAATTCAGAGAACCTACCTTCTTGTCAATGAAATCCTTTTGACCGAGAATTTTTGTAAGTCCAGCAGCGTTCAGTTTATACGAGGTCTTGATCTTGTTGGAAAACAAACTGGACTTTTTCTCTTCCTCCAAGACGATCACAGGCACAGCACAATGATTTGAAGTCATCTTCTGAAGGTTTGCTCATTATACATGGTATTCAAGTAGCATATAAATTAAAGCATATAATATAAAGCATATAAATGAATATTGTAGTATAAACTTGAACAAAAGCCATTAAAATGACCATTCATCAATAATCGATGCTTTTCGATTGGTTGAATGTGACAAAATTGCCTTTATCTACACAGCATATCACAAACGGGAAAATCTAGAAAAAAAAGAGATTCAAACAAAAGCAATTCGCTAGAAAAAGACAAAAGCTTAAAGAAAAAAAAGATAAAATTTCGAAATTATGAAAAATCTGAATAATAAAAAGTTAAAATACAAGCAAATCTTTTTTGATTGAAGAAAACTGAAACTCTGGTGCGAGTCGGCCAACCTTCAAACGCCTTTGTGGCCGTATAAGCTGCGGTAAAGCGAGTAAAATTTTTTGTGTGAAAAAATGATAAGGATTGTGTGGAACAGCTTTTTCAGTTTTTTTGTGTAGCTATAAAGTGCAAAAAATTAGCACTCAACATCTCCAATACTGAAAATGTTATCTGGAATTCACTCCAGGGTTCAGGATCCAGAAATTCACTGTAATCTTTTTGATCCAACAAGACTGAAACTCTGGTGCGAGTCGGCCAACTTTCAAATGCCTTTGTGGCCGTATAAGCTGCGGTAAAGCGAGTAAAATTTTTTTGTGTGAAGAAACTGATAAGGATTGTGTAGAATAGCCTTTTCAGTTTTTTTTGTGTAGCTATAAAGTGCAAAAAATTGGCACTCAACATCTCCAATACTGAAAATGTTATCTGGAATTCACTCCAGGGTTCAGAATCCAGAAATTCACTGTAAGCGGTTTCTTTGTTTTTTTCGGAAAGAAATACTTGATAAATTTTGAACCCAAAAGAAAATCGCAATAAATAAAAACATAAAAATAAATATAAATATTTAATTTTCTTGAATCTTTCACAAAAACGAAGGTCACAAAAAAGTGATCATTTGGGATGTACATTTTTTGTTTTAATCTGCCAAAGTGTTCAGACTAAAAACTTGAATTCATTTAAATTAAATATTAGTTTGCAAATGTGTTCTCTTCAATCAAACAAAAATATGAATAACTTTAATTTAAAGAATTTCAATGCTAAAAGCTTAGGTTGGAACGTTCAAAGTGAGAACTTTTTGCACTGTATTTTTCTAAAAAACCAAACCACACACTTATTCAAGATAATCACCATTACTATCTATTATTCGTTGCCATTTATTGGGTAGAGCATGGATCCCCTTCTCCCAGAAATTCTTGGGCTGCACGTCAAAGAAGTCGCGGAGCCAATTCTCGACCTCGACGCGATCTCCGAAGTGCTCCCCATCGAGTTCTGCAGCTTCCGGAAAAGATGAAAATCAAAGGGAGCAAGGTCAGGGCTATACGGTGCATGAGGGAGAACTTCTCAGCCCAGCTCCTTCAATTTTTTTTCAGTCAAATTTGCAACATGAGGTCTTGCATTGTCATGCAAGAGAAGGCCGATTTTGGTTGGGTCGATTTGACCGACTTTTTGTGATTTGTTTGGCGACCTGGTCCAGCTGTTCTGAGTACAGGGAAGCTGTGACTGTCGTACATTCAGATAGCAACTCCCAATAAAATACTCCGCTCAGATCCCATCAAATGCATAATCTTCTTCTGGTGCAATTCGGGCTTGGGTTTGGTTGCTCGCCGGAACCGATCCACTGCTTGTGTCTTCGATCGTTGAGATAAAGTACTTTCCATCACCAGTAATCAGGTGTGGAAGAAAGGAATATCTGTTGTACCGGGAGAGTAGGGCGGCAGAAACTCTGACGCGCTGCAATCTCATCACATCTGTGAGCACATGGGAAACCCAATTTCAAAACAAATCCCATTGAATGGAGATGGGTTATCACTCTTGTATGAAAGGCCTTTAGTTGTTCTCCCAGTGTCCTGGTTGATTGTTTGCTGTCGATCCGCAGGAACTCAGTTAGAGCCGTCTCATTGAAGTCACTCACGCCCCCACCCCTCGCCTCTTCCTCTAGGGAAAAGTCGCCTTTCTCGAAACGATGGAACCATCTGTAAGTGTAAGTGAACCTTGCCCATAAACATTTAATCTCCCCATAGGCACGGATGGCAGTGGAATTTTCTTTGAAGTCAAACAAAAGGACAGATAGTAGATAAGATAGCTTTTCGGTAGAGTAGTTTCGGATGCCTTCAAAGAAAGACAAAAATAACACAGAAAATACCAATATTTCATTTGGGGTTTTTAGTAATCGAGGAATTTTTTCTTTGGAATGTTTGTTTTGTTTGCACTTAGTTTTTTGTTTTTTAATGAAACTACGTAACTTTATTGACATCAAATAAACATTATCGGCAAGTTGGGCAAAGCTCACGAAGACAAATTTAGGCTAGATGTTTCTCGAAAGTACAAAAAACAATCCGTATGAGAAAGTTGGATCAAAACTTTAGTTGCATGTCTACCCTCTTCCTACCGCTTTCAAATGTAAAAAGAGTCTCAAATGCAAGTCAAAGATGTCAAATAGATAAACAATAAACTCAGCAAAACAAATAATCGAGCAAGTTGATGCCAAAAATGGTGTCCGGAATCGATAAGAAAAATTAGTGGAGGCTAAGCGCGACGAATTGTACGTGGAACGGCGCGTTCTTCTCGCTGACATTCAACAGGAATGTCTGTTGTTTTTTGCCGAAAGTCTTTACAAAGTAAAAAGTCTTTGGGAAATACTTGATACGTCGCGTTTCCGAGGAGTTCTTGTAGGCGGCGACGAGGCGAGCGCGTATTTCGCCTCTTTCGGCGGGCGATAGCCAAACGCTCTCGGCGCCCGCCTCCTCAAAAAGCTTCCTCAACGAGCGCAAATGAGTGTGGCGATGTTTCTCCGGATCGGTGTGCTGAGCGGTGTCGATGTGGTGAGCGATCAACGCCGGCGAGTCGCCGATGCCCTCTTCGAGCACTTTGTTGACGAGGCCTTTGAAGAGAAACCATTGCAAGTCCTCAATGAAAATCGTTCCCGAACCAGGTGTCGACATGAAGACCCAGTAGTATTTTGAGGCGCTGCCCCAGAAGAAGCACGAGCGCTTTTCGAAGAGCGTCGAGCAGTAGGCGGAGATCTCGGCGTCGTCTCCTCGCAACACCTCAACTTGCAACGAGTTGTGGATTGCTGGGCGAAAGGTGTCGAAAATGGTTTTCACGACGTCCAAAGTGCTCTCGACTTGCACATTGTTGATCGTTTTGAGGCCGGGGAAAAAGCGTGCCTCCTTTTTTGCCACCTTGAGGACTCTCTCCAATTGTGGGGTGCCCGAGCGGACGATCGAGTCCAGGTGGGGGAAAACGGGCTTTGTCCAAAGGGGAATGAGCAGCAAATCGACGTGCTCGATCGAGCGCGTGAGGCGCCAGAGACGGCTCGGTGATCCATCAAAAAGGTGGTGATTTACTTCAATTGTGTCCTTCTCTTGGTGCGTCTTGAGCTTGATCGGCACTCGTTTCCCTCGCCACGCCACACTAAGCGTTACCTCGTTGGAGAAATCGGCGACCAGCGAGATTTGGTCGACTTTTTTCGGGAATGGCCCAAGAGAGAAAATGAGGCACCGAGGCGCGTAGGCCGTTCTCAGCAATCGCAACAGAGCCTCGATGTCGAGAAACGAGAAACACAACAACTTCAACTCGTTGGGCAGCCTGTTGAAAGAAATCCGTTTCGAATAAAGACCGAGAAATGGATGGGGTTTGCGTTTCGAATAAATTTCCAACGTCATTTTGAAAGAAAGGAGAGCGTTGAGGCCAAATAAACGCTGAAAACAGAAAACTCAAATCTTTGTCAGCCGGCTTTTGAAAAAGAATGACGCAAGGAAAAGCGGGGAGTACTCCCTGCTACTCCCCACTACTTCCCGCTTTTCCTTGCGTCATTCTTTAGTACTCCCCGCTTTTCCTTGCGTCATTCTTTTTCAAAAGCCGTCTGACAAAGATTTGAGTTTTCTGTTTTCAGTGGGTGTTCGGTGGGTGTTCCACGGTTCCAAAGTTGAAAAATATCTACAGCAACGTGTTGAAAACATGAAACTCGTCCATTCCCTCCGTTGATCCCTGATATATGTATTGACAGAGTAGATCGGACTGAAGAACTACCGAGATGACTTTCCCTGGAAAGCCTCTTTCAAAAAGGGTTCTGACGGACAAAAACTATTTGAAAACGAGATTTTTCAAAGAGCTCCTGGACAAACCAAGGCCCATTCAAAGAGACCTTGGTTTGTCCAGGAGAGGCCTCTCGATTGAGGGCCAGCAAAGTGTTTGGCTACTTTTTTTACTTCTTCCATTTCCCCCACCGACAGGTATAAGCTCATCTTGCAAAAGGTTTTTTTTGGCTTGAAATGCTCGAAAACTGTGAAATAGGGTCATGTTGAAATAGGTCCAAAGTTTGAGGCCAAAAAGAAAAGAGAGAATTTCAGAAGAGATTTTCGGTGAGTGACTTTTATCGTTGTGAATCACGCTTTTGAACATTGTCTAAACACGTAGTAGACAATTTTTTAGATGGATATCTTGAAAGCTTACGGAGCAATATAGAAAAAGACGCGCTATCAAAGAAGGGTTTATGATTTTCAACGATTCGCTCGGAATCGTTAACGGAACATTTTTGATTGAAATATTTCTGAAACACAACAAAATTGTCGTCACATTAATTGGAAGCTTATTGAAAATAAAGTAAACAAAACCGTTGAAATAAACTTTAAAATACCTCATAAATAAAGGCCATGAGGCCAAAGGCCATGAGGCCATGAGGCCAAAGGCCATGAGGCCATGAGGCCATGCCAAGTCGGTCCAAAAAGATAATATTGTTTTTATCGTGGATTGATTGAAACATATAATCGTGAAGTCAGATATAACCAAAAGAATATATTGCCAAATTCTTCAAATTCTCACTGGTTATAGTGTCATTTGATGAATTAATGTCTTAAATCACAAGATGTTTTATGATTTATCTCCTGCAAATTCAAAGTTTTAAGTTGTACATAAACCTCTCAGGTCTTTGCAATATTTGTACCATTCTATCAAAAAAGATATTCCTTTTTTGGTTCTCCGACTTTTGAAAGTATTGTTCTATTAGGCTGTTCAGAAAGTCTTTTTGTTCCTTTTCCTACTCCCGTTTAAAATCAACAAATACACCAATTGAACTACGATTTGTTTCATTAGAAAAACCTATTATGTTTGTGATTTTTGCTTTCTACTTGAGAGAATTTTTAAACTCATAAGGCGTCAAAAGGTTCAAATTCAATTCAAAACTTTCAAAAGCTTTCGATTAAAATCGTAAACTGTAATCACTTGGTCTCATAGTAATATTTAAATATTTATTATCAAATTATTTGCCAATATTTTTGCTAAGACTCATTATAGGTTCATTTTTTCGTTGCATGATTTAACTTTTGAATTGTTCAAGTTGCCGAATCTCTCCTTCTTTTGCAAGAGTGCTCGATGGTTGCATCAACTTGCTTATTTGAGCGCCATTTTTTTCCAGAAATTATTGTGGATTGAGGATCTAAATTGAATAGTTATGAAAACGTTTGACAAATTTGGCTCTTTGTCATAGTGAAGAATTTGGCAATATATTCTTTTGGTTAAGCCTGGCCAAGTCGGATCACATTTGTGCTACTTTACAGCTTAAACCAAGAGCGAAGTAAAATAAAATTGGATTGTTTTTTTGCATTGATTACAATCAATTGATTGTAATTACAATTTGATTTGACTTGGCTCTTGGTTTAAGCTGTAAAGTAGCACTCTTCGTTTAAGCTGTAAAGAAGAATCAGTCGGAAATGTGATCCGACTGATTCTTTCCGTTGTTGATGCAGGAAATAGATGTGAGTCCAGTAGAACACCAATAAACAATCGTCAAAGCATTGTCATTTCGCTTTTATTGAAAATCAGTTAAACAAAAGAGGCTAATAATTTGTAAGAAATGGCTTTTGTAAGAGATTTATTAGATAATCAAGAGAAATTTGCACTTTTTTTATATACATAGGTGAAGAGGATAACATATAGTCTTCCCCTTTTTACCCACTCTGCACACATTGCCATTTTGCTAAAGTAAATGGAAGACAAAAGTCTATAGGTCGTGTTCCCCCAAATCTTTTACTTCCGGTATCATTGAATCAAGAGTACGTGACGTGAACTGATTCACTTTCTGGTTCTTTATGTGATATAAGTTTAAAATGTTTTCACTGCAAAGTGTTTGCAAAAGTATGAATCATCAATTGTATCTAAAAAAGGTTCACAACAAGAGTTTCCTTGCGAATGAAATAGCGATTCGAATTGTCTTGCGCAACTTAAATCAAGAATTTAAACAGAAAAATCAAGGAAACTTTATCATTTTCTAATATTTTTGTAATTTTGACTTATTGGAAGTTGATTATTGTTTCATTTAACAACAATGTCCGCAAAATCGAAGAAAATTGTCGTCGTTGGAGACTCGATTTGCGGAAAAAACGCTTTAATCATCACCTTTATGACGAATGAATTCCCAAAAACTTGGGTTCCGACAGTCATCGAAAACTATTCAAAAACGATTACCATTGATGAGAAACAGATTGAGCTTAATATCGTAGCAACAAACGGAATTGAAGATTATGATCGTTTACGGCCACTAGCCTATCCGCATACCGATGTATTTCTATTGTGCTTTGCCGTCAATTCACCGCTTTCGCTCGAAAATGCTCTACAAAGATGGTATCCTGAAGTGAAAAGTTTTTGTCCTGATGCGGCGATTGTTTTGGTGGGAAACAAAAGTGATCTGAGAACTGATTCGCATACGATAGTGACATTTGATCAGGGAAAATTGTTAGCTGATCGAATTGGAGCATTCGCTTATTTAGAGTGTTCAGCGATGAAAAATGAGGGAGTTGGGGAAGTTTTTGAGACGCTTGCAAGGGCTTCTTTGCCAAAAAAGAAAAAGAAGAACAAGTGCCGGATAATTTGATGAAAGAAAATGATTTTCAACTAGCTGTACAAATTTACTGCTTTACTTAATAAATTCTCTGCTGTTTTATCTAAGATACATCTCATTTTTGTCCTAAAACAACATAGCTCAAAAATGAAGCCGATGTTTGACGCTGGTGAAGATCATTGAAACACTGGCGGTCATTTGTTTGTTAACATCACACATTATGATAGCAAAAGTATTTTTCTGTTTACTCTGAAGCTCTGAAAAATTGTGCCAAAGACATATAAAAGTCGTGTTTTGCTTTATTTTTACTTTTCCATTTCCAAACTTTTACTTCTGCAGAATGAACTTTGAAAGTTTTCCTCAATTTCTTCTTTTGATTTTCTCTGGTAAGTGACTTTTTCCAGATTGAGCATTTATTTACTTCAAAAAAGTTCATCCAACAAGTCTAATTCCAGCTTTTTCCTTGATTGTGGCTCAATATGGTGGATATAATGGGAACACATATCCATCTTCTTCAATTGGGTCGACAGGGATGGGAAACATGGGAAATTCCAATCAATATCCGAATTCCTTGTCAAGCAAAAAGTAAGTAAACTCTTGATAATAATAAAATTGATTTTATGGTGCAGACTTTGAGTCAAATGTTTACCTAGAAATCAGTAGTTTGGTCTAATTACACGCTTAGAAACTTCTAATTACTATGCCCAGAGTTTTGCTTGAGTCTATCAGTTTTTTAAAAGTTTAACAGTTTAAAAGTATCAGTTCAACAAGAGTCTATCAGTTTTTTTTAAACAAATGATGGTTTATTTTGACAATGAATAGTTTTTAGCCAATACACCGGGAATCAGTACCCTCAGAACAGTTTGTCGTCGTCGTTGAGCAACAGCAATCAACAACCGAGCTCTTCGATCAGTCAAAGCACCAATGATTACGATGGTTTACCTCCCGGTGTCAGCTATGATGTCTACTACAACTTCGGAGAGCAAGGAATGTATAGAAAGTGACCTCTTTCAAATATCGCTCGTTATTTCTTTTTGATACTTGAAAATTGTGTTATGAGCTTGAATGTAATGTTTTTTTAAAGTCAGAAAATCAAATATTCAAGCCAAACTAAAGCCAGCTCGATCTATGTCATTCAAATTCCTTTCCAATTCATTCAACCACCGAAAAACAGTGAGCTGGCTATTATGAAGCTGAAACTTTGTTGATGTCAAAAATTCTCAATAAAAAAACGCATTATCTCAATAAAAAAACGAAAAAAACAGGGCATTATTTGCTAGCTAATCATTGTGTTCTTCTTTTCGCTGAAATTTGAATTAAATCAGAATTTTGGATAAGTCAAATTTAACCAAAAATAATACCGCACATATCAGTTTCAATATTTCAACAAGAATAATTAGAAAAATCTCATAAGTTCTCGTTCTGAAATCCATTATTGAGAAGATTTTGTGGCACAATCTTCACAACCTGCGATTCTGAGAACCAATAGCCGGGAGTCGAATCAAAGCAAAATGAACTGTAAAAAAATTTTCTTGGTCTATAGTTTCTAAATTACTCCTGAATGCAGTAAATCATCGAGATTTTGGCCAAAATTTGAGCGATACGAATGAGGGCTAAAATGAGCATCAACATTCGCACCGAGACGCTTGTTTGCACCGGGACGCTTGAAACAAACGATTGCGTTTGTTTGCACCGAAGAAAGAATAGGAGGATTGCGTTGGAAAAGATTATAATGAGTGAATTCTAAATGGTTATATTGAGTTGGGAGTATGAAATAATGCCGACTTTTAACGTAACTTCTATAAAATCAAGTCGTCTTTATCAAATGACACGGGTAGTATCATTAGAAAGGTTTTCTATTTCTCTATTTTCTATTTTCTCTATTTCTCTACAAAAAAATCATATCTGAAATAGAACTCAAAAAGCGAGCCAATTCAAAAAAGATAATTTTTTCAGAAAATCTATAAATCGTCATTTAGAGAAAATGACTGACGAGATTACTACAAAAATTTGGTTACTTATGTAATTCAATGTGCTCTAATTTTTTTGTTCTAACTTCAAGTTAAGTTTATTTGTAAGAAACGAGTCAAATGACGAATCGGATTCCTTGTCATATTGACTTGTTGCGTTTAGGAGCCCATAAAACCCACAAAACAAATGCTTTACGGAATCTCTCAAGAGCCATTTTGTAGAGCAATAGTAGACCTTTTCGATTATAAAAACAATAAATTATATAGAGCTTTTATGCGTTCCAGAAAAACCCTTGAAGGTTGGTGTGGTTTCATACCCGTCAACCCAATAACGTTTAAAGGATGTCCCATTTATTTGAGTATAATGCTTTTATTAAATCTTTTTTTCAAACATTGCAACTGAAATCAATTTAAAAGACTTTTTTCAAAGAAAAATATGGATATTCTGATCAGGCTAAAATCCGATTTTCAGGTCAAGCCAAAGCCAAGCCAATCTTTTGGCTTTGGCTTGGCTAAGCTTGGCTTTTTACTTTTCCAGCCAACCCTGGTTATTGCCAAAGGAAATTATGGTGGATCTTCTAAAATTTTATGGATCAATGCTAATGCGTGTGACTCTATCAACCTAAACAATGGCGGAAACTACCGTGGCCGTAACCAAAAAAGACTTGGCTTGAATGAATTCAGTGAAATTTGAAAGTTATTAAGCTTTTGGTACTCAATCGCTTACAAAACTTACGAAAGGATGATCATCACAAGAAGCCGATTCAACTTAACAAAATATCTGAGCAACAAAGATCAGTTTGCTTTTAATCTACAATTGGAGATGTCATCTATCCTGTCAAGATTAGAATTTTGGATTCCAAAAGATTTAGTTTGACAATGAATATATTTTAGTCAACACACTGGAAATCAGTACCCTCAGAAAAGCTTCTCATTATCGTTGGGAATGAGCAACCGAGTTCGTCGATCAGTCAAAGCACCAATGATTACGATGGTTTACCTCCGGGTGTCAACTACGATGACTATTACAATTTCGGAGAGCAAGGAATGTATAGGAAGTGATCTCTATAAATTATCGTTGCTTCTTTTACTGTGATGACTTCGCTGTTCAATCCAATCAATCATTTAGCTGTTTCAGATTGCTTTTGAAGAGAAAATAAAACATTTGAGATATTATCATGAAACAAGATATTGTTGATGCTATTTAGACAAATGTTCAGACAAATGTTTTTGATATTTTTGCATTTACAAATGATGGAATTACCACTAGATTTTATTGTTGGAGCATCAAAAAAGCGAAAATAAAATCTATAAAAAAGCAAAAAAATGTAAACAAGTGAAGCATTGAGTAAAATGGAAAAATGATATCCGTGAAATTCTTGCTCCAGTTTCACTAAAGAGTTGCTATATTGGAACCGGGAAAAAAGGTCAAACTTACTCTGATTATCGGATAACTCATATACTTTGTTCTTTTCGAAATTGCACTTCAAATTTCAAACTTGGAAAATGCAAACTCATTTCATGAGATTCAGTTCTAACTGGGGCCTCGGATTCATTTTTCGAATTGATTGCAGCTCTTTTGTACAACGAACTTGTGACTTCGAAAAAAAGTGCCGGTAGTCCTGGGGCATCGTCAAAGGTAAAGTAACATGGTAAAGTAAAGGCTTTCTCTTGCAGCGTTTTGCTTTCTTTAATCAACTTTTTGTTCTCGGCATTTTTCGTTCTCATTTCTTTGATACTAGAAGCCAATTGCACGAGGAATTCTCCGTGAAGAGAACGCTTCTTGTTTTTTATATTACAGAGTGAAACAACAAGTAAAACGGGCAGCTCAAAGAAATCATTACAAAGTCGTTTAGCTTCTTCCATAATGTTATTGATTTCAAACTCTTTGATTTGCAAGGTTTTCAGAAAAGGGCACAATGCATGTTCTTTTATGCATTTTTCCCGAAAGTTTTCGAAAACTTTACAAATGAAATCTTGCGAAAGAAATTCTTCTAGATCCAGTATATGCAAAGTTGCCTCATCAAAATCACTTTTTGAAATTGATTCCTCGGAAATTTTCAATTCTTTTGTCATCAGAAGTACCCTCTTCGATGATGGTTTTTCGTCAGCCTGTAACAGAACATCAAGAATAATCCTTGAGTCCTTGAGTTTTCTCATTAGGAAATACTTCGGGCACTCAAGTGAAGATATGAGCATAAGCAAAACACCAGCACTTGAAATAGCCCGAGCTAGATCGACAAAATTCGACAGTTCTTGAAGCTTGATAAGAAGGTCTGAAAAATAGAAAAACATAAGGGCGTATTTGGAATAGTTTTGACAACATATTGGATAACGCAATCTAAGCTGTTCGAACCCAAGAGGCAAGATTTCGTTGTACTCAACGAGTGGGCAATTGTATTCACAAGCACAAAAGGCTCTTGGTGGGTAACTCAGATGATAAATATAGCCTTTTACAGGCAACTCATGACCTTGCTCTTGTGAAATGAGTCCTTCGAAATACGAGATTATTTGATCAAAACGTAAATTTGCATCAAAATCTAAATAATCGAAGCATAGCGGTCGTTTGTTAGTAAAAACAAAGGTTTCGGCTTTCTCTTGGCATTCACTTTTGACCTCAAAATGCTCCAAGTTCAACCATTGGCCACGAAATACTTGTACTCTGTGCAAGTCTTTTTTGGGCACAAATCGAGCTATTGAGCTATTACGATATTTTCGATCCTTCCGATAATTTTCTTCTTCAACTAGAATGAAAGCTTCTTTGCTTGTCGTGCTTTCGAAATGCGATAATGGTTTGATCAACATCGAAAAGAATTCGTCGATGTAGTCGATGTCGATGTCGAAGGAAAATTGTAGAATTTGTTTTGCTTCTGATAGGCATTCGATCATTCCCTTATAATTAACCCATGATTTGAAAACTTCTTGATATCTGCTTGACTGAGGGTTTCGATAAAATATTCCTTGAGGCTCATTTTGTCCAACCCATTTTTTAAGATTTTTGCTTGTCTTCCAGTTAGCCTGAACGCGGGAAAAAACATCGGTTTCGTTTTGTACGTTCTCAAGTTCTTGTTCCGGAAACAGTATACGAGAAGCTAGCATTTCCGCAATTTTTACAGCTTCAGACTTTTCTATGTCTGTAATGAGATAATCTAAAAGGTCACAGTCAAAAGCCAGCTGTTTTTTAGTCGCACAATTTTCATCGATCTTTGCCTTGATTCCGATCGGGCTTGATGGTTCGACTAAATTTTCGTCGTTGGTTGGCTTGAATGGAAGAAGCGGTGACAGTTGTTCGTACATCTGACAAAATTGAAATTAATAAAGATTACAATAAGGGCACACCTTTCTGATTGTGATTGTCTGCTGAAGCATTTCGAAAGCTCTTGGACGTTTCTTGCAGTCATAACTGGTGCAACTAAATTTTGTTGGTGTCTTTTTCTGTTATAAAAAGCCGTTGATCTAGAGTAGAAATGTTTTTCTAAAAACGCAGTTTATCATAAAATTCACGCAACCTTAAGATGATTCTTCTAATCAACTCATTGCAGTTAAGCCGCTCCATTTTGGTAAGGTCTTGATGACGTTGTAGATCAAGTCGAAAAGTTGCAGCAGCAAAATTGTGTCCATTTCGATATTTTTCAAAGAGACGTTTAAAAATGTTTCGATACAAGATTGGCTCTATCTCAGAATCGAATCCTTTAAAAAAGATCGAGGGGTCCTTTAAATAAAATTCGATCCCTTAAAATAAATCGGCTCCTTTAAAAGAATCGGCTCCTGAACTATCCAAGTCAACAAACTATGGTTAAAATTAATGCCAAATCCAAGATGTTACGTAGCATTGAGCTATGGAAGGATTCTACAGGATGACCCAGAAGTTCTGGCACAACATTTTGTAGAAGCAGCTAGCAAATGTCTAACTTATTTCAAAAGTGATAAGTGTTATATAGAGATTTGAAGCCGCCCTAATTCTTGGCTACATTTATCTACTAAAAGCTTCCGAATGGATGCATACAACTCATTTAATAAGCTCTCAAATGAGCTCAACGCGGCATCCCTCCGGAACGTCGCCATTTTTGACGATTTTCTTTTAAAAAATTCTTCAAAAGAGCCTTTTTCTTACTTATTTCATTAAAATGTAGCAATTATTATCATTTAGTAGCAATAAGAATAACATCCAACTGTTTTGTCAAACTTTCCAAAAATTGAAAACAAAATTCAATTTGATTTTAAATTTATTTTGAAGTTGGATCAAGGAAAAAAGAGAAAATTGAGCGTTGCTTTTTGATGTTCAATTTGCATTCAGATTTTGATGTATGTGTTGCTCTAGCGCTATAAATTCATCGTACTTAATTTTTTGAACAAGAATAATGCGAAATTGTTGTGGGGAAGTCTTTCTGAACGAAAATCGTCAAAAATGCCGGAAAGAGACCGAGTAGTGCTCGCTCAAAAACTTGTTACATGAGTTATGTGGATCCAATTTGAAAGCTTTTGGTATGTAAATGTAGTCAAGATTCCGGGGTTCAAATCTCTATATAGCGCTTACCATTTTTGAAATACCGTAAATGTTATATTAGAATGACACCCTTTGATAGAACTACACCTCCTGACCCCTCGAAATCTTGACTTTAGACCCCCCCTTGTGGGGGTTCTATGCATAGATCTAGGCCTAAAACCTACTAATTTCTCGGCAGTAAAATTTAAAACGCTATTTTTGAAAAAATCGAAAAATAACTTTTAGAAAAAATCATAAGGGTCCCTCACAAGAAAATAATTTCACTTTTAAACATTTTTTTTGTACGCTTTGGACAAAGGTCCATCGTTTAAAATAGTTTTTAACGAAGTCTAAATTTTTGAGTCATGTGGTTCCCCATTACCTATTTTTTGGATTGGTCGATTTTGAGGAGTTGTAAAATAGGATGATTTTTTCCATTCATTCCAATACAGCATTTACGGTAAGTTAGACATTTGCTAGCTGCTTTTACAAAACGTTGTGCCAGAACTTTTGGACCACCCTGTATAACATTAACCATTACTCAAGAATAGTGAAAAGTTTGACTTTTTGCCTCTGTTCTGCAAAACATTTACTTAGAAAGATGGCTGGAAAAACATTATAGTACAACGAAGAGGTAAATTGAGGCTCTGGTAGCTCCCCAAGTATACACTACCGTGAGTGTGATTTGATTGGCCACTGGAATCATTAGAAGGAAACTTATAGTTCGTTTTGAACCGCAGAATTAAAGGCCCGATTATTTAAAGAACCTGATTCTGGGTAGGGCCTTAAATTTTCAATTTGACAAACCTTCTCTCGATGACTTCCCACAAAACAATGCCCAGCGAGTACAAATCAGTGCCTGTTGTTACCTAGAGCATTTGTAATGAAAAGCATAAGGTTTACTTTTTAATTATTTGGGTTTTTTTTTACTTAGTTTATACTTACTTGTGGTGCTAAAAATAAGCATTCAGGGCTCATATATCTTTCTGTGCCAGCATAGCTTTCACTGATAGCTCGACTCTCATCTACTACAGGTGCAATTTTTGCATGTCCAAAATCTCCCAATTTAAGGAAATAGCGTTGGTCTAGAAAAATGCTAAATTTTCTCTTGTAAACTTGACACTGTAAAATTGAGAACTTTTCCGGTTTAATGTCTCGATGGAGTATTTGGTTGCCTTCTAAATAATCCAGCACATCGAACAATTGCTCCATCCAACAAATCACAGTGTACATTGAGTATGAATATTTAGAAGAAAATATAACTAAAGCTAGCAGATTAAAAATCTTGATTTTATGATAAAAATTACGTAAATTGTCTAGAAAGCTGGTACTGACAAGAAATTGTTATTTAAAAGCTCACGTTGGGCCAAAGTCCCATGCTCAGCGAACTCCATAAAAATTGCAAACTGGTACCCCATATCCAGGTTCATTGTTACAAAGTCCAAATATTTGATGATAAAGTTATGCTTTAGCTTTTTCAAAGTTAGAACTTCGTTTTCGAATAGCTTTTTTATCGCACTCCTCCCATTGCCGCTAGCTCGGAAAATTTTCACAGCCATTGGGCTAAAAATGAAAAGTGCGTGAACAAAAAATACTACGATTTACCGTTCGGAATCGGAAATTCGATAGACTTCCGAATAAGCTCCGTGACCAACCAACTTGTTGCGCTCCTCAAGCATGATTATTTTCGAAAGAAAATCGTGTTTGGTTAAAGGTTGGCTTTCTGAAAGTTTCTAGCTATTTGATTTTACATTGTGATAAAACTAGAATTTTTGGATTTCATATGAAATAAGCTATTAAACACAGAATGGAAAAAAAGCAAACCTTGTCGAAAAAGAGATGATGAATTAGAATTAAAAAGATCGCTGGACCAAGTCGATGCAGCATCAACAAAATTATCTATTGAAGTTGAGCAGGAGACATTTCCCATTGGCTTTAAAAGGCTGGTAAAAAAATTATGAGGACACTACCTTTGTGCTGCAAGAGGTCCCAGAGTCATTTGATTCAATTGATTTTCCAAGAAAAATTTCCAAGAGTCGCTCTGGTTTATCGCTTCTAAAAGATTATAATTTTACGACTTTTATTTAGTTCATGAAATAATAGAAACATGCTAATAGTTAAAATTCTGGAAAACGTCTGAATTTTGTGCTCATTGTACAAATGATTGCGGAAACTCACTCGTAGATTTCGCATAACTCGCTTTCGGTCACTGCGGCCGCATTGTTAATGGTAAAGGGTATCTTAATAAAAAAGTTTTAAATTCGAGTAAAGGAGAATAAAATTAATGATGCATTAAAACATTTTTCTCACTTTCTGCATGCAATCCGTAAATTTGTGCCAAACAAGCCAATCTCCATCGTTTATTACCCCGATGCAAGGAAGATCGTGATCATTGTCAGGCTTTCGGCCACGCATCAATGGATCGAAAAGTTTGGAAAAAAGATCGACTTTTGCGAATGCTAAATACAATTTATTTTTGAACGGCGTTTCAACAAGGAATTGATAAAGTTAGGTCTTTTAAATCGTCCGATGTAATCGACTAGGATTTAAGATTTCTTGAGCTTACACTTGTCGCCTTTCTCGAAATTCACCCAGATGCTACTTGTTGAAAAATCGTTGAATTTGTTTTGCAGACCGAGAAACTCATTTAGCTCTTCTCGATTGAGCTTTCTTGGACCAATCAAGGCATAATCTTCGAACTAGAATTGAAATAATAATTACTCTCTCTGTAACGGAACTCTATATAACGGAATAGAGTTTTGGTTCCGGCCGACACTAAGCTATTTTAAATATAAATAAACTCTATATAGCGGAATTATATATAACGGAAACTCTATAACGGAGGAAAAATTTGGAGTCGTTTATATAACGTCCTCTCTGTATAATGGAATAGTTAAGATATTTAGTCATCAAATTGACTAATTTACTGCTAAGCTTTTCAATCTTACGTCATATTTTTATTTACATAGTGGTTAAGTGTACATATGTATCTAAAAGTTTACGTTTGTTTATTCTTGGCCTTTCTTACTTATTTTTCATTTAATCCTTTTGTTTACTTTAATATTGTCTTATTTTAGGGATAGCTATGAACAAACGAATAATTCTCTCTCTCGCGCAGAAGGCTCAACTTATCGAGGATAAACGAGGAGGAAAATATACGAATGATGAAATTCAAGCCAAGTACGGATTAAAGTAGACCGTTTTTATGCGATTTTGGCACAAAGCAAATCAATATTAGAAAAAGCTTTGATTTCATCGCCAACAATTAAAAGATCACGAAACTTTAGAAGAGGCAATTCTATAATGGTTCAAGGAGCAGCGCAGGCAAAACACTCCGATTAGTGGCCAAATTCTTCGTGAGAAGGCCCTTTCTCTAGCAAAACGTTTTGGAAATGTCGACTTTAAAGCAAGCGGTGGATGGTTGTCGTCTTTCAAGAAGCGCCACTCGATTGTTTTCAAGTCGATTCAAGGATGTCAGGAAAAGGATGTCAACATGGGCGATCTGCAGGATTGACAAAGGGACGTCTTGCATAAGCAACTCAGCGATTATCGAGGCGCTGATGTTTTTAATCTTGATGAGACTCGACTATTTTGGCGATGTTTTCCCGATTCAACTTTGGCATTTAAAGGCGATAAGTGTTCAGAGAAAAAAAATCAAGGGACCGATTGACAGTATGTGCTAATATGAATGGATCCGAAAAGCTTCCTGTTTTCGTTATTGGAAAATCTCAAAAGCCGCGTTGCTTCAAAAACAGCAAAATTCGGGTTGATTATGCCTTGAACCGAAAGGCATGATTAACTTCGGTTGTTTTTGAGAAATATTTGATGGACTGGACCAAACGACTTCAATCAGTGAAAAGGAAGATTTTACTCTACGTTGATAACTGTCCAAGGCATCCAAATATTTCTACATAGCTCACAAATATTTCGTTGAGGTTCTTTCCACCGAACACTACAGCAAAGAGCCAACCTCTAGAACAAGGAATAATTCGCAATCTGAAAGTGAACTATTGAAAACGCTTGGTGAAGAGAATGGTAGAAGCAGTAGATTCGCATAAGGTTTTTGAATTCAATCTACTCCAATCTTTATGGATGCTTGCTTGCTTGGGATGAAGTAAAAGCATAAACAATCTCTAATTGTTTCATCATGCTAAATTTCTACCAGATGAAGCGGATGACGTGGATGATAATTCTGATGAAACAATTCAAAGTCAATGGGATCTTTTAATCGCGGCAGGACGAGTTCACGAGGCCTACAGTTTCTTGGATTTTATAGATGTTGATGAGGATTTGTGCACTACTATTTTTATTTTCAAATATTTTCCAGAGTATTCTCCACGCGGTATACCACCAAAACACGGCAATCAGATGAAGAAAGTGAAGATGACTACAACGTGGAATCGCCAATTATTACCATATAAGATGCTGGCAGAGTCAATGTCGAAATTTTTAGAGCAAAACGGCACCTCTAAGGCTATGGAGCTTAATTAAAGAGCTTGCGGAAAAAATGAAAGAATGTTTGGAAGATATTCGCCTCCACCGTTCTCAAAAAAAAGCAAGATAGCAAGATAAGAATTTTTTACAACCGGTACAAACCTTTGAAAAGGTACAATCCTTGAGTTGCCGATATTCTTTAAGTGATTCTTCGCTAAACACCCGTTTCACAATCGTCACTTTGTGATTGATACAAAGGCAATAGACGATCTGAGTCCAAAGTTCTGAATTTAGAGTCTAAAACTCAATCAATTAACAATTGATTACCTGCTTTCCCATGCTCATCATATTGGCAATTACACAAGTCGAATATTAGATCCTTTCCACTCATCCGTGCTTGGACATAAACCTCGTCTTCATCATCGGAAATCGAATCTCTTTTTAATATAACACGTTTGGCTCCTTTTTGTTGTTTCTTCTTTCTGAACAGCGGCATCTTTGCCTCCAGTTTTGTGCTAAAATAGTGTTAGTTATTAGGTTCGGAATTGCGAGATTCTTTGGTTTTTAATTTTAGAAAAGATTAAACATAGCTTTAAAATAATACCGAATGTTTAATAAGAATAGTTTGACTCAAATAATAAACATCAAAATTAAAGTGCTATCAGCACCCCTTTTTTAGCAAAAGCTATGTTTTTACTTTTCTAAAACTAAGATCTGAATCACACACTTCCAGTCAAATCAAAATAAACTTCGAAATTATAAAGAGAAAGAATTCAATATGGGAACAGCCAAGGCAAGAAGTTTAACAAATCAAAAATAAGAATTTATTAAACACCCATTTTAGCAACCAACTGTGGTTGACCAAGCTAGTGAGATTCAAGAGCGGCATAAAATTAATCAATTAAAGCTTTATAAAGAACGCAGCAGTGATCCCAAACAAAAAGCTGCCGACGAAACTTCCAATGATGTGACCAAAACCTGGGTAAGACGTTCGACCCAATCTCATGACTTGCAGATGAACTGAAATATTTTTATTAAAGATTCGCAAACGGATTGAAGATTCGGAGTTTAAAGTCGATGCTGCGCTTCTTACTACGTATTGATACTTTACTGCTTGCTTTACTTAAGAGACGAATTTACGTACAGCGAAGAGCGGGTATTTTGAGATAGGATGAACTTTGATTCCCTAGAAAATTTCGATTTCTTTTTCTGATTGGTTCTAACCAAATGATGTTATAACGTAATGTTCAAATTACCACTGTACGTCCAGATCCAGCGCATCATTGGAAGGATAACTACACTGATCATCCAATCAAACCAGTAAGTTGAATTCATGGTAGGATGATTGGAATCACTGGGAGTCCAAAGGAAAATCCATAAAAAATTTCCGAGCAGTTGAAGCCATTCAAGACCGATTGCAAATTTTTCGACTCCCGAGAGGTGGAAAAACTTTTGCATCACGGTTAGCTCCTTTCGCTCGGTCTTTTTGTATCCATTAAAAGAGATCATTATCTTTCCGAAAATAACACTGCCCTAGATACCATTTTGATCTAGCACCCAATGCTGTATTTCTTACTTTTAGGCAATCAAGTTCTACGTAGTCATGTGGATCATCAAGCAACAATTCTTTTATTTGATTTCTTCTTCTTCTTCCCTTATATACTTTCCCCGTAGGAACATGAATATTGAGATGAGAATACAGTCCGGAATGGGGGGAATCAACATAGGCAAAAACTGGTGTTTTTGGTTTATTTGCGAGTCGAATCAAAAGGACAGCTGACTAAAATGAAAAGGGTCTTGATTAGAATTTAACATCATTGCAAAGTTAGAAAACAATTTTTTTTCTAGTTTTCCAAACCTTTCCACGATCAGACGCCGTTTCTTCCCGCGTCTCTGCTTTTTTAAAGCCGTCGTTTGGTGAGCTTGAGTCATCAAAACAAATGTCGTAAATTCTTGCAAAAACTAAATTTCTTTTAACTAAATTAATGTAAGAGTTGGCACTTACTGAAAAAAAAAAGTGAGCCAACCCTTGTCAAAACCCTTGTCAAAAAGCGGGCCCCCTCATGCAGATAGCTTTTTCCGACATACTAAACGTTTAGAAATCTGCTTAAAATCGATAAGCCAAACTGACCTTTTGAAAGTTTTTCCGTTTCTTTAGCAAATCCTTCCAGAATTTTCTGGGATCAGATGTTCTTTTCGCCCTTTCACGCTGAAAACTCTTGATTAGATGGGTTTCAATTACCGATTAAGCCGGTGAGATATAATTTTCACTTTTAGAGTGTCACTTTTTTTGGATAATTTCTTGATTCTCCGACTCCTCCGATTCTTCCGATTCCTCCGATTCCTCCGATTCCTCATCTCTTTACTCAACTCCCACCATCTCTTTAGCGAGTCTATTTTTTTCTAAAATTATATTGTGCTAAAATACAATTCAGATAACTTACCGTATCAAAAATAGCATTTTTTATGAGAAAATGTGGATCTATTGGTAACGAGTATTGAAAACATCGACCGTGGACCACTAAACTGTTAAATATTTGTAAAATTTCGTTTTAGATAGAGTGGCGTTCATCAAGACTTCCATTTTTTAGAGTTTAGGGACTACCTATAATTTATGCAGGGTCCTGCATGTTTTAAAATGGTTTGTTTTTACAAATATACCCAGTGCCCTGATTATAGCGAAGGCTAGCGGAAATGTCCAATCACGTGCGCACAGGAAAAAATACGCAATCAAAGAAATAGGTGAGATCATAAATAACGCAAATGAGATCAACCAAAAGTGTTTTGGCACCTTTGGATACAAAAGCCACGAAGCATGCATTTAACCTTAAAAGAATTTAAATCAATTTTAAAAACCAAATCATTAAGCGAAAACTGCTGAAGTATTCAATGAAAGATTGTTTTTCCAAAAATTTTAGCTTGCGACCAATGCAGGTTTTCAGTCCTTATCATTTACAGTGTGGGCATTTTTTGTGCCAATCTTAGGAGGCAAATCAAGTCATTCATAAAAGGTTTTCGGTTTTGAGTTTACTGGTAAATTTTTAGACTAAATAAGCACGATATACAAAAGAATTTGATAAAGCATACCTCTCAGAATTCATTCGCCCATTTGTGTCAAGCATTGTGCGATTCGGGAGGTAACAAAACATCTTTCGTGTGTCGTCTAGTTTGAGGAAGTTATCAAACACAGTTCCGATCATTTTACAGTACCTAAAAGTTTAGATAAAAAAAGGAAGCTAAAGGTGGTACGGTATACATGATTAGACAAAGCATAAAAAAAAGGAAAGGTGAAAGTCTGTTATGAGCAACTGTTTTTATAGGTTTGAATTTTGAATAATGGACAATTTTCTATGTGATATCTATGCCTCGCTGGTGTTTCAAAACGATTGAGGTTCAAAGCTAGAGGTTACGCTGGGATATTTCCTTCTTCTGCACATACTATGTTGAAAGGATAGTGTTTTATGCGTAAGACTTCTCAAGATGATTTGTCTTTCACAATATTGACCCCAGAAAATTAGCCAAGATTTCGCCGTACGATCCAACTCACCGAAACGGGTAGGTAGTTTAAAAAGAGACCTAGATAATAGTCGCTCATACACTTCTCATTAGACATGATTTCGGATTGCGCCAAATCGGATCGGATCCGAATTTTCATTTTTTCGGATTGTATCGGATCGGATCGCGCGATCCGATCCGAAACCATGTCTGCTTCACATACATTTAGGTAGGAGTTTCTAGATACTATCGAGAAATTTTTAGAAGGAAAAGGAATTTACGACAAGTAAAGTACTATCGAATGGTACGATAGGCAAAAGTATTGGGTTGGTGAATTGAAAACTGCCGCCTATTGTCATATGTGACAGTTTGAGCACTTTCTTCAAAAGAAACCCATTTTGGTGTCAATGGAAAAGTTGTAGAGAATCAAAAATGAAGCTTATATCCAAATTTTCAGAACGATTCAAAAACTGGTTTTCAAGAAATGCCAAATTCACGAATTTTCACAAAACTTGCGTTTTAAGCGAAACTACTGAGTGTATCTTTTTGGAAATTTGGCTATAAGCCTAATTTTTGATTCTCTACAACTTTTCTATTGACACCAAAATGGGTTTCTTTTGAAGCAAGTGCTCAAACTGGGACATCTCCAGTCCTCGATTTTTGAGTCTCACACTTGTCTCACACACAAACCAAAATCCTATCATGAAAGAGGAATCCGCAAATTGCCTGTAAAATGGGCAGAAGTCGTCAACAATAATGGAAATTATTTGGAATGAATTCATGGTTTTATGTTCAATAAATTTTAGTTCAAAGTCCGGCAGTTTTCAATTCACCAACCCAATAAACTCAGAATGGTGATATCAAAAGTCAAAATTTCGAGTTTTGAGGTTATTTTTAAGTACCCGAACTTAAAAATAAAGTAAGTACCCGAAGCTTCTACCAGATGCACCTGAGAATGTTTCTTTGTGGTTACGTTTACATTCAGGTGTTTATGCATGATTTACAAATGTTATTGTGTAATACAATTTTGAGTGAGTTAGTAAATTTAGTCAGTACACAATACAATACAGTTAAACAGACGCTTAACTCGAGATTTTCAGAACACCTAGTAGATATTGTGAAAAGGGTAAAACAGCTACCTACCTTCGATGGTTAATAGTCTTCTTTTTAAATATCATAATTTTGAAAGAATAATGGCAGGCAAAATAAGAACCTCAGGCAAACAAGAATCACAAAAGTTTGACTCTATAAAGGTCATTCAATGTTGTGACAATTGTGATTGGTTTTTACGGAATGGTAAAAACCAGAAAAATTTGATCATGCAGTCGTGCATGCGTGAACGGCCATTTGTGCATACAGTCTATTCAAATTCTATTGGTTTGGTTTGGTTCGGTTACAAACCGAACCAAACCAAACCAATTGTATTTTGGTCGATTCACCATTTCTAAAACGATCAATGAAGATAGCATAGTAATCAACCTAATAACTATTGGGTTGGGGAGAATGAGTCGGCGCCGAAAATCAAAAAAATGTCTAAAACTTCTATTCGACTTCGTCAAATAATATGCGTTTGATATGAGTAGAATGGTTAACTAATTCTCTACAAAATGACATTTAAAAGAAAATTCAAACAGCGCCTCCGCTCAAGAAAAAGCCATTTTTTCACAAAAACTACAAACTGTGATCTAGAAAAAACCATTGGTGGGATCTCCCTGCAAATTTGGCAACTGAAGTAATTGAATGTGCTCTATCTTTTTTATATAAACACCAAAGAAGGTTTATGTGAAAGAAACTGCTCAAATGATGAGTCGGACTCTTTGCCATTTTAACCAGCTGCGTTTGGAAGTTCATAAACTCCACGAAAGAAAAGCTTTGTGGAATCTCTCAAAAGTGATTTTGTAGAGAAATAGTGGATCCTTTTGATGAAACCAAACGTATGTTTAAAAAAGGCTTTATGTGTGCAAAAAGTCCCTTTAAAGTTGGGCGCCGACTCATTCTCCCCAACCCAATAAATAAAGGGTAAAAAACGTGAGATGGATATAAAACTATTAGGTACTCCGGAAAATAACTGCGTTTTTTTAATGGTTTTTAATTGCAAAATTTTTTTCTTAAACAACAAACAAATTAATCAAAATAAAAACCGTTAGAACCAATATACTTTTGCCAACGAGTAGCCAGTTTTTCGATCCCTACGGCAAAAAAGTCGGGTTGTCTAAAGGCGATAAAGTCTTCGATAAAATTTTTCACCTTTGTTTCGTTCTTGAACATTTTGTCTACGACGTGACGATCGAGATGCTTGAAAAAATGATAATCTTTTGGAGAAAGATCAGGTGAATACGGCGGATAAGGAAGAGCTTTGATCTCCAAACTTGGCAAGCAATTGAGAGTCTTCAAAGATATAGATTCTGGCTAGCATTGTCCTAAAACAGAATTGTCTCTTTCGATTGACCAAAGACGGGCTCAAATTCCTCAATTTTTAATGCATTTCTTCAATTTGTTTAATATAAATGTTTGAATTTATACTTTCTCCCGTTTTGAGCAAAATGTATAATGCATGATGCGCTTTTTATACCACAAACAAAGAGCATCACCTTCTTTGGATGAAGATCAGGTTTCGGAAACAAATGAGGTGCTTCTCCTTCGTCCAGCCACTTTGAATTTCGTTTTCGATTCTCATATAGTATCCACTTTTCATTGCACGCCATCAGCTGGTCCAGCAAAGATCTTTATTATTCCGAAATTTCAACGAAGAAGCAGCAAGAAATCGTGTCAATTTCTGGCGGTCGTCCAATTGATGAGGCATCCACTTCTCCAGTTTTTTAAGCTTTACAATATTCATCAAGTGATCACTTATGGTCGAAATCCCTACATTGAAATGTTTTGCTAATTCTGGCTCAGTAGTCCGCGGATTGGCTTTGACAAATTGTCTAAAATCATCATCGTTAATGAGTCTTGGGCGGCCGCGACCCTCCTTGTCATCAAGATCCTCTTCTTCTTCCCGGAATCGTTTGAACCAAACTTAACAGAAGTAGTCCCATGCCCAAATGCACGATTAATGTTTTCGACCGCAACCCTTGCGCTATGTCTAAGCTTGAACTCATACAAAAAATTGCTCGAATTTGTCATTTGTTTATTCTCCTTATTTCGAGCCCCTAAAATTAATCATTGTTTAGATAGAGAAAATTTTACGAGATTGTGAATTAAAGCTACCAACAATTTTTCGCTAAAAGATCTAAAGAAATTCGCACTTTAAAAACACAGAAACAAGGCCCGACATAATTGCTATCAAAAAAAACGCAGTTATTTTTCGGAGTACCTAATAAATTAAAAAATGCTCTATTATCCGGACTCAAATATCCGGACTGAAGGATCTGAAATTAAATTTTTGTTGTAAATATTCGATTTTTTGAGAATACAAATGTAAAGAAAATCAGAGTTACGATCCATCATTACGATGTTAATACTGAAGGAAGGAACATCCACTGGAGGCCATTAAAAATTTGCTTTAGTCGAAAGCTGGAGGGTGGGCTGGCAAAAACTTATGAAAGATAAGACTTCAAAACGCCCGTTATTTACTCTTAAAAGCATTCTCCCTCTCTCCTCTTATATTCTTATCAACAGCACACAATACAGCTCAAATTTCCGGAATAAAGGTAAAATGAAAGGTGATGAGGCAACACACTTAAGGGACAACACTCACTCAACACTCAACGCCGAAATTTGAGTAAAAGCAGAATACCGGATAAGCTATGCCTTAAAAAAATTGAAAAGAGTTACCGTAATACACGACAATTTTCATGATTAAGTCAATCTTTACACATTCAACGCTATTTACTTTGTAAATCTTGAAAAATCCGCAATTTTATATTATTTTCTCATCAACTCCAACGTTTTTCTCTTTCTCAAAGCTGTCGAAATGTCCATAATCCCTGTCAAAATGGTGATAAGCACTCATGCCAGTCACGTGAATATTTCCCAAACTGTTTCGAAAAGCTGTTCAGTCACTTTTCGAAAATTCGAAATTCTATTGGATGATATGAGTAATCGATGAGGCATTTCTTACCGGCCAATAGCAGCAAAGTAAACTTTAAAGCAAGTTGCATCTTACCTGGAAGACCGTATTGATTGATGAATTTTAAATAAGTCGATGGGATGATCAACACAAATGCAGTGAAGATCCAAAAGTATTCGAATGCCGTTTGATGGTAACGCTTTGCGAAAAGCCCGATGAGACCACTAAAATCGCTTTTATACCGTATTCTATACAACGTCATTGCCGATGGTAACTTTCCATGTTTTAATGAATTTTTTCTTGAATTTTGTTTGCCAATTTGCTTTTTAAGATTCTTTCCGATTTCATTAGTTGAGCTTACCACAGCGACAACAGGGACACCCATTTGAAGTATCCAAAGGCTGCACTCGAAACCTCGATGAAAACTTGTTATCCATTGATTCATTAATTGCCAACATAGTCGAATGACAGAACCAGCTTAACGTTTTCATTACTTATCAAATCTTGTCCTTTTGATATCATTTTTATTAATTGGTACTCACTTCGCATTGCAAGTAAGTTAATACCCAAAAACAAAACTCTCGAAAATAAAGATGAAAACCTCAATCAGTATGAAGCGTTTGTGGCTTTTTGATAAATTTCTCCTCAAAAAAATTCCCAAAAAACCACAAAATCCCTCCAAACAACTCGAGAATTGCGGCCTAAAATTTCAACACTAAATGTAACTAAGAAACACTTACTGGGAGGAGCATTTGAAAAACGATTGAATCATAGAAATCATTGAGTACAGTGACTTGCTTGCTTGGTTTGGCTACACGATTTGAGCATCAATACGGTTCATGGAAAATTTCCCATAAAGACCTCAAAAAACTGTGTTGAAGTGAAAAAAAAGTTAAAAAACTGTGTTTTCTAAAAGGTGCGCTTCACAAAAGTTATACTTTGGTCTTTTTCTCTTGCATTTTCTTCTTTCATTTTCATTTTCAGCGGTTTATTTGAAGATCAAGGCGTTAGTAAGGTTTTGAATTGATTGAAAAGATAAAAACTCCAGAAATAAAGTTATTTTTAGACAACAAAATCTTCAATGAAAACAGATGGAGACAAGAGACTAACAAGAACGGTAAAGAAATGCTTGTCGGTAGAAACTTCATGACAAAATTTGCATTCATTTTGTAGAGTTGAGACAATGAACAGTGGCTTTTGGAAGACTGTACGCGATAAAATCTCCACGGTGAATGGAAAGGACATTTGATCAGCCGAGGTTCACTTCGCCACCTTTAAGGCGAACAACATCGCGCAAATCGTTGTCACGTGAGTTTCTCTTTGGCAGTTTTTTTTATCAAAACCACCTGTTTTTTCCAATTTTCCTTACAATTTTCAAAGCTTTTAGCCTTTTTGTACTTCATTATCTTTGGCCGAGAGAAAGCGAAAATCAACAAAAACCACTCAAACTAGATAAAATAACGAGTTTTTTTGCAATTGATAACAGAAAGTTATTGCCTAATGTCTTAATAAGCTCTTAACAAAATATCTGAGTGACGGAAAAGTTTGCCTTTAATCTAAAATTGGAGATTTCATCTGACCTGACAAGATTCAAATTTTGGATTCTAAAATATCAAACTATATCATAATTGCTCAAGAACTAGAAAACTTACTAAACTGCTTATCAAAAGTCCTTAGTTTTTTCATAAAAATGATATTTGATATCCCATATCAAGGAAAGTCGAGAGAACAAAAAAACACCGAAAAAACAAGTCTCATGAGTGAGTGTCATGTCTACTGATTTCTTTATATTCTTGAGAATTTTGTTTAAAAATGGTTGACTTGGATGCAAAAAAGCTGAAATCAGCTACCATATTTACTCTATTAGTACTGCGCAGTACTATCTTTCGTGGCGGCTCAGACCGCAGTACTGGTCGAATGAGAGCATCTTCCGACCCATGCAAAGCCGTCGTAATTGTACAATTTTTGAAACAATGAATGATCGTGTTCTTTGGCAACTCACTCCAAGCGAAGAACCCTGGCAAGTTTGTAGAACAAGAAAAAGACTGTCAATACAAATGTCTGTGTGATTGAGAAGAAACAAAATCAGATATGGTACTTGATAAAACAAGGAAGCTTGACGAGGGAAAAAGTGCGTTTTCTAAACATGAACAGTTGACCAAATGCTGTTCTGTATATACCGTAACTCCAATATTTTAAGATCACTTTGGGTTTTTCGTGATCCAGATATGGTAACCAAAATTTTAAAAGTTTTAAACGGAAATTTTAGATAGCTTTGTTGATATCAAACTTTGTTTCAGATCGTGCCGAACTCAAAATTCATTGAAGCGGAATTGGTGAATTTTGATCTTTCATGAGATCTTTTTTCAAGATTTGAATAAATTCTGTTTCCGCATTGTTCTGTTTCCCATGGTGATCCAGCTATTTGAAATTTTAATGTGTCTATTTTCTCTTTCGTTAAATATGAAGAAAAATTGTTTTAGAACTCTATATTTGAAATTATTTTTGTTCAATTGAAATGCTTATAAACCATATAACAAAATTTGCATTTATTCAAGGGGTCGTGCTGTTTTGTTTCTTGCAAATGAGCGATGGGATTAATGGACTCCAATTTTTTGTCGCCCACAACCCTCCATCCATACCGTTACCACAATTGTGTGATTGCATCTGAAAATTCAAATTTTACGGCAGCTTAGCAAGAATGAATACTGCATTTTTCAAAATTTACACCTTTTAGAAAACAAACTCTACAAAATTACCGTGATAAATGATCCGTTAGTCGGATTGGCAAGTGCTGAAAAAGTAGCGATTCGATTAGCATCAAACATCAAAGTTGAGGCTAAAAGTATCTTTTTAAAAATAACAAAAGAACAACACTAAAAACAGAGTTTGATCAATTCGAAACCAAGCAAAATTCGCTAATATCTGTTGTTTTTAAAACTTTTTCTTTTACTTGAAAAATCCCATGACATTCCCAAGAGTGCCGTTCCCGGATAAAAGCCATTTTTAGCTACGCAATCTGTATTGTAGATCAAAGCTGAATATAGAAATTTAAATTTAAACAAATCAAGTCAAACATCGGACAAAAGTGTGTTCAGCAAGATTTGTGATTGTTGCAGAAGCGGCTTTATACGTGACTGAACAATTTGTGGTGACTGGAACTTTCTGGAAAGGTGATCGTTTTACAAAAATGCTAACAAACTACCGCATAACATCTTCCGTCAAAAGCTGTCCATGTAACGGATGGACTCGTTGTGTTAGTACAAGTGATCGTTGTTAGATTGGTTGTAACATTGAAAGGGTATGATGGTGCATTATTACAAGATGCACATAAAGAGAATTGATAAGGACCAGGCGAGGTTGGGTATGAACAATACAATGGGAGACCATAAGTCCCAAGAGTGTAACCTAGAAAATAAAGTTTAAAATGATTAAAATCGTATTCTAATAGTGATTGATTAATCTATTAGGTTGGCCAATAAGTCTTTGGACATTTCATTTCAAAGGTATTTAGAAAGAATCAATTCACCGATTGACCTAGACTTTGCTTTATTCGAAAGGTCTAATATTTTTCTACAAAATAACGTTTAAATCTTATGAAAATGTTTTGTCTCTGGATTTTTATGTTAGGCACTTTGGGCTACAGAAACCTATGTTGGTGCCAATAGAAGAATGATAGAGCATAAAAAGTTAAGCATATAACCAAACTTTCAGAATAATCTGTTCAGAATTCTTTGTAGAGCTTTTTATTGAGTTTTACGAAAACTTGAACTTGAATTTGCTTCAGAATCGACTCAAATTAGCTTAAAAAGATAAAAAAACGAAAAACGATTTAGGTTTGAAGCAACCATTGGTCAGTTGGTGAACTCTTCATTTAAACGCTAGTATAAAAAAGTAACCAAAAGACTTATCTAACCTGATAGTACCAGGTTCAAAAAATTACTAACTTGATTGGAGTACTTAGCCACAATAAATGCCATTTCTTCGTCATTTCAAACATGACTCACTCGTATTCGCGTAACTGAATCCTTTGCAGCCGATAGCTGTTTTCTCCAATTGTACGCAACCATGGGCACAGAGTTGAAAGTCAGAAGACGAAAAGTCGACCACTTGATCGGTGTTTTGTGTGAAATAATATGACTGGCCTTTAAGGCATCGAAAAATCAACAGAAAGAAGAAAATCATCTTTCAAAGATTCAAAGGAAATGGGAATTCTTAAAAATGTGAAATGAATATGAATAGTTTTTTTTGATTGCTTTAGCCAATCGCCAAGGTTACCCATGGCAAGCCGTCAGATTTTGCGCATACATGTGAAATGTAAAGTGTCTGTCTATTATTAATAACTTGAAAATCTAACCATCTAGATTATTACTAAATTTCTGTTTGGTTAGAATAAAAAGCTATAAATTTAAGCTAATAACGGCTAATCGATGTAAATTTCATATGCATTGACCCAATAAAAACATTTTCTGGCTTCAATTCGAAGATCTTTTATTCTTTAATAGAATTTTCGAAAACACCTTGCAAACGGTTAAACTAAATACGCTATATTTTCCAAAACCAACCTCACAACACGAGTCTAAAGTGGCAAAAGCACCTTGAGTGTAGAATTGGTAGCTATAATTTAGTGTAGAAAAGAATCAAATTGCACGTAACGCCAATGGCGGATAGAGTGTTTTCCTATCGGATAATGCGTTTTCTAAAATGCACCTAATTGAGAAAAATACCGTCGTCAAACCTTTAATTTACATGCAATCACTCCGATTTTGGTAGCATTCGATGAGGAATTACAAGGCTTAATCAACGATACCAAAATCGGACTGATTGCATGCAAACTAACGGTTTGACTACGATAGTTTACCCAAATAGGTGCATTATTCGATAGGAACACACTCTAATGGCGGACACCTGATGGTTTCACACAAAAGCCACTACCTGAAATCCAATATTGAGAGTGGTTGGATTTTATAGTAGAGTCTAATATTTCAATGCTATATAAGCCTTACTATTAGGCTTATAGCTATAAGTGTAAAGAAACACTACTCCTTTAAAAGATATTCAGTCGTTTAACTGATTCGGTGGCAAATTCCCTTCAAATGTAAAGATATTCAATTTACAGTAATTCACTTACCCAGGAGCAACGAGGAAATCACCCAAAATATTGGGTGTATTTTTGTGTGCGATTCTTTGGCTAATCAAACAGGTCCAAATCCATTTCCATTTAGATATAAACCCTACGAAACTTTTGATGGTGTTTTAAATCGAAAATTTTTAATATCATCGTCCTCGTTGACAAGAGTATGACAGCTTCAACATTATTTGACCACTAAAAGCTTTCACGTGAAGCACTTTATGATGTTTGGGCTCATGCTCAATCGAAATTGAATCACCTAACTGAAGCAATACGGTCAAAACTCGTAAATCATAGTCCGTTTCAGCAAAAATCAAAACAAATTGCTTTGCTGTTCTTGAAGAAGTGAATTTCAGAATACAATTTGCTTTGGTTAAGCTCAATTTGTTATGTTTCTTCTTTTTTCTATCATTGAGTCATTCAGCTGTCAAATTTGAAAAGAGAGAACCACTGACTGCAGTTTTATCTCTCATTTTGTGTGCTTTTCTCATTTTCAAGTCTCACCACGAATTCCCGTCCACGATATCTCAGTATTGCCTTTCTTTTGCGAGAAAGTGAACCAGTCCTTCAGCAAATTTGGCTTCGATTCAAAACTCACCCACGCATTCTCCAATCATGACATCGATCTCAATTCATCTAAACCATTTCCCTTGTTCCCATTTACCGGAAGATCTACTCAATTCAGTTCTCGATTGGGTACCCTATAATGAAAAACTTTTATTCCCAAAAGTCAACAAAGCTTTTCGCCAAAATTTCCTCACTTTTGGCCCATTTGGAAGAGATGTTCACCACATTGAAATTACAACTTCAACCTATGATACAATGTGGGGTGGATGGGGAAAAGAGTTAGACAAGAATCATGAATATTTCTGGCTCAAAATCGTCGTTTTCTCAAAGAATCGAGCACTGGCCAATTTTTGCATTGACAACGAAGAGCTTGAGTTGGGACGATGGAGAGATATTTGTTGGGGAAAACTTCAGTATCGGAATCAAGTTTTCATAAACTTTTTCAACAATATTCGTTTTTGTCGCACGATTGGCATTGAGAATCAATCGTGGTTCGATTTTCATCCAATAATTCGAAAACTTTGGGAAACGGGAAACTTTCTTCCGAAAATTCGATCAATCGTCAGTTTTCAGATAATTTCGATTCACGCATATCCTGATATGAAAGTCTGTTTGCCGAATTTAAAAATGGAAATTCTTGATCGTTTCCACGCAAAAGACAGCAATGCTAGTTTCAAAAATGAGAATTTTCCTGAACTTTTCTCAGATTTCATCACAAGTCCGATCATGAAAAATTGCAGAACTGTTGAGATTGGCTCTGCTTTAAATGCTTTTCTAAAAGGATTAGAGAAATCGAATGTTGAACTCACATTTAATTCTTTATTCTGGAGAAAGGATGTTGAAGAGATTTTGGAGAAATATTGGGTTGTCCAGTTATGAATGCGCGTTTTACTATTTTGTAAATTTCTCAAGATATCGAACAGATGTATATGAGTGTTATATATCATTCGAAAGCTGAAGATCTTCTCTACATTTTGATATAAAAAGTTTTTGAATTCATTCCACTTTTTGGGAAATTGACTACACAAAGGGAGAGGCCGTTTTCGAAAAAAACAATTCCAGCTTAGCTAGTCCTCAAGTTTTATGGTGTAAAATAGCCGCCCAGAAAAGAAAAGAAAAGTAAAGATGCTCTGAAATTGTTATATTTAAAAAAGTTTTATATCTATTGACCAAACATCAAACGGTTAACGGAGCCAAAACTTGATCCAAAGGCACCCTTCCATTTTTTGACCACCTCTTCTTCTATGCAGTCAATTTGCCCAAAAGCTGAACAAATGCAAAAACTTTTTATATCATAATGTAGAGGAGATCTTCAGCTTTCGAATAATACTCATATATATCTTTTTCTTGATTTCGGTATCTTGAGAAATTTACAAAATCGTAAAAAACGCGCATTCATAACTGGACAACCTAATATATCCAATCAATTCCAGGAAAAAATCCGAATCGGTCAGCAATCGTTGAACGAAGAAGAACTCCTAGAGATGATTATAATATTGAAATGTTAGATGAATTTCTCGCGAAAGACTTGAGATTTCAAAAAGTTACGGAACATTCAAATGAAAGCCAAGAGATTTTGAACTTTTTCAAACAAAAATTTGAGCAATACCAATCGCAGAACTACATTTTCCCGTCACGTTTCATTCACACGACAAAGTGGATGAAACCTGTAATTGACGAGAAAACGAGGCAAATTTTCTACAAATTCCCTGTTGGTTCGAGAAATTTCACGATCGTTTGGGGAATTCAATTTGAGGCCGAATTGAAACGATCCAAATTTCAATCGGAAATGACAACCTGGCTGCAAATTTACTTGAAAAATGTTGAAGTTTGATGTTAATAAAGTTACTCTCAATTTCTTTTTTGAATTTTTACACGACTTGGAATCATTTATGTCTTGATTGTCCAGCAAATAAATCATTTCCCATTCGACGTTCCACCCAGTTGATATCGATCCATACACTCGGATCCAGCACTCCAAGTTGCTCATTGAAGATACCCATCACTTGTCCAGCCAGGTCACATCTTTTTATGCGCACATCGGCTGATTAAACTTTGTGCAAGTGGTCCAATTGCCGGCGTTGTGGGACTAAATTTAGTGCATAGAAAAAGTGTATAAAAATTTAGTGTACTAAATTTTTCCCGAATCTAGTTAAAACAGCGTCATCAAATTTCTCACTATCCAAAAAACTGGCCATTTCAAGTTTCATGCTAAAAAATTCCTTACGTTCTTGGCTACATGATGAATAAAATAATTGTTTAAAAAAGCTACTATTTCATAGATAAAATTAGCGTTCAAAATGTGTGTGATACTTGATCCGATCTGATCTGATCTGATCTGATCTGATACTTGATCCGATCTGATCTAATCTGATACTTGCTCATTTGATCAGATTTCTCTTTCACCACAACATAAATAAAGACATACCTATCCATCCTTTAATTGGTTTTTTTCAAAGGTCTTCAAAAATTCGTAAAGACAGAAAAACTTTCATTGCCGAAGATTCATAGATAAAGATCGAAAAAGGAATTTGTAGATCTGCAGATCGGCACATTTCATTTTTCAGTGAAGTCATTCGATGAACTCAAGATTTTCATGAGTCTTTTTTCTTATTTATGTCTATGTTTTTTGTTCTATTTGCACCAAACAAATGGTTTAACTCAAGTGACAGGTAAATTTTTGAAAAGATTTAACTATTTTCTGATAGATTCACCGGTGATTGAGAGAATCCCCTTACGGCCAGCCATCGATCAGCCGGATTCCGTAGGAGTTTCATTTACTATGAATCAATAAAATTCAATATAATCATTATAATATAATCAATCCATAAAAAATCAATAAAATTTAGAATGTTAACAAAATGGGGATTTTCCATTGTCAAATACCAAAAAATGGAGCCACAATTATGAAAGTGATCATGTGTGATTTGTATCGATATTTCAAGGGAATGCCTTTCAAAATCAAATACGAAAAGGATAAATCACTAAGGTAAAAGAAAGATCATATTTATTTTAGCATTTATGCTAAAATATTGAATTCTAGCGAATGTCAATTGGAGCAATGGTACAAAAATCTTGTTGCAACGAAATACAAAGCTGATTTGTGGAAAACAAATCCAGAAGCGACGAAAATTGCTGTCATTCGTCATCCGCTTAAACGTTTCCTTTCTCTTTATGGATATTTGTGCGAGTGAGTCAAATCTCATACATTTTTACCTTCCATTTACTCTAGACAAGTGAATTTGTGCGGCGTCGGGACGAATATTCACAAATTTACAAAAGACGTCTACACATTGTTGAGCACTCGATCAGTGAATGGAACATTGTTCAAGGAAACGAATCAAGCTGTTCTTGAATATCATGCACAGCCGCAGACATGGCGAGTGAAACAGTTGTGACTTTCATGTTTAGAGTGTGTTCCTTGCGAGTAAGTAATTACTCGAGTAAAATTTGCATGAGAAATCCTTACTCGATTAATCGACGTTTTTGTCGAGTAACTACGAGTAATCCTCTTTACATGAGTAAATTGAATATCTTTACATTTGAAGGCAATTTGCCACCAAATCAATTAAAAGACTTGATATCTTTAAAAGGAGTCGTATATAATAGACTTGTAACGAAAACATTTGTCGGTCCCTTTTCGCCGTTGGCAATTTAAAGTTTTTCGTGTTTTTCTCAGCACCAACCCTTCGATTTTGACTGTTTTGACTTTCATTCGATGCAGAATAAAATTGTGCGTCGAATGATACCAAAAATTAACTCAAAATGTAATATGCACGCAAAGTTATTAGGCAAAATGTTAATTCCCGCCCATAATGGGCGGGGTTTAGGTTTTTAAGCAACAACAAGCTTCAACAACAGACTCTCTTTTTAGTCTTGATTCAATTTCTTCATTCCTTTCTAGGTTCTGCAATTTATCTACCGATTACCAGAAATTCCATTTGATTCACAATGCTGGCGATCGCTTGGCGATGAGACTCGAGTTGCAGAAAGCTTTCGATGCGGCAAAAGTGCCGAAAAAGTACTCCGATCAGGTAAATGAGTCTCAAAACTTAAACGCGAAGATTTCTACTTATGTTTGTTTTAAATTGTGCATCTTTCCAGGTTCTCTTCCATATTGTCTATTCCGATACAGTTCACGCGAATCACGATCAAAATCACACAAAAAACCTCAAAGCCTACATGGAAGAAAACCCGCAAACGATGGCTTATTTTAATGCGATTTATTACAAAGATTTTGAGTTGCTCGGTTATTGAAAAGAATGAGTTAAAGTTAAATGTTGTTTTTATTAAAGTTGATTCTATTAAACAATATTCTATTAAACAAAATGCCTAACTTTCTTTGCAAAACTTTGCCGTTTTCATCGTCACTTTTCGTCTTTACTGCGAATTTCATTTCTTTCCACTGTGAAAAAAATCAGTGGTATTTTTTTTTGGCAACCCGTGATTTGCCTGCCCGACTCGGTAAACTCTTCCGGACTTTGCACACAGCCAATTCCAGAAGGACATCAGCATTCCATGAATTGTTGTTCTAAAGCCAGCAAAAATCAACATCAAACTCACTTCTGCTAGAACGCAAAGAATATTAGGAGAATATTATTAAAGGAGCCTTATACCTGAACTTTCAAATTGGACAAGTAACCAAACTGCATCTCGAAAGATCTTTTCATCTATCATTTCTACGTATGGTTTTTTAGATAAAATTATCTAGTTAGTATACCTTACAAATAGCTTATAAATAGCTTAGAATTAGCAAATGTCAAGCGTTAAGCACCAATCCCTTTGTCACGAACATTGAAGGTGAGAATCAAGCCAATAGCCAAAGGTTTTAACATCTTCGTCTACATTTTTATCGAATGAAATAAAAGGTGTTCAGTTTTTTTGTAGCCTAATCAGGATTCTCGGTCAGTAAGGATAGATATTTTTTTAATCAAAAAGCTATTAGCTTGGTTGAAAATAGATCGGTTCATTTAAAATGCAGAATTACGGGGACTAGGGATATCTTTGATATTGTATATTTTTGCTTACAATTTATATTATTTTTCTCTTTCTTTTGGTTTATTTTCTTTATTTAACTATTTACTTACTATTTTTTTTCTCAAAAAATGTTTCTTTTTAGCATGGCCAAGATGTCCGTGTACCGTGATGCGATCATCGACCTACACAAGCGTGACGTTCTGGCGATGGATATCTCTAAGCGATTGATAATACGCAAACAACTTGTTTACAACGCGATCGAACGCTTTTAAGAGTTAGGAACAAATTCTGATCGTCCCGGACGTGATCGTAAAGCGACCGTGGTCACCAAGGCTAATCTCAAGAAGGTTCGAGATTAGCTACGCTTAAAAGCCACTCGTTCGCAGGCAAGGATGGTAAAGAATAAGGGAACTTCTATGGGTCGTATTGTCAAAAATCGTCTGGAAATGAAAGCTTATAAGTTTTCCTAAAGCCAATTTGTTACGTTAGCCAGCAAAAAGAAACGCGAGGATCGTTCGAACCAACTTTTGCTTCGCTTCAATGGTATCGATCATCGGAACATGCTCTTCACCGATGAAAAAATTTTCTCTGTCGAACAGTTTGTGAACCATCAAAACAATCGGATTTATGCTAAGATTCAACCTAAGCAACCTGTGGCAGCAGGTTAGCCCAAATCGTTGATGACCGGGCCTGGGATTACCGTAGACGGAAAGACTTCTTTGTTTTTTTGTTCCACAAGGAATCAAAGTAAATGCGATCAATGATTGGGATATGCTTAAGCCAGAAATAAATCCATGGGTTAAAAAGCGTTTTGGAAACAAGATTTGGTGCTTTCAACAGGATGGGGCACCCGCACACAAAGCTCGCATCGTTCAAGATTGGTGCAAGCATAATCGATCCCCGATTTTATCGATTTTAACCATCAAGCCCGGACCTCAACCCTCTGGATTATTCTGTATGGAGTGTATTGGAAGAAAAGCGTGCTCGAAACCCCATCCAACAGTCGATTCTTTAAAGAAAGCCCTTCAGAAAGCTTGGGACGAGCTGAACACACCCTACCTTCTCGCCGTTCGCGTTCCCAAAACGCCTCCAGGCCTGTGTTGCCGCCAAGGGAGATCTTTTTGAAAAAAAAAGTAAATTTTTAAGTTCAATTATGGTATCAAAATAAATTTTTGCTGTTTTGGTGTCATTTTAATGTAAGGTGGTCTTTAGTTGCCGTGATTCTGGTCAATTGGCTAAAAGTGGCTAAAATAGGCAATAACTATTTGAAAAAGGAACAGAACTGAAATGCAGCAATAGGAAAAATCGATTGAGTATACCAGACAGTGTGCGTTTACAAGAAGTCAGAGTACAAAATGAGTATTAGCATTGGCAAGACTCATGCCTGACTTTATAAGAAAACATCTTGATTTATATTATCTACAACTTAATTACAATCATAAATGTTCTACAATTAAAACAATATAAATCACTTTGTGCTAGAATGTACAAAGTACCGGGAAATGACCCAAAAAGAACCCGGCGACTGATTAAATAACTAGAGTCGATTCTTCGACGCGACCTTTATCTCTTCTTTTCTCTTTTCTGTTTTTCTTGAAAAGGGGTGCAGTGTAAGTGAAGATTTATAAGCTTTGATCAAACCAAATTACGATGACAAATATTCGCTTCAGATGATAAATTTACGACTATTTACTTTTACGACACATTGGGAGGGCACTCGGCTCCGTCTCCGTCTCCGGGTTTCCAGTCCGGGTTCGCGTGAATGAATTAAATCTGTCAAAAGTGATGTTTGGGATGAGTCAAGGTTCAGGTCAAGGTCAAGGTTCACAATGAAACGAATTCCCATCTTGATTTAAAGAGCTTATGAGACTGTTTCATAAACATTGAAAGCTTTTGTGTCAGACCATTTTTAGCTAGTTTAGAAGGCGAGTTTTTAACTGTTGTTTAAAATTTCAGAAAGTTAATTTAAAATTATTTGAAAAACCACAATCAGTTGAAAACTTGGCCTAATAGAAAACCAAAATTCCCGTTGCTAAAGTACTGTTAACTTTTAAAAACAGTTTTATACAGTTTATATCATAAATTAGGTCTCAAAATCTCTATCACCTGGTTTTGTCATCTAATACAAAGCTGGTAAAAGATCTCTGGTAAAAGATATAAAAGTTTTGAGAAGTAACTTCTATTGCTTTGTCCAGAAACCGGAACACTTTAGCACCTTTTACAACTCTTCTCGATTTTTGATGAATTGAAAGCTAATCCTTGCGCTGGCATTTGTCATCAAAAAGGAAAAACTGTTATCAAATTTGCGACCCGTCTACCTGTTTGCGATAACAAGGATTATTATTTAAAGGGGCGACCTCTATCGCTTAAGCCTTACCCTTCGTAACAAACGAATTTTCGCTCCCGATGAGGCTGCTACTTGGTTTTTTCTTCGTCATTTTTCAAATACAATTGTGTCTAGGTAAAGTTAAAGCTAAGGTTTTTGAGAAAACAATACAAAAAGCGTATGTAAACTTAAAAACAAGGCTATTGTTTCAGCCGACCCAGTGACCTATTTAATCGATCCAAACAATCCATCATTTCTTTTTAATGGAAATGATCACTCTGATCAGGTACATTTGAAATCGAGTAATTGATTCCAGTAATAACTTTAGACAACTGCCATTATCTTAGCCAGCAATTTGTCGCTGCCCATCCAAGTGAACGCTTACTTTTACGATTTTAACAATACAAAGTTTGCGATTGCTGGCCCTGGTGGGGCAAAATATACGTACGTTTTATAGATGAGCTAATTTTTGGCTTTAAGCTGAAGGGAAATCTGCAAAAGGTTTAAAAGCTGACTTAGTGTCAAACTGTCAAACTTTTCTTAGCATTTAGCCAAGTCGATCTCCAGCAACCAACTTCAAACATTCGCCTCAAGCCACCTCTCACTCTCACATTCACTCAAAACACATCGATGGAGTTCTATTTGACATTTGCCTTGTATCCAACTGATACTGGTAAGGGGTTGGGCTTGAAAAACAAGTGAACACTATTTCCAGACTCCGACTCATCCAAAGGCCCATATTATTTGGGATATGACCGTTACTCAATCGATGTCTATAATGGCGAAAAACCACAAACCTATTCAATGATGCAATCGAAAGAATCCGGCACAATGCTCACTATTGTTAACAAAAAATACTCAAAAGACAGTTGTCATTCGTTTGATATCATCAATATTGATTTGGTTTGTTGTTTTTGCAAGAACAGACTTTAAGAGCTTAATGAGTAGTACATTTTAAGCTTTATACATACCGTAAATACTGTAATAGTACCCCACTCCCATAATGACGGTGCGGAGTGTTGCGTAGTCTAGCTTTGAACGCGTTTTTCTCGACACTGGTTTATGCTACACGGCGCGCTTTGAAAAAAATGAAATACTAAATAACTACGCGACTGTACGAGGGGGGCGGGGTACTATTACAGTATGTACGGTAATATATTTTGAAATTTCAGGACGAAGGCTGCTCCTTGCGAATTCACGTCGGCGCTGCTCCTGCCGATCGCTCTGATAAATATATGATTGGCGATTATCAGGGAAGGTATCATTTTTTGATTTTTCAGTTGCCTCTTTTTGGTTTTTGAATTTGCAAATCCTTTTTTAGCCGCAAACAACCGAATGGTTGGGCTCTACCAACTCTCTCAGCCGCCTACTACACTTTCACCATTCCGCAATATTGTGGAGCAAAATTCGACTTGATTGAGCACACTGAAGGTTGAAAGCAATGGGAAATTAACCAATTAAGCTTTCAGGCACAAGACAGATCGAATTCAGCACACCGGATGATGGCTATTGGATTAGTGGAACGATGGCTAGCTGTGACTATCCTGGTGGAACATTCAGCCGAAAAGAACCGGTCAATCCGATGATACAGAGATTTCACAGTAAGATTCGGAAATTCTTCAAAAATCCATCAAAAGCTAAAACAGTTGTGATCGATTTTTAAATCACATAAACCTTTGTTCAGTCGCCGGTCCAAGCCCGGCTCCGATCAATGTTTGGCCGAACTGGAACGAAAAACCCGGGAGAAATGGGTTTTTGAGCTTGGAAATCTATGAAAACGATCAACTTGTTGCTTCTACGAATGAGTGAGTGAATCAGACATCAACAGGAATAAAGATAAATCTAAAGATAATTATTTTCGCCTGGTCAGATAAGGCAGACCAAGAACGGGCTAGAATCCGGACAGAAGCGTGGTTTTACTACAGGCATACCCAGAGCTGGTCGGTTATACCTGGTTATACCTGATCTGGCTTACAGACCCTAGGGCCAGTTGAATTATTCCTTCCATCACTCTAGCCTTTGAGCTTCAAAGAAAGAATCAATCTTTAGAACCACTTCACAAAGCGAGGGATGGCTTCATGCAACGGGACACGATTTACTGGTATGGAAATAGAAAATTTAATCTTCTAAATGAATTTCGATCATTTTCAGGTGACTTGGGTGCCCGGAGATCAACAATCGGAGGGAATCTTTGTTCGTTTCTACTACGACAGTCCGATCACCATTTATCTCGATGTTCACAAGGATCCCCTCGTTTTCCATACGGCTTACTGGCAACTTGTGGGTTCTTATTCATTTTGCTTAAAAGCTTTAAATATCAAGCATTTTATAGCCCATTTCAATTGTCATTTGCAAAAATTAAGACCCAATCTGGCTTCATGATTCAAGCGCCCGGCTCGTTCATTCACGTGAACGCAATGCAGCTCACCCAGACGCGAGCAATCTACTTTTGGGATAAAACGCAGAATTATAGGTAAAGAAAGAGTTCATTTCCAATTTCACCAAGCATTCTTTTTCAGTTTACCACAAATCATCGAGAAGCCCCGCCTTTTCAAGGATTTTGTTCAAACGTCCCAACTCGATTCATGGTATGATCGATTTGTGGCCACATTTACAAAAGTCGATGTGAACGGTTGGTTTGAGCTCTGCTAAGTCTAGCAATTTTCAATTTCCAGACACAGCTTTATTCGATTCAATGGGCTTAAGCGATTATCGCTTTTGGTTTACAAATGGATTCTTTCTCGAGCGACCGGTGACAATGAGATTCGATGCGAAGAATCACTCTCAAGCGCTGACTGTTGTGGCTCCTCGGGGTGGTGCTGTTATAAATAGCGTTTTGAAGGTCAGTTTTCACATCAACTTTTGATTAATACTGTAAATATTAGCACAGTTTGCAGCTATATCTGCTTTATGTAAAGTAGGCTTGCCCAGTAACCCATTGATTTCAGTCAAACTCCTGTGAAGTTCCTCTCTACGTCTCTGGGATTCCATATGAGGAACTGAAGCAGAAAATGCTCATTTACACTTTCAAGTACTGATTTCAATTCTAATTTAAAGTCTAAATTTGGATCGCTTCCTTGCATTATCAAAAATAAAACCCATTTTGCAAGCTGTAACTATTTTCAGTGATCAAAACGCTGCAACTTTTGCCCCATCTCACATCGTCTCTCCAGCAGCCACGTTTGTCGTTCCAGCGAATTGCCAATTCAGCTTTACCCTTCAGAGCAGCAATGGTGAGTTTTACTTTATCATTTCTTTGAAATGCGTTTCTTTTTAGATCCATATAGACGGGAACTCTTTGACGGCTCAAATGGCTTCATCTACAGCCAAGAATACCCAGCAAACTATGACAATTACTATTCGATTTGGTCACCCGATGACACGACTGATTATCAACTTTATCGTTAGTTTTTGAGAGTATCTTCTTAAATATATTCTCTTTCCAGAAAGTCTCTCGCTTGGTGCGGCGAACGCGAACTTCTCGATTGACATTGTTTCCGCAGATCCGGGAGTGAATGGTAGTCTTGCTTTCACCTTTGGTAAAACTGGAAAACCACAAGAAACTATTGGAATGTGAGTTTCAAAGAAAAACAGGCAAAAACTACTGTTAATGATTTCAAATCGTCATGCCTGGCTGATTTTGTTGAGGGACTGGTTCACAAAAAGTCCCAAGAGCCAGGCCTGGGCTTAGCCAGACCTTGGCCTTAGTCCGGCACATCTTTGACTCAATTAACAAGTCAATATTATCAAATTTTAGCACAAATCTCACGAAAAACTGGACGATCCAATCGGATGGAACAATGGTACAAGTGAGTTTTAACAGTATTTTTTCTTTATCTTGCAATAAATCTTTTTTAGATTGAATGGAACGATACAAGTACACAAAGTGGATTCTTGTTAAGATATCGGATGAAAGCAGCTCAAGTGACAACTACGACAACTACGACTACGACCCCAACAACAACTACCGCAATCACAGCAAAGTCACCAACAACAACTGGAATTCCCATTGCTGCTGATACAACAGCTCCGGCGACAGCACCCACATCAACATCAACAACCACTACAACAACTCCAAAGGCAACAACACCTAAGTCGGATAATGGGAGAGACGCAACGACGACAAGTACTGCCACAAAGAACAACTATTTGTTTTTGATTCCTGTAGTGTATTTACTTACGTTTTTCTTCTCTTAGAAAAGAACTTTTGTTGCGAGAATAAAGAGTCAGCTTTAATATGATAGATAATGCAACGCTCTTTATTACAAATCAAAGAGTTTTACAAGAAACGTTTAAATCGATCCCAATAACCTTTGTTCTTCTTTTGAAGTTTTCCTTCTCGGAATCAATGAAAAAAGCATCGAACTAGGAGTAATCGGAGGTGAGAAAGGCGGGAGATTAAAATTCTCATGTTTCGGATCTCAAAAATGCAAATTTCTAAAATTGAATGAACCGACCGGAGTTTTGGCAAGAATGAGGGAAAGGAGAGCTTTTGTATGAAATTTTCAAATGTTAATTTCTAAGAGAAATTTGCGGAAAGCGGCCGCTTAGCGTAACTGGTGTACTAATAAGATTCATGTTGATTCAAAAGTGCAAGTACATTTGACGTACTTCAATTCGAGTAAGGGTTACGAAACGAAACGAAAACGAAATTGAACTTTTCACGAACTACTCCAATAATGCGTGAAGCGCTCTCGTTGATGCCAGGCCAGGAGAGCAAAACTGAAATGCTAAAGTTTTGTTAGCTGCTAGGTAAGCCAAACTCACTATCAATTCTAAGTATTTTGTATTGATTTTTAATTTTTAAAGAGTTTAAACAAAGTCTCACTTGTCCGGAAGCTCGTATGGGAAGCAGAAAAATCGTCACCGTACACATTGGATTGCATACGGAGCAATGAAGTCACTTTTTATTGCTCAGTTAGAATTTTTTTATAGTATTTTAGTGAATAAAATTGAACTCTTGAAAGTTTAAATTAAACAAGGTACAAAGATTTCTAGCTTACAACTATCGATGGAATTATCGATCCCTTAATAGATTGGGTGAAGCAACCCAATCTGAAAGTTCCATCAAGGATTGACAATGTGAAACAATGTGAGTTTTCTAAAGACCTGAAAGCTTTATCGATTTGTTAATAAAATTCGAAATCGAAAATTCTTCAGGTATTGCAAAAGCGGCCGAGTATTTCTTCGATTTCAAAGAGGAGACTCCATTCGATGAAAAGAGAAAAAGAGTGAAGAAAAAGGAAGAAAAGTGATAAAGTTAGTGGGGAAAAATGAAATATGAATGATTTATAGACAATTTGAATAACAGATAACATAAAATGATGAAAAAGTTTACCGCCTTCAGATAGACAGCAAGTATAATAGTAAAAACCAAGCTGATTGGCCTTTAAAGCATCAATTCAGCTTTTAAAACTAGGGATAAAAAGACCAAAGTTTTGCTATTTTGTAGTCACATTTTATCAAGATTACCTTTTTCAGAAGAGAAAGTATTTATTTGGTCGCTGGGGTCCGATGCTCGGGGAATGGCTTTATCAAACTTCTAAAAGACGAAAAATTTCAGATTCAAGCTGAGAATTGCAGTTCTGTAGAAGGGAATTGTAAAAAGTTGAGTGTGAAACTGTTTAAGAACAAAATTCTTTTCAAAACCTTAAAAATCAAGATCCTTTTCAACAAGTCGACGGTTGAAATCTCTAAAATTGACAAATTTCAGCTCACCGAACTCAAGTTGGCTCAAGTGACGCAACTCGAGCAATAGCTGAGATAGCTGACAAAAATGTTAAACATTTTATTTGATTTTAATGATCAAGATAAAATTTTATTTCATTTGCTTGTCCTTTTGGAGTGAAACACAGCAATAGTCAATTGATTTATTGCAAAAAAAACCCTTTTACACTTTATGCACACTTTTTATCGACCATTATTTATTAGATCAATTTTTTTTCTGAAAAGCTCTTTTCTTGATAAAAATCACCGGAAATTCGATCAAAGAACACACAATTCAAAGCGTTTATCTGTAAATGATTCCATCATTGTAAAAAAAAAGATGATTTACTCCTGAATTTTCCGCTCCAAATCTCTGATAAGAACCATGCCTAGAAAAGGCTTCAAAAACTAATCCCAAACGGTTTTCCACCAAGAAAATGAAGTTCCTACTTTTTGCCCTTTTGTTGGACTAGTTTCCACTCAATTCACTTGCCCAAATGAGTTCAGTTACAATTCGGATCTCAACACTTGCTTGAGCAGCTGGAACTTCTTTTGTAAGCGATTTTTAGTGATTGAAAAGTCAAGAAAGACTTGATTAAACTGATAAATTAATAAAAATTCTGAATAAAGTGATAATTAGATTGTTAGAATAAGCTGAGAATTGAATTTCAACGATTTCTTTAGCTTCTTGGTCGTCGGCTAACTTCTATTGCCAATATTATGGAGGAAATCTCGTTTCGATTCACAATTCTCGACAAAACATGGTTACCGCTATGATCGAAAATAGTAAGTTGTTTGTTTGGTATTTTTTAGCCTTATATCTAGACCGAACCAAGGACAATCGAGGCTGGTTGGGACTTACGAAACGCAACGGAAGCTGGGTGTGGACAGATGGAACTCCATTCGATTACCAAAACTTCCAAGGAAGTCGGTTTCAATCAAAATTTTTGCTATTTCCAAATTCAGATCAAACAAGAGACTGCGCCTATTTGGATTCTCAGGATTATTTGTGGAAGACAGCCGATTGCAGCATTGATCTCCCATTCATGTGCTCCGCTCCACCAACGATCTCCAATGGAACAACTCTAGCATCGAACATCACCACCACAACAACCCCAAGCCCACCAGTTACCTGTCTTCCACGTGAGTTAGCGATCTTTATCGTAAAGTCTCCTAAAAAGTAGAAAAGCTATCGTAATTCGGCAGCTAACAGTAAACATGAGATGAGCCGAACTGAGTAAAGAGCCTGGACTTTGAAAAAAGCTGCCGTAATCTGGTGATCTGAAATTAAACCTGAAATGAGCTGTTTTTAAAAGGTGATCTTCAGAAAAACTACCGTAAACTGAAATAACTCGAAAAATTTCAGCCGATCAACAAGACTTGTACAATTGCAAACAAGGCTGGCAATATTTCGCGCCAACTATGAAGCAATACATGGTTCGTTGAAACTACAGTCAAATCTCGGTTTAACGATTCTCGATTCAACGATTCTCTCGATTTAACGATGTGAATTTTTGGTCCCTTAAAAGCTATTTACCTTATGAAGACGTTCGATTTAACAATCTACTCGATTTAGCGATTCTCTCGATTTAACGATAGAGAATCCCGGTTCCTTGAGAATCATTAAATCAGTTTTTGACTGTATATTCATTTTATGCAACTTTTAGGTCGTCAATCAACTCGATTTGAACACAACACCTGAAGCGTTTTGTATGAGCCAAGGAGGACATCTTGCATCAGTTCACAGCCAAGCCGAGAGCGATTTCATCACAAGTTTTTCCTGATTTTTTTTTCTATTATAATCGTTTTCTTTAAAGATTTATGCTGCCCATCGTACTGCGGATTTTACAGCGAGGAATTGCAAGCTTTGGCTGCGTATCTTGTTGGAGGAATTCAAGTGAGTGAAGCCTTCGATAATTTTTGTCTTTTTCAAACTTAGCTAAAAAACTTTAATGTTAAAGTCAAATTTACTAAAGGTAATAAAATTTCTAATTTCTAAAACGTGTAAATTTTAATGTTAAAGGCAAATTACCTTACGGTAGTTTTTGAAAGTTGACACGTTTTAAAAATTTCAACTGACACCTTGTCTCAAGGTTTTATGAAATCTATTCACTTTTATCTTTTTTAGCTTTTCTTACAGAAGAAGTTGGATTTGATAAAATTAGAGTCAAGATTACGGTTGCTTTGACAGGTTTTAGAAAACGTAGAAGCTATCTGCTTATCATCACCGTTCCTTTTCTTATGCTGAAAAAAATCTATCTTATTCCATGCTCAATCCAATCCTCTTTTCAGGTGAACATGCAACCCGCCTGGACTGACGGAACGCCTTTCGATTTCCAGGCAAACACTTGCTTCGATGCGCAGGATGCGAGCGAGGTGTTGCACGTGAGTTCATTTTATTAAAGAAATGAATCATTTTTTGTTAGTATTCAAGCTGAATCTGAGTCAACAAAATAGAATAGAATTGCAAAAAGGATTTCAGATCTCGGCCTTCACCGGGTGCAACGAATGTGGAACTCCTGGTACATGGATCTGGGAAACCGATGTTGTACCTTATGTTGTTTGCAAGAAATAAATGCACAGCAAAAAAATAAACTTTATCTTTATGCACAGAATCGACGTTTAAACTTCAATTTCAACGAATAAGTTAAGGTTTCTCAGGTCTAGGCCCTGGTCCGGTCCGTGGTGGTCGTCCACGTCGAACTCTGAAATAACAATGTGCATTCCTCTTTGGATAAACGGGCTTTTGTTAGGCGTAACTTATAAAACACTTGTAATAATAGTAAAAATAAGTACTTTGTTGTTGTTTTTGCAAAATTCTTACAATGAAGATCATCAATTTGTAACTCTTATGAAACTTTTTTTAAATCCTACCCCACACGATCCACATTGATTTCTCTCTTTTCCAAATCGGCATCTCTTTTTCTGATGCCGTTATTAGTTCATAAGTTATATTATAATAACACTTTAATTATTTGTAATGCCATAATAAGGATAGTTTAATTTATAGTTTAAAATTGGCTAGGATACTAAACAGGTTGATTCAAATCAACTATTTGATTGCAAACTCACATTGCAAGCATTGAGACCAGTAAGAGACAAAGAAAGAAGCAGGATTTTAAACAAATTCGTTTCACCTGAAATTTACCCTGTTTTAACGTGAAAGTTCAAAAAGCCATGAAAACTGCTATGAAATCAAATGAAACTGTCTCTTTTATAGAGTTTCTCAAAACCGTTCAGTTTTCTTATCAAATATCAACTTTTGACGCAAGAGCGTTTACAGAGGGAAGGCATTTAGGGACGCATTCAAAATGCACTAGCTACCGTAATTACCAATTACCAATTTCCATTGCTTAAAGTCATTTTCCGTTGTTTTTATTAATTTTTCATCGTTTTTCTTTGCCATTTCATCGCAAATTCATCAAGATCAACTGCTATAAAAGGGGATAAGTGCTTTTGATTTTTTCTGGAGCGGTTCCTTTTGTTTTAATGAACTTTTACAAAGATGGACGGGAACAGGAAATGTCAGTTACCAAAACTTTAAACGATTTTCCTTGACACCGGCACCACAAGAGGTGTTTTTGCCGGCAAGACTCGTCATACAGGTTTCATTTATTAATCCTTTTTGAGCTAAACAATGCAAAATCCTAGATCGAAAGAGCTTGTGGTGAGTGTAATGCTCGGGTCTGGTCTTGACGTTGAATGGCATTGATTTCGAGTCCCCGGCACTTTTTGTATGGTAATTTGTAGCAATATTTTTAGAGCATAAACCTTCTCAAAGTCTTTCCAAGAGTGAACAACATGCGAACTTTGGATTTCTGGAGCTTCTGAATTGTTTGGGTGAGAGGAGTCTTTGCTCATTAAGGTGACCAGAATTTTTATCACTGATGATTATCTCAAAAGTTTTAAAAGGGGACGGGTTACGGAGATGGGGGCTATATGGATTTTTAACATCATTTTTGGAAGAAGGCTTGAGAATAGAGATGATAAGCCAATACCTTGAAAATTTCTTTGATCAATTCGTGGTCTAAGACTTCGAAAAAGTCACACAGTTAGTTTTTTGTCATATCAAAACTTTCAAGAAATGAATTTAATCATATATGATGTTTCCAGTAGTTAATTTCACTTCAAAAATAACCAAAAACGTTCGTAAAAAAAACTTTTCTTCAAAACAATGTTGCTTTTTGTTAATCTCTGACTAGTGAGATCCATTTCGTCCAAAGCAAATAAATTTTTTATCGTCATCAAGTGTTTATTTATGTCATTTCGAAATTGTGGGCAAATATCCGCTGCTTTTTACAAGAAAATAAGCTTTGAGTTTATTTTGGTGTTCTCTTGTTGTTGATTTAAATGAAAACTTTGAAAACAAATGATAAATTCAAATTTGTCCAAGCTGATTGAGATCTTGTTTTGGTGTTTCTGTTTGTG